GGTCCACCCCAGATCCATCCAGGGGGGGGGGGGGGCCTCCCTCCCTGGTACATATATAATAGAGATTCGAAAACTGAAAATAACCGAGTTAGAGTTACTGACTGAAATAAGGGAGGCAGCGTTGACAGGGCTACTTGTCCTTGTTCAGTATCTCGCTTATTTTATGTAGTTACTCGCTTATTTCAGTTTATCGAGTAGAATTCGAATGTCGTGGTCGACGTCGTGCATGATGTCATTACGTGCGTTGTTGCTTCTGCTTTGCCAGATGATAAATACGGTCGTCTGTTGTAATCCCTCTCGTCATTGCGCTAGAACGCCACTTCGGTTCCCTACGTTCGGTATTATTGAGCATCAAACTAACCTATTAGTTACCTAAAGTCTACTTCTAATTCTTCTCGTCATTGCGCTAGAACGGTACTTCCTTCGCGTGGAACCGACAGGAAAGCTATTTTTCAACGCGCATGGCTACGCAGTAGGCGACTTTCCGAATGAGCGGCAGCTTTGTATGGATGGCTACATTGCTGGCGAAGATGCCTCTGAGACTGAGAGCCAGTCAGCTGACGGTGGAATGAGAAGTAGTACTAGCTTCAGGGCTCCCATGATGCTAGAAGGTGGCACTTCTAGCAGTGCTGGCACGCAACTCGCTCTCAAAGATATGAACATCAACGCTGTCACCAGTACAACATCTTCACGAAGTATCAAAATCAAAAGCAGTGAACTAGACCTCGAAGTCCTGAGTCCAGATAGCGATGTTTATCGGACTTCAAACGTGACAACCCTGGGGAATGCACCACAAACTTCGCCATTCCTGATCCACTTCAATGGACGTGGACGTTGGTACATGCAAAGATGTCGTGAATATTTCTTCCAGTTTGGTTTGGGGCTGCATTATAAGCGAGCAAAAGGTACTAGTACAGCTACTGGTGAACAACAGACGCTGAACAAGAAAAACGATTTAATATCTTCCACTGTAGCAGCCAGTTCTTCTGAAATAGACCGGGCATCAGTAAACTCTCAGGTAGACACCACTAACACTAAACAGAATGATCACCTCCAACCCGATCCTGAGCATTGTGAATTATATGACTACGAATCTGGGGAATATTTCACAGACAGAATAATGTGGGGTGAGGAAACCATTTTCGCGATCAATTTCAAACCCGAAAAAGAAACTGTTGTAAAGGATTACGATCTATCAAACAAGCTTGATCCGATCACCAATCTAGTGCTTGGTGATTGGATTTGTGGACTGGGACTGGGTGGTGTGAAAGGTATTAAAGTTCTTGCAGCTTGTTCTTGCTCTGATGTTGGTGCGTGTCGAAGAATGGGAAAAAATCGCGGTTCTGGATTAAAAAAGTCGGCAGAAGCAAAATCTTCCTGATGATGAATCGGATCCGCAGGAAAGATGCAAGAATTGTCGAGCGGAATAAGAACACTTCACGTGGATGCCGCTGATCCGAATTTTTCTGCTCTCGTCACCGTCAGAATGCGTTTCAAACTCTATCCCAGAATGCTTGAATTCTTCGCTGTCGACACTCTTCTTCACTCAATCCGTCAGAGCGTTGTCCTTCTTTGCTTTGTTTAGGTTCAATCACTGTGAATATGATCGTTGACAATTATTTTTGCTTCTATAAAGACAAATTCAAATATGCTTAGAAGCAGCTTGAATAATTCTCGTGCTGAAACTTGTTTCTAGTCGTAGTTCTTGATCTCTAGCTAGTATCTCCGAGAATTGCTCTATCTCTAGCAGCTAGTATCTCTACCTAGTATCTCGTTGTCACTAGAATTTCAGCAACACTCAAAACTGAACGGCAAAAATGACGTCGAAGCAATTCCACGACAAGGGAGCTTTTCGCTCCGGCCTCGGCTCGAAAGCCGGTGGCTTCGTTGCGCAGAAGTTTTTTCATCCTTCCAACCACAGAAACCAGGAGAAGATGTGGCTTTACGAGGAGCGTGAAAAAGACGCCAAAAAACGCGCTGAGGAACGCACTATGCGGTTGGAGGAAGAGCGCAAACTAGACGAACTGAGAAAGGCGAATGCGTTGTTAGGACAGAAGATGAAAGGCGGAGGCTCGTCTTCGTCGAAAAATGCTGGTGGTAGTGGAGACAAGAATGCAAATGCTGAAGGTGGCTTGCGTGCTGGCAGTAGCAGCAGTGCTGGAGGTGGCTCGAAACCGAATTTCGACGACATGTACTCGGCTCTGGCAATGCGTAAAAACATCGAAAAGCTGCCGCCGGAGCAACGTGCGGCAGCAATGGAAACGCAGAAAAGGCTGAAAAAGATGCGAGAAGAGCAAGCAAGATTGCTTGGAGGTGGTGATGGGGCTGGAGAGGATCCTTCTGGCACTACTGGTTCATCTTCTTCGCATATGATTTCGTCTAAGGGACTGCTGTTCGACGGCTTGCTAGATGACGCTGAAGACGGCACACCAGGCGGGAAGCGCAAGCGCAAAAAACGGCTTTCTTCTGCGAGTAAAAAACCCAAAGAAGACGCGGGGCCGTCTTCTGCTATGCCATCAGCTAGTTGTAGTCAAAGTCAAACAGGAGGCTATGAGCAAGGTCCTCACCAGGGTGGTGACAAGAAAGTAGTCAGACTCCTCAATGAGACTAGTCCTCCGGTTGAGGAGACCAAAGGCAAAGAAGCGACTTTTATCGACGTCTATCAGACACCCGAAGAACGGGAGAAGGAGATCCAGAAAGTATCTTTGAAAAAGACTTTGTTTGGAGGCAGCTCTGCTTCTGCAGCCTCTTCTGGTGCTGGAGCATCAAGTTCTTCATCCAGTCACAACAACCCCTTCGCTGGGAAGAGTACAACTTCTTCAAGTTCAACTAGTGTCCTCGACAACATGTTAAAACAAAATCCGGCTTCTTCTAATGCTGCGACTCCTTCGGGTGCTTCAGCTTCTGACAGCAACAATATCACGGCTAATGCAGCAGAAGAAGCTACTACAATAGAAGAGGGACTAGAAGTAGCTCCTGAGGACGCAGCTTCCACCACCTCGATAGGAGGTCAAACAACCGGTAGCTCTATGAGCGCCAAGAGGAGACGCAAGCTCGAAATGCTGGAGGCTGAGATGTTTTACCCTAATGGTGTCCGCAAAATGGCTCCATCTACCATGCATCGCGAAGATATCTACAAGCATGGTCACACGAGCGTATTCGGCAGTTTCTACAACGACGGCAAGTGGGGATTTGCTTGTTGCCAGCTTGTGGGAAATCCGAGGGTGCGTTGCCCTCATGCGGTAGATCCTGTGGCGGCGAAGAAGGGAAAGAAGTGATTGTGCTACATCCACCACTAGCACTACCCACGTGTTCAAGCCCTTCTAGTAAAGTCACAACATCTAGTATTCTTGATGTTGTGGCCGCGATGGCGGTCGGCTGCATAGCCACAGAAATACAGCAGCACAACCATCGCGGCTGCATAGCCACAGAAATACAGCAGCACAACATCTGTTTCACTCCTCCAAATAAACCCCCGCATCCTTTTCCGAAAGGAAGAAGTTCCACAAAAGCATGATCGTGCTTTCATGAGAAATACGGACCACCCACATTTGACGGCCTGTAGAAGTTTTCCCTCCAACATTTTGACGATGACGCTCGACGTTTCGGAAATGTGAACCCCAAGCTACCCTCCTCCAAAAAACATGTCTAAGCTTGCAGCGAACCATCTTCACGCCCATATTAACTCATAGGAGGTTTGTTATTCGTCGGCGACAAAACCTCAATGTTCAATCGTGCGTGCGACATCGCCCAGAATTCGACTTTAGCAAAATCGAAAAACGGTTTCTGAGTCTGAGTGCTGAGCACACGAACATTTAAGCAGTTTGCGGTAGCTATCGGTCATCTAGTTCGGTCAGTAATGAAAGTGATCAAGTAGGTCGTGTAGTTGTAGTACTAGTAACATGAAAGCATCAATCTTCGGTCCTGAAGATGAGCAAAATCTGTAGCTTGATATCTGCAATGTCGTATACGAGGACCCACAGCTGCTCTGCGAATGCCCTCCTGCTCTTATCCTCTTTACTGCTCTGATCCATTGATTCCTTGGGTCTTATCATGATCACGGTATTAAAAGTGAATGAATCTTTGCCCAAACTTTTCCAAATTTTGCAAATGCTAGACATTAAATTTGAATATGACGAGTCCCATGTCCGCGGCAACAGCTCGATATTCCGACCGAGTCGGAGTCAATTACTAAATTTTCCTGGCCGTCGTGGTACACCGTAACAAACACTACCAATAACAATATGATCGAACACGCAACACAAGAAGATTTCCGAAGTCCTGCTGCTCCCGCTGACACGGGCGCGTCACCCCGTAGCTCTCCATCCCGAAGTTCGAATCATGGTGTAGCAGACTTTCCGCGGAGTCCAGACAGTAAGAAACGCTTTGCATCGGCATGCCAATTCTGGGAGAGACGCTCTTCACCAACTCCAGTAGAGCAATCTTCTGCGGAAGGTGGCTCTTTATCGAACACATCTTCGAACAAAGGAGCGCTGTTTTTGGAAGGGCTAGAGGACGATGCGATAATTGTCACGCGAAGAGGAGGAGCAGAAGGCAGAGCTGAAGCAGAATCTTGGCATAGAAAAACTCGGACGACAAGAACATCCTGCAGTCTCGAGCAACGTGCTTCTGGACTCGAGGAGTTACGAACATTTGCGGAGAGACTTGGCTGGGGCAAAGGATTCACGTTGGAAAGACTCGAGAATGATGTCAGGAGTGTTGATGAACTACGCTCTAGTGAAATCGGCAGCACTTCCGCTGCAGACGACGCTATTGCCGTGCCGACTCTGCTCATTCACTTGTTGCTTCTTTCACGTCTTTATCGAGAGAGGGGGAAAATGCTGACTACATCTGGAACCACCCACGAGCACAACAAGACAAGAAAAGACTTCTATCTTCCGTCCCCAGAGAATCTTTCGCTCTCTAGTGCGTTCTCAAACCTGGATTGGCGACAACACTGGACGAGAGACGATCCTCTGTCGTCGCTGCTAGCAACGTTTGCAGGAAGCAGTGGCGGGGACAGAAGCGTCGATGTTTTGATGCGTGAGTTGATCCTGCCGGCTCTACCACGTGTGCGCGAGATGCTGCAGGAGGATTGTTATACACCTTCTGCGAGCAACGCCAACGAAAATAGTGACAAGAACATCAAGCTAGAAGCAAGTGATCGTGATGTTTTGCCATGTTCCCAGACCATGTTGTTGCCACTGGAGAAGGCGCCGTCTGACCTCGACGCAACCCTCATAACAACACGACCGCGTCCGGCAGCGGCTTTTTACTACGACGAGCCGGGGATTGGGAGTAATGCTGAAGATGGAATACCCCAATCGTCCGAACCAGAGGATCTATCAGAAACTACACTCAACTTCACACGACTAACATCAATGTCCTCATCGAAGGACGGTCCACCACTGGATGCAGACTCGGACCCAGTACAACCAGTAGTAGATCTTCCATCAGACTCACTGATGCTCTCAAGTGCTCTCCGGTTTCCAGAGTTGCCGCTTCCTCCTCTAGATTCGGAAGAGGAGAGCGTCATGTCAAATAGGTTGAAGGCTTTGATCTCACCAGTCAGGCCGCTTGATAGTAGACTAAGAGCAGGTGCTCACTTAAGGGTAGGTTAAAGGTGCTTTTCTTACCGCTTTTTATGCCTCTCTTAATGTGGGAGAAAGGCATAACAAGCGGGGTAAGCGAGCACCAAAAGCCTACCTCTAACTCACGCTCCAACATTCAGCACGACTGCACCTCTCTTGTCACCCGCAACTATGAACCTGTACTACTACGGAGAAGACAACGACGGTAGGAACGACTTGTCTTCTGGTGCAAGTGCTGCGAGTAGTACTAGAGACTTCCACACAGCTGGTAGCCAGCATAGAGCAAGTAATGCAGCCGTTAATTTCGCAGTTCCCAGAGCGTGGTCGACCACCAGCAGTACTAGAAACTTTTACACGACTAGCAGTAGTAGAACCACTGAACAACTACAACAAGCTCAAGCTGCGCAGCTTGAAAGGAGATCTTCACAGAATAAAAGCGTTTTGGTTTGTTCCGTGGATTCCACGTTGCAAAGCGGTGCGAAACCTTTTCCTCTCTATGACTATTTGTCTAACAGCAGTGGGGGTGAACACCTCCATAAAGAACAAGAGCAAAAAGTAGAACGAGTAGACAGTGGGAGAAGTAGTAGTAGTAGAGACGGCAAGGCGGGTTCATCTACGAGGAGTACAACTCAAGAACCTCCACAATCAGCAACTATGGCTATGCAATCCGAGCGTGACACACCCCGACCAGAACCTTTGCCTCCACGCTTTCCCAGATTGTCAGCGTTGGCTGACGAATTCACGCATCCGCACGACGATGATGCGCATGACTTCGAAGTCGAGAAGCTACTCGAACGAGTGAGTCCTCCACCACCAGATGTTCTTGCCCCGCCACCACCTGGGTTCGGGAAGAGAACTGGTGGTTCGTCCTCGTCATCTTTAGTTGTGAAGAAACAGATTGGAACATCGAATGTTGAGGACATCAAAAATTTCATTGACGCCTCTTCTAGTAATAAAAGTTTTCACAAGGGAGTCTCGTCAGTTGTAGTACTGGATCGCATTCGCCAGCATGGTCGTAGCCCGAACAGGCCTACAACGTCACGATGGTTGCAGCGAGATAGTATGGCAACGATGGGTGCTGGTACAGCGACGCCTGGAGGTGTGTCTTCTACTCTTAATGATCTGAATACCATCATCTCTGGTGCATCCTTGAGCACCGCTGTCGCCACAACAAGAACAGCAGCAGAGGAGACCGCAACAGAAGCATCGACTAGTACACTAGACTCTTTTATTCCGACCACGTCTTTTGTGCCTCCTGCTTCGACCACTACATCTCCGAATGCCGCGAGACGTGCCAGTGCTTCTACACGGTGGAGTTCTCAGATTGGCTCTATATTACAACAAGGAATCGGAATGACACGACCTGTAGGAAGTTCTGGCAGCACTCCAAAGCAAGAAGAGGAAGTCGCAAGTTCTAGTTGTACTCCACCCAAGCAGGTGAAAGTCGAAGATGCCACTGCGACTACAATTAAGGCTACCGCTGAACCATCCTCAACGTCATGCTTGGCCCATTTTTCAAGGAGAAAACGGGACCACGGAGGTTCTCGGGGATGCGAGCGCGGTAGCTCTACTACAAAGCAAGAGGAAGTCGCAAGTTCTAGTAGTACTCCACCCAAGCAGGTGAAAGTCGAAGATGCCACTGCGACTACAACGACACCGGTGGAATTATTAAGGCTCAACCTTCATTGGTCATTGGGGTTGGTCACTGAGATCGAAGAGGGCCCACCCTTGGAGAACAGGGGAAAACAAGTAGAGGGGTACTATGGGGCCCTTCCCGTTCAGAATCAGTGGCCACTGAGAGTCGACCTTCTCCAAAGGACGAAGTAGCACCACAAGACCAAGAGCCCGTCCGCCGATGGCACACGCGGCATGCTAGAGGCGCGAATAAAGATCCTGACTGCTCTGACCGCGAAAATTCTTCCTCGAATCCACCTGAAGAAACAGACTCTTCGAAGGTCGTGATACACAAAGCTGAGGCTGCAGTCCAAAACCTGTTGGACAAGTACACTGGCTACTTCGTTGAAAAAACAGGAGAAGCTCTTGTCTTGGAGGAGAGAGAGGACAAGCAGATGCCGAGTGGTGAAGCGGATGTGGAGGTAGGCGCAGAAAGCGGCGACGACGAGGACGACGGCGCTCGTGAAACAAGAAAAGAAGATGGAGAGATGCACGTTAAAAGTGAAGAAGAACGAAAAGGACTACGCGAAAATATAGAAGAAGTGGAAGACCAGATGCAGAAGTCCTCTGGAGATAAACAGCAAGAGCAAGACATGGCTGAGCAGGAGCTGAAGCACTCTGGCGCTGACTCAATAAATGGTGAAGATCGGCATCGCGAACAACAACCAGAATCGGCCAACAATAGCATCACCCAAGAAGTTTATCAAGACGAAAGACATGAAGATGCGAATCATGCGTCGGCACCCCAACAAGACGAAGACCAAGACGTACGTGTGGACCTAGAAGATGCATCACAAACACCAGCAGCCTCTACTAACCTTTTTTCAGGTTTTGAAAAGCACGACGATCACGAAGAACCACAAACGCCACCAGAGCCCGAGATCGAGGCAGGCATAGATCATCTCCAAGTACACAGGACCCATAGTGGTGTAGATGAGTCGACGGAGAGCGTGGGAGTAGATATTCAGAAGATGACGCTAGATCAAAATGAGAAAGTTTCCATTTTAGTTGTTACAGGGGGCTCAGGCACCTCTACTCTCGAACAACACACTCCTGCTCCTGTCGGAGTGTCCACCTCTACACCTGCAGTGCCAGTAGGTCAACAAGAACCAATAAACCCTGAAGACTGTACAGTTGTGCCTCCACCACTACCTCGATGCCTCCCTGAACGAAATACGCACAATTTTGGCACTTCTGTAAACATCCCTGACGAATTCCAAGCTGTGGAGTTGCAAATCGTAGATTCTGATAACAACAGTGACAGAACTTTGGACCTCTCATCGTCTCTAGTTGAGTCGTCTGCTTCCTCAAAAGGCACATCAAGAACGTCTTCTTCTGCCTATCATGCCATTGACTCTGATAACAGCGAACGAGCCGTAGCAGCTGCAGCATGCTGTACTAGTTCTATGTTGTGTGGTTCTTCAAAAGGCGAACACGTTGAGCGCGAAAGTCGCGGTAGCCAGCAGCGTGGAAGCACGACAACCAAGTCCAACTCTAAGACTAGGAGCAGGAAGAGAAAAGTCCCGGCGGCACCTCCTGCAACAAGAAATGCGTCAGTCGTACGAGTAGATCAAGGAGAAAGGAAACGGCCGAGACCAGATCACAACAAAATTCAAGATAGCCTTGCAGCAGAAGAGCCCAGACGCCGTGGTCCGCAACCCTCAGCTGTGACTGTAGACACTGATACTCCAGCCGAGGAACCAGATGAAAAAACTCATCCCAAAGCCAAGCCGTCTAGTGCAAGCAAAGCAACATCGTCTGTCCTCTCTCCTCCAGCAAGAAAAATGAAACCAATGACCGACACATCTACATCCACCAGTAACAAGAAAGTAGTGGTCGCTAACGTTACGGAACCAGAGAAAAACGCAAGAGCTTCTTCATCATCATCTGCGGCCGCACCTCCCGCCGCACTTGTCCTTACGGAAAAGCGACGCGTGGTTGGTGCGAAATCTCTCACTAGTGGCAGTGAAGGAGAGGCAGTGCCGCCACCGCTTTACAGCAGTGTCGCGAGCCCTATAACAACGTCAGGGAACAATGAGGGTGCTGAGGTACTTGGCGAGTCTGAAACGCCTCTACCTCTCCAACTACAAGCTCAACTCCCGCAAAAGCAAGCACAGTTGTCACCGGCAGAGTATCAACAAGCAACTGATCAAGATCTGACTGCTTCGTCTTTATCTCCAGTCCCTCGTCCTATCACCACCATCAAAACTGTGGGTACTTCAAAGACAACGACTATCCATCAACGAGTAGCTGACACTTCAGTCACATCTTCTTCCTACAGTAAGACAACTTCTGGCATAACAACCAAGATGGACCTCCTTTTCGCAAAGAATTGTGCTGCTGGACAGAATAGGCTAACGCGCATTCGCGAAAGGGCAGAACGGGGTGTAGTTCAGCGTGGGGAAGAGCTTCGAGGACGCATGAGTCCACTCAACGGTCGGTCGCTCACTCCAAAGCACGCTAGTAGAGCACTTAGAGGACACCTTGCTCCTGAAGAAACATCAACATCATCGTCTTCTTCTTCTGAAGCTCCTGTGGACAACAAGAGTGGAGACGGCAGAAATGATGAAGAAACGAATGTTTCCTTCACTTCTTCCAAAAAGCAAAACACGACGAATCACGCTCAGGCAAAGGCAGAGACAAAGAAGGGGAGTAGAGGACCTAATACAAGCACACTCCAGACCACGACCACTTCATCCATCTCTCCTGTTCTCCAGAAGAAAGCCCGCCTTTCTCCAGTCGTGTTACCTGCTGCGTTACCCCTCACGAAGAACCTGACCAAGTCTCCAAGTGTCCCTAACACAGCGACAGCCTTGGTGCCATCCCCGGGCACAGCCGCACCACGTCCGCGACCCCCTCAATCTCCAACACCGATTACAACTGCTTCATCATCTAGTGGGATGGCACCTGCACCACCACCACCAGTTGTACCTGTAGTACCTAGTAGAAGTGCCACTCCTACTAGTACAACATCCTCCTTCGAACGTCGAGACAAACTACGTGCCGCTCGGGAAGAACGGTACAAACAGAGGATGGAGAACTTTCGTAGTCGGAGCAAACAGGCACTGCAGACGTTGCAAGAGACTGTAGAAAGGAACGCAAGTACAAGTCCACCCGCATCTCCACCTCTAGCTCTAGAGTCGCGGATTGCAGGACAATCACGGATTGCAGCTAGAGGTGCCAAGGATTCTAAGGCCTCAGTGTCGCCATCAGGTCGTCGAGGGGTGAGAAACAAGTTATTGACAAATGGAACGGCTGGATTCAAGGTTGATGATTGAGTCTCAAGGGCTGTCTTTTTCAAGAAAAAAGGGAATCTAAGATTCCATCCCTAACACTATATTAATTCTGTCAAGTCTACTCTATTGATAAAAATGATGTTGAGCGAAAATATTCTTCACAAGAAAAAGAATCGCCGTGATCTTTTTGAGAGCGAGGTCTCCAGACCGAGAAGTTTCTCGAAAGAGTGTGTCTGTTCCCAATTTTCATTGCGACAAATCATTTGTTATAATTTGAGTGTTGAACGAGAACGAGACTGAACGATAGTGAATCTGCTTTGAGAACTTCAACGTTGATGAGAGTGCTGCGTTGTGTTGATCTTGATGCGCAGAGGAGACTTATTTATCGAGTCAGCGTACCTTGGTCGGTGTTTATTCAGTTGCAATGATCGTTCTGACGAGGACGAGAACAAAACGTGCCCCCGCTAAGCGCCTTTTCTTCTGTCCTGAGAGTGAATTGCTTTGATGCTAGAGATGAGATCTCTTCTCTGATAATATCTCTGGAATCCTCTTCCATCCTGTCTTGTTTCTCCGCAGGCAGAGACCTCAGCGTCCAGAGCTACAGACCTTAGCGTCTAGTTTTCCATAGCGAAACTACAATTTTCTCAAACGATTTTATCTACATCAGACTAACTTCTCTTTTTTTTAGCACGTCATACATCTTCTAGTACATCTAGCTCTACTTGGCTACAAAAGAGAACTTTTTGCTTACAACTAGTTAGTAGGAAGAGAATCAATCCATTTCTCACCGGCGTATCCATAATCTGAACAATTTTTGTCTCAAGACTTTTTTTCTAGTGGTTATTTTTGGTAGAATACTAGCCTATGCGCTAAATTCTTCTGCCAATCAAACTTCTAAGTCTAATTGACCCTCTAGTTTACCACGTCTAAAGCGAATAAACATCTTGTCTACTTCGTTCATTGACGCATTTCCATTTAGAAATCAATCTACATTAATGCTTTCTTCTTTGCAAAAATCATGAAGTTCAACCTGAAACCAGTGGAGAAAAAGTTGCAGTGTGCTGGCAAAGATATCGCTAAGTTTGTGAAGAACACCGTTCCGAAAAAGCCGGTTGAAGTCAAGCTTCCGTCTATCAAGGTCGCTGATAAAATCGATATCAAGATTGACGTACACGTCCACATGCCAAGCAACTGCTGATTGAAGTCGGAGAGAACTGGCAATAATAGAGTAAGTAGAACGAAAGCAACTACAGGAAAGCAACTGCAGCGATTGTCAGTGTAAGAGCTAAGGCCACATAAGAGAGCGTTTTCTTCGATAAGCTTGAAATAACTTTCCGAAAATCGTCCGACTGCAATCTGAAAGAAATACCCTTTCTACTCGCCAAAACTCATTCCGCAAAGGTCATCCAGTACAAGAGACCAAACAGCGAAGATGTCGAAGCAAGGCGAACAAGTTGTTTCGACCACGGTCCGAGCCCGTGCCACGCACCCGCCTCCTGTGACCACCGCATCTTCAGCACCTGCTGGAACGACTATTGCAAACGGTACTACCCAAAAAAAGCGTGCTTCGCCTCCTCACAACGTTCTCTACTTCCAGACTTCGTCCTCCGATGTGCTTTTCAAGCAGACTGGAGGTCGGGATATCGCCTTTCGCTTCGATCCCTCTTCTTCTGCAGCGAGCTCGGAATATCGTGGACTGGAGCAGCGGTCTCAGATTGCACGTGAGACATTGTTGGATGGACGTGGTCGTGGTGGTCCGCGGAGTTCTTCCACTACACCTCTGAACTTAAAGAAGCCGAATGGCACGCCTGGGGGTCTTAAGACTGTTCGCAGTGCCAGCGTGGGTCCGAATCTCGAGACCATTCGAAGAGAGCACCAACACCTTCAGGCTACGCAATTCATTCCCGCTGCAGCCCATCCAGGAACTCAGATGTATCAGGTTTACCAAACGAATCCAAACAATTTTGATGTGAAACAAGCAATGAACACTTCTGCTAGATCCAGTATTTTTTCCTCTCATGGTCCTCGTCGCAGTAAGAGCGAAGGGCCACCCGTTGAGCGGTCCACATTCGATTGGCAAAAATGGAAAAGCGAGCAAGGCTACGCCGATACGCCCTACGACTCTCCACCACCTTCCCGATATGACTTACCTAGGACGCCACCTGATGCTTGGAGTAAGGGGAAGGAAGCGATGGAGATGCAGAGAAAAGCTCTTGAGGCTGAACAACGTGAAAAGGGAAACCCTCCTGTTCAATTGCCAGCGTCCCGCAGTACCTCTAGCGCTGGAGACGGCAATTCGACCATTGGCGAGGACAACACCAGTGCCGCTTTATTACACGATCGCCACGTCACACCAAACGACTATAGGACGAGCAGCTACAATTCGCTATTTTCATCCTTCAAAAATGGCATCGGAGGCGGAAATGGGAAGAATGGGAACAATAATGGTATCAAAAATGCGAATGCTCCAGCTGGCGGGCCTTCTTTCCCACCTCCGGGTGAGGGAAACAACAACGCCAATGCCTATCATATGGACATGAACGATCGTGGAAATCCGGAGCATGCACAGGATATGTTGAATGTGAATCATGAGAATGCGAATCAGAATGCAAACAGCATGCACAGCAAGCGTCGGGCAGAGGGATCGACGATGCGTCGTGAAATGCAATCTCAATCTTCCCAAGACATGTATCAGTTGTACTATGGGTCTCCTCGCAACAAGAACAACATGGACTTTCAAAATTATCCGACGTCTCCTCGAGGTGGCGGTCGAGGTTCGAATACGTCTTACCACGGAAACAATTACAACAAGCAAAACCAGAAACGTTCCTTTTCTACGTCGGTCACAGATATCCACTGCTTTGGAATTGTGGGTGCTTACCTTGCAATGTTTTGTACTGCGATAATGGTGGGGTCACACGTCATCTGGGCTTCCATCTCTGCGTTTTGGAATGCCTTGGTTGCGGAAGCTATGCACTGTTGTCGAGCTCGCAGCGTGGCTGAAATGCGATGGTGTGTCGGATTTAGGACGCTTTTGGTAGAACGACAGCCGATGAGTTGGAGAAGAAGGTTGGCGAATGGAGGTGATGAAAAGAATGGATGCGCAGTTCTTGACAGTCAAGGAGGTCAAAGGACGCATCTTTTGCTTAAAGGCAACTACAATAAGGGCAGTCTGTATGCGGTACCCAGTCGTGCTGCCACTTCGCCTAATGCGTCACCGAGTGTCGTTGTGCCCCGTGCATTGTCGCCCGTACCGGCAACTGCAGAACTACCCAGACTGGTTGAAGGAACTCATCAAGCTGTTGTGGTTCCAAGTTCGAAGAGTCCAGCACGTGCTACGATGGCGAATGCCAATGCAATGAATGCGAAAAACCAAATCCAAGGACAGGGAAACGAAAAACAACATGGTGGCTTTGTTGAGTTTCAACAGTCTCATGGCCATCATGTTTCTTCTAATGATCCTAGCGCTGGCTTTAATTATGCTGGCACTGGCTATAAGAATCAGCATGATGACATTAACATGAGAATGAACAATACTCATACTCACGATCCTGAGGACCCTTTCAGGGCCCGTCAGGACCATCAATACCATGTAAAGTATGATGGCATCGTGCACCAAAGCAAGCAAGGAAAGCAAGGCCAGCGATATAAGGATCAGGATGATGCAGACGCCATATCCAACTCATCCGAGACCCTGTGCTCATACGGTCGTCAATTTGCTGCGTTTTGCGATCGAGTTCGGCAACGGGCGTTCATTGTCTTTTACCGTTTGTGTTTTCACACTGGTTTCGATGCCTTTACCGTTTTCGTGTTGCTTTTGAACATGGCTGAAATTCTAGCAGAATACGACTGGCCGGTTGACGCGGTGCCTAAGGCTGCCCATATCACCTTTAGAAGTCTCGATTTAGCGTTTTTCGTGTATTACAACTTGGAATTCATTGCTCGATCGACATTGGCTTTTACGGTAGTGAAACTGGCCGTTAGAGACGAAAGCGACGTGAAGAATGAAAACGGGCAGGAGATGGGGAACATCAACGTCGATGAACAGGGGACTTACATCAACATCGATGAGCAAGGAGGACAAGCCAACAACAAGAAACAAGGCGAAGATCGTCCGGGTCGTGAAGACGAGGAAACCGTTAGGCTTAGGGTTTGGCCCTATGATGTCTTGATATCCGATTTCGTATATGCGCGTAAGGGAAATATTTACATGCTGCACGACTTGGATCATGATGCACCAGCCTATAGCAACGAAGAAGATGACATGGAGAACGAAAACAAGACGACGATGAATGTCGAAAATACTTCTACAGGAGAAAACAAAGCAGCCTACACCGAGGAACGCGTGCTCTATTTCGGTTTTTCACTATTTTTCGATCTCTGCCTGTTGCTTCTAGCCTATTGCACCGAGATCATCATTCCTGCTGTGGTGTGCAAACGCGCTGACATTTTTGGCGGGTCGTCGTATGACGAATTGTTGGAATTGCAGACGGGACAACAAGGTCGCTTGGAGGACACTGTGAAAGCTAGTATGTTGCGCAATGCTGTCGGACTTTTTACCATCTTCCGCGCTCTCCGAGGCTTACGTCTTCTCCGCCTCTTCTCCTTGTCCGACTCGCTCTTAGCCGCGACGAGAAAAGCTGCACATGCCATGTTCTTGCTGAGACCTTGGGCACTGTTGTTGGGAACTGTTCTGATCGCTTCAGTGTTCATCAGCTTGGAAGCTATTGGAAGAAACGAAACGTTGACATCGGCGACTGCAACTGCATTAGCACAGGATCTCGAGGATGAAGGTGAAGCCAGACCCTACAGCGAAGCCATTGCCGCATTTGGCAGAAGCTCTACCGCTTTGGCTGTGTTTTTGCGACTTGCAACATTGTCTAGTGGTGGAAATGGTGGGCCGTTTTATGATGTTCAAGCTTTGGCAGAACAGGAAGTGTGGATGTTAATCTGGTTTCAAGGGGTAGCTGGGGTGATGGTTTTTCTGATTTTGAATTGTATCGCGGATTTTGTGGTGCGGTATGCGGAATTCACGAAGCGGATTGATGAAGACCTGTCTGCCTACAATCAAGGAGGAGCTAGCGCCCATGTCGAAAATTCTATGTTGACTCTTGTACCTACGAACTACGACTTCCTTGAAAGCACCCGCGGAGAGAACCAGCTGCATGGCTCACCTCTTGCTGACCACCAGCACCACGCACAACATCAACTCATGTCCTCCACTGGCGGCGGTTTAAAAGAAGACGCCATTCTCTTGCAACAGCGAACCGGCTCGACTTTGATGAATTCGCGCAATTCCTTCTACAACAGTCTCAACAACCAAGGGAATAGTATGCAACAAAGAAACGACATGATGAACCGGAACTACAATACAACTCAGTTTTTGACTTTTGAGTCTCGCAGCTTCATGTTGGCTCAGGAACTGCGTGAGGTGATGGCAGCTGTCTGTGAGGACCCAGATCACTGGCAGAAACTGGAGAAACACCTACAACAGAGGAAAGAAGTCGCTACGACGAGTACGCATTTACAAGAGCAATCAAAACTAAGGCAGGAACAAGATGCTGAGAAAACTACAGACGCGGAAAATCATGGAGCCCCATCCAATCTTCCGCTCCACGCCAAAAGCGTCAGTCGTCTATCTTTTGAACGGCAATGGCGTAACTCTGCTTGTTTGAGGGAACTTTTACTCGATGCACTCAAGCTTCACGATATCGAAGATGATCGCTTGTTTGAATTATTTCGTGCTGATGCTGGTGGCTACACTAGTTCCCTTTCCGGAGGAGCAGCGGGGTCTTCTGCTACGTCCTCTACTAGGATGTTACTAGGCAGCAGTCTCTTCAACGAGGCTAAAGCCGTCATATCTGCAGCTGCGGGTTTGCCAAGCGAAGTGGTTTCCGCAGAGACGTTTCTGGCAAGGTATATGGCTTTGCGGTTTTTGGCGTTTTTCGATGTGCAAGGTTATGCGGTTTTGTCGGTTCTGTGCGGAGATGATGCGGAAGCAAGATTCAAGTTGCTGAAGCAAGGGTTTAAGGGCAGCACGAATGCGATGAATGCGTAAAGAATTCAAAAGCGACAGCGAGGACACCGACAGAAACTCACTTGGATGAAATTATAGATCCATAGAAAGCGAAAAAATGTTGAATTGCTATTTTTTGCGATTCATCGAGTAGTAGTTGTAGAAGACTTCTTGTTCTTGTCTCGAGCGCAATAAATCTTCTTGTTTCACTCGGACTTTGGTTTTTAATCATTTGTTTCACATCCAGAAAGATTCTCAGTGTTGCTTTGTTTTGACCTTCTCGTTTTTTTTCAAATCTATCAATCAACGGCATGTAAATGTAGTACTAGCAGCAGTGTCCTCTTGATGATGAACAACTCAATCGTTTTCCGTTCTGTTTCGATCCAATGGACACTTGTTACTCGTCTATCTTGATGATTTTGGTTTTATTTCGTGGCTTTCTGGTTTTTTATCTTCGATCCACCTTCTATTTTTGCTGAACAATCTTTCAATTTCATTTATGGTGGCGAGGTTATAAAATTTCGGCTTCACGACCCTAGTCTTATCAGTCCTATGTATCGCTTTTTTCGGTTATTGTTTCACTCACTGTCTTCTGCAGATATATTTCACTGCATGGACGAATTTGTCTGATGCACAAATGATAATTGTCCAGATAAATGGATGGGGTAAAAAGGGGAACCCACTCGGGAAAACATCAGGGCCGCCTCCGGACCGCTAACGTGAATAGCCTTGTTCGGACAAAATGATGGTCCCATTTGGGAGCTAAGGGCTTCCCAAATTTTTCGAATGTGGGCTCGCTCCACTTCTGCGATTAGGATGCGGTGTCAGGGCATGGGTGCAAGCAGAATCGAAAGCGATTCTGTCTAAAGTTATCGGTTCTTGTTGCTCAAGTTTACACCCAGCAACGCACCTCACGCAGCATAGAAAAAAGAGTGCTTCACCTCCTTAAATAGTAGCCAATATCAACAAGGCTCTGGCTCATGTACATTTCTGAAATCTCCAAATCCAAATCCAAATGTAAAAATGTATGCGCATCTCATCTACATCTCAGTGAAGAACCCCTAGGAAAGGCCAACATTGGTACATACACAATCATTATTATGGCTGTTACCATCTCGACTCTGTGTGTTGCTTTGCAGAGTCCTAATAATAGGATGAATGTGACGTCATTGATCCCGTGAATCCAGCAACATCTCCTAATTTTTCACTACAAGCGATCGGGATCGCGATGAAGACCCGAAAGCATGACAAGCTGGAACCAGATACCACATCAGATCTGTTGACTGTTTCTCTTTCTGTTAAGCGCCGCAAGCAATTAGATATGATAGGACTAGAAGGTATAAAACAGGTACACTCGTCATCGTCTTCCGGTGTATCTATCATCTTCAACGGTCTAATGCATTCTCCCAGAGCGTCACAATCTGCGGTCTAGTGCATTCTACCAGAGCGTCACAATCTGCGGTGTATCTATCATCTTCAACGGTCTAATGCATTCTACCAGAGCGTCACAATCTTGCCCGATGTAGCAGTCGTTTTCGGGGCGGCAGTTGTATTGAAGTAGAACAGTATATTTTGGCCTTTTGACCACTACATCTACATTTATATTTATTTTTAAAAATGTTGTAGGTACATACTTCTACAAGAACCAACTACAACATCTTCAAGAAGATCAAGAAGCATTATATTTGTTGATGTAGTACGCTTCAGTAACAACAAGATGAGCACTTTTTCTGAGAGTCGGACATCAGCCGCAAGCAGCAGCTTTGCTGAATCTGCTGACTCTTCTATTCAAGAGGATCTTCATGGGCATGAGGATTATCACTTTGAGGATTATCACTTTGAGGGGCACGAACGTGAGCAAGCTGAAGAAGAACACAACTTGTGCAGGTTCGTCTTGGGTGAGGGTCGTCACCTCCACCTTGCAGATGAGGATTCGGACTCAATATCTCTGGAAGACGAAGAGGAGGCCTTCTTTCGGAATGAGAAAGAAACCCAAGAGAAGGACGACGAGGAGAAAATGGGCTGTTGCGAACCGTTTTGGGCTACGATGTTAATCCTAACCTTTGTCGGATCGATCGTGTTGGGCACTATGCTGATGCACTTTCAGTTTAGGGTGGACGACAAGGCTCTACTTAATAGTCCTCTTAGAACTGCTGTTATTGTTAATAATTAGAAAAGTCCTAACATCAACAGGGGTAACAAGGGTATAATGCTGCGCAATAATATCTCATTGAAGATCAGGCTTCCAAAGTCTAACCACTACACAATTCTCACGCCTCTAATGATTTCCACAGTCTCACGAACACGAAGATCATGCCACTAAGTCCACAATGTTTAATATACCTCTAATCATCGGCACAGTCTTACGAACATCGTGCCAGGATGGAGTGTGATTGCCTTTTGGTCTACACTGGGAAGCTTTGGGGGCATTTATCTGTTTTATTTGCTCTACTCTTGTTGCGCCTCCACGACGAAGAGTTACATGTCGAACGTAATGCCCAGATCGAAATTCGAGTATTATTAAGGCTAAAACCACGCTATACTTATATAATGCTCTTCGTAATCCATCGATCTCTGTGGAGGGGAGTCCCAAGTTCATTCCTCTTAGATATCATCCTCGTGCTCCACAGAGATGAAACTCTGTTTTTCCTCTAAGACTACGTAAACCAGATTCGGCATGCGAAACCGCGCATCACGTTTTCAATCCAAAACTATCACTACGAAACCCGAACAAGGACGACCACTCAGACGGACTCAAATGTTAAGATGCAATGGAAATTAAAGATCTCTTAGTCTTCGATGAAGAGAACAAGTTTGTTAGTAGAAGTAGAAGTACCACGAGCTGCAGCTGAACAGCCAGGTGATGTAGCAGGTCAAGAAGTCCTTACATCATAGCTACTGCTCTGATCTACTTCATGATCAATCACATTCTTGCTGGAAGAGAACGTCAACTCTTTTTCTTGACAGCATTGTTTATCATCAAACCTCTAGATTAGAGCCTCTAATTTCAGTAAAACCACAACTCGCACAGAGACGTATACGGTGAGAGTTGACACGCATTACGCCGAGATGGATTACGAGATAGGCGCTTTTATAGACCATACGTGGACATTGGCGGAGAAAATGAGACGTCGCAAACACACCCTGCAGCTGCTAGAAAGAGTGCGACGTGAACAGAGACGAGCAGAAAGGGAGGCAGCAGAGATGGAACGAGAAAGGGTGGAAAGAGTTGTTAGAAGAGAGGAAGACGAAGAGGAACAACGTCAATTAGAAGCGGCACAAGCTGCACAGCAACTAGAAGCTGCACAGGCGCAGCAGGGTCCGGTAGTTGAAGGAGTTCTTGCGCGACAAGGTCAGGATCAGCAACTACAAGGCGGAGGAAGCTCTTCGTCCTCTTCTAGTAGCTCCTCTTCTAGTAGTAGTGGTAGTGCTGAAGGCGGACTGGAGGGTCGTACTATAATCGGACTGGGAGGCTCCGGCTCGTCCCCCATTCCAACCGCACCTCGTCCTGACGACGACCAAGAACCAAAAGAAGTACAAGAAGTGCAACAAATACAAATAAAGCTAGCAGAAGCGCAAGGACTACATGCTGGACCAGTCGGACAACAACAAGAAGTACAAGCACAAATGCACATACAGGCACAACATGAACATGATCAATCCTTACTTCACCAAGGACACGTGAAGGATGTCCACCAAGACCAAGAGGATCTTGACCCAGTTCCCTCAGCCCCGCCTCTGGATGATATGCTAGCCGAAGCACAGGAGGATCTGATTTGTGTCATTTGCCTAGACAAGCCCTGTGTAGCTCGCTACACTCCCTGTGGACATCAAGTCGTGTGTCTAGAATGCGGAGAATCATGGCTGAAGTCACATGCAACGTGCCCAATTTGCAGAGCTACGGTTACGAGTTGTGATGTCGTACTGGAAAGGGGAAGTGGTCGTGGGCGTGCTGGCGGTTTGCGAAGTTGTCCTCCTGGACTGGGTGGAGGAGTCGGACTCGGAGGAGGAGACTATAAGCAAATATGCTCTGGCACATCTACCTGTGGTCCTGCTTTGGTGGGTCACCAAACTGTCAGAGGGTACGACCAAGACTATGATTTGGAAGCGGGTCCTCCATTGGTAGCTGTGGAAGGAGTGCGAATCGATGAAAACCAAAATCCACAGGGCCGCCCGGGCGAAAGTTCTAGTTCTTCAAGTACTACAAGGAATGTCAGCACACACAACAATTGGGATCTTCAACGTTCAAATGCAGCAGGAGGAGCATCATCTTCAAGTACGACTAGAGCAGCCACTGCAAGGGCAACCTCCAGAGTGAATCCTCGCAAGCGACAAGATCCATCGTCGACCGCTACCTTTGTTCGAGACCACCTCAAATCCTCCAAGAACTCCAAGAAGGTGTCTCCGTGTTTAATGATCCATTTTCCCCTGACGCTTACACCGTTAAACGACGCAACTAGAAGAGATATGGAGGAAACGAAACAGCAGTTCTTTCGAGCCAACAAAACCGATGTCCTTTCTGATGAGTCTACGGATCGAACTCTTGCACTTCCGGACGGCTCGGCTTTTGAGGATCGCGTCATCATGTGTCGAACCGATCATGTTTAAGGCTCTCACTAATTCATCTTGTTTGATGACTTCTGATATTAACTTTGAATGGTTCTGGTATTTTTGGTATAGCCTGAATTTGATCACAAGTGTTCTCTTCTTGTTTTCCTTTATGATCAAACTCAGGTTACCAAATAGCGGGAGCATACAAACTTCCACTTCTGCATCCTGCTTGAACTTGAAAAGTATTGGAGCAGAGGGGGAGCATTTCCTTACCATGTATACTCGTCTTCATACTCTTCAAGGATGCAGTATGAGTATGCACTACTTGGAAAATGAATTACAACGGAGAGGGAGAGGTCTTCTAACATGTGCCTAGTTGGTTGTCGCGTGCACGCTACAATTGGTGGACGGTCTTTGGATGCGCCTGTTGTTTCCGAGCGAAACTCTTGGAAGCCGCAAGATACGAGAAATGGGAGATTAGCAAGAGCTTCACGAGCTGCAGACAGAGAAACAAATATTAGAACGGTGGTGAGGTACGAGGAGAAAAGACGAGGAGGTAGAAGGCATGGAGCACGTGCACTGATTACGGAAGGTGAACTAATACTACTCAGTATTTGGCCTAGTACGACGAGGCAAACGCAAACTTATTGAAGGGGGAAAGCCGCAACTGCTGCATCTGCAGTGACTACATATCACAAAAAAGGAGCACGTAATATATGATGTTCGTATAGAGGAACAAGAGGCAACACGTTGCTGGTTTTCGAAGGGCACGAAGAAGTTGTATGTTCGGAATAACCAGAATGCTCGACGATGGAGCTAATACATAGATGAAAAACAACAAACATGCTATTGCATTTTTACTAGAGGATTACAACCAGAACCCAGTACAAGAAGATGAGATCTTTTTATACCAGCATTGCTATTTTTCTTGATCACGGTATTCATACAACACACTAAATGAAAATGTACCCTCCACCTTATAAATACAAATACAAATTGTTTGACAAAGAGTAGGACGCAACATGAAGGTACTAATACTATGACATGCCATCCTTATAAAATATATTCTTCCATCAGCATCTACATCTTCTTTTGGTGGCTCCTAAGTTTATTTGTCCTATAGAAGACACATGGTCATACACATGTTCTTGACATCTTGAAAGAGGCAAGAAAGAAGCTGGCTCTGTGTCGTGATACAGCAAGGAAGAAAGCAGGTGGTTCTTTGTCGTGATGCGACAGCAGGATGAATATCAAAATCGAGAAGTGTTCGTCCCTTACGTCACGTAAGTTACATGTTGACAGGCTTCTGCAAGTGCATGTGCAACATGAACTTCAACTTCTAGAGTCAACAAGAAGAATTTTTACAGCTGCGATGTTACAGCTGCTAGTCAGCAAGATGAAGAACTACGACGATGCTACAGCTGCTGCTCTTCGGTGATCGTAATCTCTGTTGCCTAATTGGTCCGACGAGAAAAGCAAAAGTATGTTGCAGCAATAGACTCGTGAATCAGGGTCAGCAGCCGGAGGACACGACATACTGTGAAAATCGAAATTCGTTCTGCTCCTAGTTCTGTGCACCCTCTGAAGACTTCAAACATCATCATAGTCATTCACGCAAACACTCACCCACTATCTCACACCAGGCTATTATTGAGTACTCAGGACACCGCTAGCCCTAGCGGGAAGGTCGAGCACCTATATTTTTTCAAAATCGGTCATTTCGTTTTTGATGTATTTGCCTTAAAACGTAGTTAGCACCACCAGAAGTATTAGTTCTTGAGATGCTTCAGACGCAGGAGCCGCTACTGCCATTTTTTTCTCTAGATGAAAAGTAAGATCAAAATCAAAATATCAACTAAGTACCCACTCACTACTAGAAATCGAACTACCCGCAGCACCTGACATCAAGCTGCAGAAGATGCTGTCCCTACCAACTACACTCTTCTCCTGGCTGTCCGCTTTGGCCCAGGTGTGCGAGTGCAGAACAACTACGCCTCAGGTGCCCCAGCAAGTAGAAGAAGAAGCACAAGACCCTCAAGCTCAAACAAGGGAAGCCTTGATTGCGGGAGAAGCGCGACACCATCAAGTAGCAAGGGAAGTGGCAGGGTTTTTACAGCCTCAAACCAGTACCAGAGCAGACCCAAGCCCAACTAGTCCGTCTAATATGGACGTCGAGATGGAAGCATCTGCTTCACGTTCACACGTGAGAGCAGCAGGACAAGTAGATCATGTTCAAGTTCGTCCCGCCGTTGACATTCTCGCAAGTAGAACAAGAACAAGCAGGATGCCTCGCATCGTCGATGAGAACAACTTAGTAGTTCCGAAGGCTCCTCCAGGTTTACACCACCAGGGTCCTCCAATTCCTCCAGAAGTAGTTCCGAAGGCTCCTCCAGGTTTACACCACCAGGGTCCTCCAGTTCCTCCAGAAGTAGTTCCGAAGGCTCCTCCAGGTTTACACCACCAGGGTCCTCCACCAGGCCTAGACGACCACGATACTCTGCGCCTGTTGACAGAAAATTCTCTAATGTCGTCCATTATGGACAACTACGAACCAGATTTGGAGAACTACGAGGAACAAGAACAACAACAAGTGGAACAAGATGGACCTTTTTTACTTGCTCTTGCTTCTCCTTTGCCTTTATTTTTATTTGATAATAACAACAACAACAATTTCATGATGAATATTTTTAATATGGAACAACCTGAAGATGAAGGACATCGCGTTCCAGTTCCAGATTGGTACCCCGATGAACTGCTTCGTGGAGGTTAAAAGCGCATAGAGACCGAGACCCAATAGAAGAAATAATCCATTATGTTTTTTGGATTCTTTTTCTTTCAATACTAACTATTCACTGCGGAGTTTATTGTGCGGAGGCTGGGGAAGAAGAGGGCCTGTGATGAGCAGGAGAGTCAGGCAGAGGTTCTTTTGTGAACATCAAGTAGGAGTGGATGAAAGTCATAATTCTAGTTTGTAAGATTTTGATTTTCCGTTTTTCTGGCGATGGTTGCGCATGCTGATATTTTCAAGCTCTCTGCTTCCGGAATATGTGCAGCAGAGAGACGCATGAGTCTACTCTTAGAATAGCATGCAGTTCGCTGCACCAAGAACAAGAGCAAGAAGGTCGAAGATGAAGAAGATGAACCGGTCGCATGCAGCCAATAGTCCAGCGTATTTCATGAAATATGTATCTATATGTTGATGAAAGAACCGCTCTTAATATGCATAATGGCTCTTTTTGATGCGTGGACGTGGTCCTCCCACGACCACTCTCCGCAAACAACTAATGGTCGTGTTGTTTACAACCTGAACACCCCTACTTAGATCATAGACGTTGATGTTCTTTCTTGAAGGATGACGGCAAAAACAACGGGTTGACGAGGTGACTCAACACCTGCTGGCAAGTTTGGGCTTTTTTTTGTTGCCTCCTTGTCTATGTCTACAAGTGCACAAACATTTACTTACGTGACTTGAAGCGCGGTCGTGGCCTTGACTTACGAACTCAAAGAGAAGACAGGGCGCTCGAGTAAAAACAAGACAAAGACAAGGAGGTCGTCCATGTCCCCATTTATCCGAGTGGGTTTTTAGAAGTTTGAGTTTCATCAATCGTATCCGTATCGATAGCATTTTCTTTGTTCAAGTCGTAAAGTGGTGTCGTAGATTCTTGAACGTCACATTGATGAATATCGATCCGAAGGCCTTGTTCTTAACCTTAGTACGTTTCTAGGAGAAACGATAAGAAGGAGGAGGGTGAAAAATGACGCAAATCGTTGTAAGCGTTTACGAAACTGCACGTTTGCAAGGCGATCCCGATGGTTGCGTCGGTTGGGACGCATTGTGGCTGTTTGCGAAGACAGTCGCGACGAAGCACTCAAAAAACAGTTTAGGCTCAGCTTTCAAGGGTCATTGGGGTTGGTCACTGAGATCGAAGAAGCGACCCCTTTGGAGAACAGGGGAAAAGGAAGGGAAAGGAGAGACCTTTGAAGGGGGTCTCTTCCGTTCAGCATCAGTGGCCATTGAATGCTGAGCTTTAATTGCGGTAAAAAGAACCAGGGAAGTCTCTCCTGCGCAAGTTGGGAGTGGTGAGGGCGGTTAGACGTGATGCGGTTGAAAGTGCCAGTAGTACTAGTAGTCCTTTGTTGGGAACTATGTATTAGTATTCTCGAAAAAACGACTGGCGATGGACGAGGAACCGACTGGATATGGCAAGAAGCTAGATTCTGCGGCTTTTCAGGAGTTCATGAAATCACACTTCCGAGAACAAGTAGTAGAGGACCAGAAAGCGAGTCTAGAGCTAGCTGGATCACACTTCCAAGAACAAGTAGTAGAGGACCAGAAAGCGACTCTAGAGCTAGCTGGATCACACTTCCAAGAACAAGTAGTAGAGGACCAGAAACAAGCGACTCTAGATCTAGCTGATTTGAAAAGGAGATCCTAGTACTACTGAGTTGGACATCATTCCAGACAGCGACGATCTACTCTAGAAGGAGTTGCAGTAGCACGACAAGTAGTATCGTCCAAAACGCCAGTCAGATCTCTCCTTTTCGACGCTGAAAAGGTCAAAACACAGGAGAGTGCGGAGGAGGCTTGTGGCATCCGCACCAAGATAAGCCTGTCGGGATGGGCGGCAAGGTGTTGCAGTTGCTGGCAGTTGAGGCTGTGCATGAGTATTTCCTGCATTACATGGAAAATCTCGACTATCAGCTTCCAGCTCAAAAGCAGCTTCGAACAATTTCGGAAATTGTTGACGTTGAATGCAGTAGCCCTCTCTACTAACGCGAATGGGCGCAAGCTTTCTAACGAAAAAACTTTCCGCGGCTGGTCCTACGACAATGACATCGTAGAGGGGAGTTCAATTCCACCTGCAATCTTGGTGAATCTCAGACAAGGACAAGTCGCGTCAGCCTCCAAAACTTCGAAATGTGTACGTTTGAAAGAAGCATCTCCGACTTCTAGAAGTTCTAGAGATGACTACTAGAAGTTCTACTAGATATGGAGGGAAATTCGCCTACAAAAACGCCTTTACTTATGGAGGCAAAAAAAAAAAAATATTTTAGTCAGATAGTCAACTAGCTACTTCAGTAGCGCTATGGATGGACTCTGCAGAAGCGCGACACCCTGCCGCTCGTGGTTGCATCAGCTGGGCGAGCTGAAGAGCCGCCGCAAGGGTGCCGCGCATGGTTTGCCTGGTTGCCCTTGCGGCGCGCCGAATGCGTTGGGGGTCCCAGTGCATCGCCATGTGTCCACGGTCATGCGCCTTCGGCAGATGAAAAGCAGAACCGGCCGACCCATCTAGAAACGACGCGAGCGCAGACACAGCGAGAACCGAGAAGAAGGAGGCCAACCATGTTGCAAAAACGTGGAGAACTCGGGCGGTGGGGGTTCTCAAATGCTGCCCCCTTTCTGGCATGGTTAGATACGGCGTCGGACCCCCTGAGCCCTCCCGAAGAAATCCCGAAAATTGCCCACCTTCGCGTGGCTGATTTTTCACACCCAAATCGAGGGAGTGATAGGCGTTGGCAAGTGTCTACAAATTCCCTTCAAAATGGTCGAAATGTTCCCCGTCGAACCCCTTGAAAGCTTCGGCAAAATCATCGCCACGCATGGACCCGGCAAGAAATGTGACCAAAATGAGCCAGCTCCATCGGCCTCACTCAGTCGGAACTGTCAACGATCTACAACTCCACATCTGAGCCCCATCCAGAGGGCCAAAAGGCCCCGAACTTGTCCAAGCCATCGCCAGAGCATCAGCGGCCTACCTCGAATAAGGTAGTGCCAAGGTTACACCGCGGCACTAATCACCCAGTGGGCTGAGCTGGGTGCCGTGGATCAAATCCCGCGCAGCGGCCTCGCGGCTGCTCTTCAAGTCACCCAGCCGGCACAACCACGGGCGGCAAGGTGGCGCGCATCTGCAGAGCCCACCCATACCACGACGTAAAAAGCTAGGCAACTATCTAATTGAGCAACTTTCTTTTTTTGCCTCCATAAGTAGAAAGCGTTTCTGTAGGTGAATGCCCTTCCATACTAGAAGCATCTCTGACTACTAGAAGAAGAAGTTGAGTTCTAGTCTAGAACTAGGCTTGCTCCTCGCACCTCCACGAGCAACTACGCGAACGGGAACGGAGATGGAAAAGTAGTACAACAGCGACTACATGATCTTCAGGCTCAGGATCAGTAAAGGTGGATTTTTTGAACATCTCTGCTTGGTTGCCCGGTACGAGAAAAGTGGGCAAGAAACAGGAGAACAAGGAAGAGCAAGCTGCAGCTGCAGTCAGGGGAAGACAAGATGTAGAGGATGCGAAAAGTACTAAATGTAAATGATTCTTACGCGTTGTTCTTCCCGAACATGCTAGAAGACAGACAAACTTCTTCTACTCGTCCGAATGCAGGAGCAGGAGGACGGGTCGGCGGAATAGTACAACCAGATCTTCTGGAAACAAGAACGCCAACAAGAAGAAATCGAATCAGAGAAACTTCTCGTTGACAGAACAACCCTTCAGGTTCAGCCTGGAGAGAGGACGGCAAATGAAAACACTTCAACAACCGGCTCGCCGTTAAAGGATATCCGCTTAAAAGCGCAGAAAGCTGCATCTGAGAAAATTCCAACTTCCAATGAATCTGTCGATAGCTTACATCTCTTCTCTACAGCTCTACAGCTTGTCGAGGCGAACGAAGCCGATTTTTATGGACAACGAACTAAGAGATGGTCTCAGCTGGTTGGGAACTCGACTTGAGGAGCAAGCAGTTGGTGCAGTAATTGGTAGTGGAAATAATGTGAACAACAGCGAAGGTTTAGGTTGTACTACAACTTCTACAACAAAGAATAGCTGCAATAATCTTCAGATTGAACAACATGCTTGTCTTCTAGTATTAAACAAAGACGGCGTAGACGAACACGAAAAGTAGACCTCCTAGCAAATTCGTCCTTTCCGAACTTGCTCAGGAGGGTGAGGAAGCAGACTCTGGACAGAGAGAGCCAGTGGACATAGGGGAACGGCATTTACAAGAGAGGCTACAGAGTGGGCTGCAGTGTGCAAGTGCAGAGCGAAATTGAAGGCCAAAGAGACGAACGGGTATTTGAATGGACTAGTCCAACATTTGTGTGCAGAACTAGAAAAAGAAGGCGAGCCGGATTTTGGCGGGCTGTTGAGACAAGCCCCGAACCTACTCCAAGGAACGTAGATGCAATACATTCAAGATGCACGACGCCCATCAAGTACTATCCGAAAAAACGAGGGGGGAAGGGGATAATGTCGATCTCAAAAAAACGGAAAAACAACAGAAGCACGAGGAGGCCAGGGGTAGCTCATTGAGCACCTCTTGCACAGCTATCTCCCACTACAATCAGTAAAATAAAAGACGAGTCACGTTTTTGAAGGCGGTTCTACGATTCGAGGAGGAACTTTGTGTTTCTTCTCTCATGAATCTTCAGGATTAGTTTTATCTAGTATCAGTTTCTGTTTGTTTACTATCGTGAGAGCTTCTTGAGCTTGTCGTGTTCCGTGACGTGGCTCCCACGAGTCGCGACAACATGAAGATGCATGCGTAGTTGTAGAAGTTGTAGCCAAGATATATATGATTATAACTTCATTCTCGATGAGGTGGTCGATTTCCTTGCGACGCAATCATGTTCGTAAAGAGTGTTGCTATCGAAACAATACGACGCGTGACCGTGAGATCTTCAGCTTCATGAAAGGTGTTCAGAAAGGGAACGAGGAGAACAGACACGATTTCACTTTTTTAGTTAATACATCTGTGACACACTCAATCACAAAAATGATCATGCTCCGACATCCAATGCCGCCGCAAAGAGCCGAATCTGTTCAGGAGTAACTCGGCAGCACCCTCCAATCAAATCTGCACCTGCCTCTTTGTATGAGAGACAATCGGAGCCGTCCAGAACCTTCATCTTGTCTGCTCCATGCCAACATCTGGCCCCCTCAGTCGCGTCCCAGACCTCACCGCTGTTCGGGTAGACTGCGATCAGCTTCGTATCGTGTAAGGCTGCTTTCAATGTTTTTGGTGGTTAGAGGATCTTCGAGGTACGAGAACGAGACCCCCACCTCAGAATCGCTCTACTACCCACTGACCACGACTCAACTTGAACGTGCGTAAAACAAACTGAATCAAAAACCTGCTGAATGCTTCTGGTATTTGGTAACCTGAGTTTGATCATAAGGGAAAACAAGAAGAGTACCCTTAGGATCAAACTCAGGTTACCAAATACCAGAACCATACACGTGTAGTATTTGGTCATCAAGTATAAATATATCTCCTCCTCCTGATCGACGCTGCTCAATCTACTACTTCCCGCTCGTCATAAACCAGCTGCACTGCTAGCTCCGGTTTGACACAATTCACCCCCACTGCGTGAACGTGCGAGTATTCTCTCATCCTCTTCGCGCAATCGTTTAAAGCTTCTCCACTATTTGTATGCGCGCTGTCCTTACAACAGAAGGACACCACAGTCGATAATCCTAGGCGACCACTTATTTCTGCGCCAATCGTCGCTTCTACACTGCCCGCAAGAGTTTCTAAGAAAACGCCGTCGACGCCAGCCTGTTAAAAGTGTATAGAAAAACGCAGTCGCACGCAGTCATGCACGAGTTTGTTGTAAAAAAACACTCAAGAACTGTAGCAGGCATGCACATGCTCAATTAGAAACTCTCCCAAGAATTACTTGCAGATTCTCACACAATGACAAGAATGACGATGATCGTCAATCTACAAGGAAGTAGTGGGTCTTACTCTTCGCATAGTAACTTGTACAACTACCTTCTTCAACATCCGCAGCTTCTTCTCATAGTAATGCTTCATCCGGTCTGCTTCTTCGTTTCCTTTTGACCTTGTGTTGGGATCTGTGGCACCGCGAAAAAGCTCTGTGGCATCCACACATGGTCCCACACTGCCAAAGACTAAACGTTTTATACTGTTTTTAGTGCTAGATGAAGTAGAACCCGATGTAGTAGACTCCACAACATGATCCGCTTCTTCCTCGATCGCTTGCCTCGCTGCCTCAGCACTTCCATTGAACAGGTTTTGAGTTTCGGAGTCTATATCCATCTCGCCTTCGCTACGACCTCGTCCACCAACAACCTCCCTCATCATCCCCAAAGGATTCTCCTTACTCCGTTTTGCCTTGTAGCAGGCTGCGATCAACTCTGCAGACAACTTGTATGACAGCGTTGATATCACATCAGACCCTGCTCTCAAGAACTTGCCGTGCTTAGAGTTTGAGTTTATGTTTTTAGTAACCATGTTTTTCCTCTTGAAAATGAAACGCAAGCGCATCTACTTTGATGAACGGTTTCGCCTTGAAAATCCTCGGGGGAGATGCCTCAGCTTCTCAAGATGAATTTTCATGATTACGTAAAGCCTTAACATGTACGTCCTTCAATGCCGAAATTCCACCATCTAAACCGTAAAGAAGCTGGTGGCCCCAGAGAAAATGCTTTTCCGCTCCTTTGGGTAATGAGGTCGTCAACCCTCCGTCAAGAAGCAAAACGCCTCGCTTCCTCGCTCTGGGGCATGTCTGCAACAGGTGCCGAAGGGGATTTTGCATCTTGTCTTTCACGACTTTATTCGATTTCGAGCAAAATAATGCTGAGTTTAGTGGGCCTATTATTGACCCAATGGCATAGCCACAGCGCCAGAGGAAGGGACTCGCTCGACGACTCTCGTCTCGTCTCGAGGATGACAGAAAATCTACTCCTTCTGCTTGATGATGAAAAACAAAAAAGCTTAACCTCTCCAGATGAGCATGCATATTTTTCTAGTCCTAGTACCATGTCTTTCTCTCTCGTCTCAGGCTCAGTAAAATAGATAGTCATGATTCACATTCTCGCACCTCCTCTCGCACAGGGTCAGAAAGCAAGATCATATCAAAACTAGACCTACTTGAAGAAGGACCCTCGATGGCATTACCTGTAGTGCTGTCACAACTCATCGTGATCTTTCAGACAGCCTCTGCCCACTCGGGTGCCGCAACCTCCGCACAATTATATCAAGGTTGTTAGTTAATGCCGCTCATGATGCACGTGCATGCGCAAGTACATCTGAATCTTCGATCTCTAAAGGATGTCTCACACATCGTCCTCTTTCTTGATCCGACTCCTATGATAAATTCGCACAGCATTCCGCCAAAACACATCATCCCGATCTTGTCTAGTAGCACCCAATCTATCTAAACTCAAAGCTACCTGTTCAAAACAAGACGCGTAGGCAGTAGATGGTGATCCTGTAGTTCTACTTGAGGCAGAAGATGTTCTTGTTTCCGGCAGGAAGACATGGTCATCATGAACTCTTCTACTTTCATGTCCGAATATTCTTCCATTCTTGGCTGAGGCTGATGCACCTACTCGTGCAGAGCCCTCTCCAGACTGCATCCTCAAGAGAATTTCAACTTCTGGATCATCTCCGTCTAGTTTCTGCTTACTATTCATGCTCCCTACTAGACCTACTCGGTCTCCAATTGCTCTAGCTTGTAGTTCCTGTTCCCCTTTTGTCTCACAGAGAAAGAAATTACTCCCAACGAGAATCCGCTGACACCCAAAAACACGGATAAGTTCGTCAATGTAAGGTAGACAAGGCATATCCGTTTCAGCCAGACGCCATTCCTCAATACTCCTGTTAGAAGCGAGCATTTTTTATGTGATGCTTCAGTCTCAGAAGTGTTGAAGCTAGTTAGTTGTAAACATAAGGAGTTTAGCAGACGTACTAGTAGTTATCATGCTTTGAGCTGATGCTTCAGTCTCAGAGGTGCTAAAACTAGTATCGAAGCTCTTGCTGTTGCAGATGCAGTAGCTGTACTTCTAGCTAATATCATCCCAAGAGTTCTTCATATACTAGTAGTAGTAGAGAAGTCTAGCGATCCTGACTCCAGTACAACAAGACGAATCCCATCTAACGCTCATAACACCAGTTCATAACACTGATTTTGACGCCCATTAAGTTCTTCCTCTTTGCTAACTCCGTGATAGCTGCATGCCATTCCTGTGTCCAATGCCCAGTGGTGCTGGTGCGTGTACTTTTCCCGCCATTACTAGAAGTCGCTCCAATAAAGGCTGCATGTTGTAAGATAAAGTTTTGATCAGGCAGCATATCGCAGACTCGCGTTACTGCAATCATTCCAGGCACACCGTAAACGCAAAATTCGTAGAGTAAAGAAGCAGGAGTGCAGTTCGCGCCACCAGCTTTAGAAGGTCTTTCGCTCTCCTGCTGTGCTTCCAAGCTACGACAGGTTGGAGTTCTTGTTTCGTCCTCTCGTAGTCCACGAAGTCCCTCAAGGGTACCACTTCCAAGTGCACGAAGTCCTTCTATGAAAGTGTCCGATAGGATGTCTGGGGATCCAGGTACGTGGAGCGGCAACCTGGTAGAAACGACATGACCTCTCAGCGAAACAGGTATACTCTCCCATGCTGCTTTTACAGCTAGAGCACCTTCATGGCAAGGCAAATGAGCACAGACGCTGGACTTAGAGCTTGCTACTTCATCTGAAGTGATTACTTACAACCTCCTCTTCCATAGATATTCATGCTCTCGTCCAAAGCAGGGTCTGCTCTTTAGTCTTTACGAAATTGAATATCGAGAGAATAATGAATCAGGAAGAATGCTCTTTACGAAATATCGAGAGAATATGAATAATGAATCAGGAAGAATGGACAGTCCTCGTCCTGTGGTCCTTAACTAAAAGAGGCGGTGCTGCTACTGCCTTGATGGCCTTCTCGTCATCACGAGCGTCGTCAACATTCTTCAAGAGAGCCCACTCTTCATCGTTTTCCACGACATAGCCCAACGCCAGAAGTGTTTCATGGAGTTCAAATCCACTGTCCACGCCAGTCTCGATAAAAATTCCACCCAGAACGCGAAAAGCGTATGTTCTGTTGTTCGCCGCTCCCCTTTTGTCCCCAGGTTCATCTTTATCTCGTCCGGATGAAGATCCAAAAAAACTTGTTCGACCACCATCGGAACAAGCTTGAGCTACTTGTTGCCACGCTTTGAAATTATACTTTTGCTCAAGTAGAACCTGTTGCTGCTCATCGCTCAAACGCAAACTCCTCAGCCAAGAATAGGGCAGCTGTGGCGCCAAAAGAAGATGAACATGGGTGTCGATCACGAACTGGATGTGATCTTGTTGCTGTTGTTTCACTTCCACAGCTTTGGCTTTCGCTTTCCTTTCTACGACATGAGTTTTCTTCATGATGTTGTTAAGTTGATCAAGATATTCGACGAGGACCACAAGAACGATGAAAATGCTGGAAGCACATCTTTACGTGTCTTTGGTGTACTCCTAGTTTCAGTTGATTCTGACTAAATCAATCAGACTGATTTTGAAAGAGCCGATAAACCAAATACCTCCCGATCTATTTTCACTGCTTGTTTGATTTCTTGGAAAAGTACTAAGTGCCGTCTTTTTACAAAATTCAAACTTCAGTATCTTCAGTTTTAAGAACATGTCCACTCCTTTTTGTCCTTCCTGCCGCTTCCGCCTGCTCGCACATCCTAACGCGGTATCCAAGTCTTTGCTAGTGTCTCTCAACACACTTTTTGACAAGGAAAGTACTTTGATGCAAAATCTGGTGTTGCGTGGTTGAAGTCCTATCATACACGTGTATGTTGTTCGTGTTGGCTTGCTTGTGTTGTCTTACTTTAAGTTGACATTGAAAAAATATAACAACTTCTCTACCGAATATAACAACTTCTCTACCGAATATAACAACTTCTCTACTTACTGTATCTCTACAGATAACAAGAAAATAGGAAGATAATCAAGAACATAATTACAACATTTATGGTTTTTATGGCAAAATGTTCATGATCTAATAAAAAATCTTCGAAACTACGTTTTTTCATTTACGGGCATCTGGGAGTATGCTTTTTTTGTGATGTGATAAAAGCTCCTATCATTGACTATGTTGGGGCTTCATACGTAGTGTCACTGCTGTGGGAGTACTGTAAGAGTATTTCTAATTCCTCTAAGAAGTCTAGGTGTAAGAGTAAGTCTAACACTACGAGGAACGGTGGTATGGCTATAAAAATGGTTTATCTTCCCTCATCCTTCACCTATCTTCCTTGCTCGTCCACCTTCACCTGCTCCTACATCATCCGTTGGTAAGGCAACCCACTGCCACCCTCCTCCTGCTCAGCATTCCTAATACTGCCCACCACTTCGATGTGATGATCGGCAGAGCAAAGCGCATTGATCTTTTTATCCTCTTCCTCCTGCTCCAAGAGGTTCCTGGTGCAACTGTGGTCCGACCTTCCCGCCATGATCGTCGTCCTAGAAGAGTTCGAGGTCGTGGTAGAGGAGAGGAAGAAGCAAGCTGCTAACACAGCGCCGATCACTCCGCCGAAAAGCATGTGGGCGATTCGCTCTGTCGCACCCATCACAGCCGACGAGTATGATCCTTCCTTGTTGTTCTTGCTGTTGGCAAAACCAGATCTTGTTCTAGTAGACTTCTGGTTCTGTTCTTGTAGCATAAAAACATCACCTCCAGCACCAGCACGACGTTGGTCAAAGTCATCTTTGTTCATGTTCTTGTTTCTGTCCTTCACCAGCTTGTTGTCCTGGTAAAAGTTTCTAGCTCCACTTGTGAAGATTTTCTGAGTCAGTTGATTGTCATTGCTATCATCATCTTGCTCTGATGTAGATGAGGCCCAAATTGCATCCTGGATTTTTTGTGCTTCCTTCTGAATCTGATCTGCCAGTTTGGAGAAAGAGAAAGCATCTTGATCTTCATCATTCGTTTCTTTGTCTTGTGGCGTGATTTGGTCTCCTGGTGAAGATCCGCCTTGTCCGCCGCCACCTATGACTAGTGGGTTAGATGTTGCAAAATTCCAGTGGAATCCATTTTTTAGCAATCTCCGAGAGTATGGGTATGCCACTAGAGAAACCCCTTTTTCCAGAGAAGCCCCATTTTCCAGAATCTATCATCAAACCTTAACAGTAGTCTCATCAGCACGAGCGTTTCCATCTTCGTCACCCCAGGGATCGACTCCCGCTAGTGGCTGCACAAACTTCGCAAGTGGCACGCGGTCGACGCCAACCTCTTTTAGGTAGTCAATGGGATATCCTAGATACTGTCCGACGCCTCCATGCTTCAGGTCGAGGTTTAAAAAACCATCGTTGTATTTCGCGATGAGGAAGTCGGAAGATTAGCGATAATCTTCAGTGCGGAAACGTCCCTGTAGTTCTACAGATCTTGTACTTGATCTGTGTGTTTAATTTAAAATCGCAATGCTTCCTTCGAGAAAATGAGATTCTCCTTTCTTGAAGCTGCAGAGGCACTAAGAAGAAGAACCCCCCAAAGCGCCTGATAGCCGCGCATAATATCACGTTCTTCTCGATAATGACATCAACATGTGACTTCGTTACCATAAGAAAAATCCCACCAATCTTGAGTAACTTCGTTTTGCAGCCTTGAAGCATCGAAATTCGGTGTGTCAACTTGGCTCAGAATCTTCTTTTCCCAGGTGCGAATTCGCGGAGAGACCTGGGTGAGTAGACCTTTCTCAGACGCTAAAAAAAAACTGATCTTCATCACAATAGTAGTACAAATCGTCTTCATCAAGAATTGCCGCAGCGTGGTGTGATACTGGTGAATGTGATTGCTATCTTGAAAAGCACTCCATACGAAAAACGAAGAAAGTAGAAGTACATCGTTTTTCTCCATATTTTCGTAGTTCCATTCCATTAGGTTGGCAACGAGATCAAAGGCCCAAAAGCTACTCTTCCTGTCAACTTTCATCCTCGACCCTCGTTGCAGGCACTCTGCCAAAGCGGGAACGGTAGAGGCTTTTTCAGGCAGAACGAGGGGTAAAAAGACACTACTAGCTGGCGTGTCAGGAGCAAACCAACCACGACGAAAGTTAGAAGATTTAATCAAAAGGACTGTGACCCAACATCATGGGCATGTGGATTCTCAGGTACTACGTGAGGTTTGCAGGTCACTAGCACTTTTCTTTCACTTTCTTTTTCACGACTAGCCCTGCTTCCTCCATAATCTTCATTCCCGTCGTCCCCGCTTTCGCTTCATCAAAGCTCGAGCCGACCCATGCATATGTCGTTCTAGGAATTGAGATGGCTCTTGCAAATTGGCCTCCGCGTTTGATTAGCCCTTCACCACGTTCTAGACGGTTAGGACTACCGAAAGGACCAGCAACAATGCCTTTCCTCAAGTCCAACAGGGTGTCCTCGTAATGATCGCGATGCAAATCCTTCATCACTTGCTCAGTGATCTTGCCACTGGTTTGGCCGCTCCTACCTGTAGTTGTGTGGGGTCGTGAATGAGATAAGTATGAATGTGTATTCTTCATCCAGCAACATAGACCTACAATCCATTTTACAACATCAGTAGCTCTATTTCTACAATGATGGAGGATCCAGCACATTAATATAAGTCGTAGTTATATATCAGCATAAGGAAGTGGAAGGAAAAACAATGAATATAAAAAGTTGTAGGTATAAAGTCTAATAGTAATTTCTTCTGTTCATCTTCATCAGCATTTACTAGTACCGTAATGCTTCGCCTTGAATGCTTTGACTTTTTCTGGTGACACCTTCATCGAAAACGGAAATACTAGTGGGTCATACGGAGGCACCTCTCCAAACAAAAGCTCAGTTTCCATGTCGCCATCGCTGTCCTCAGTAGTAGTGGAAATCGCAACCACGTCTCCGAAACGACCGTCGGCGTCTGAGAGGCCAACTCGAGGAGGAACATCTTCGGACTCGGAAAGAGACGTCGCAGCTAGGGACGAACCAGAAGCAGAGGATGATGAGGAAGATGTTGAAGAGGTTGAAGTCGTGTTGGCCACCTGTGACAAGACTCTCCAGATTCTGCCAGACATGTACAATGGCACTGGCGGCATTTGTGGCCAATACTGGAATTTCGTCGCGTCTTTTCCGAATACACGTGCAAAATCAAATACTTCTCCACTCGACCACAGCTTCTCCGTCACAGCTACTGGCTTCAAGTTCGTTGAGCACATCAGATCACCCTTCTTTGATTCGACGAACTCTTCGTCCATACCTGAGACTTGTGGATTAGAGATAGAGCTACTACGTCTACGTTTACGTACAGGGAGATAGAGCTACTACGTGTACGTACAAGCACATCCTTAGAGCCATCCTTGAAGTAGACCTTCTTTTCCGCCCTGTGGAAAATGGTCAAACAAGGTGGGTGGATGACGTAAGTACTCGAAAAACTAAAATAAGCGAGTAACAGACGAGAATAACCGAGATACTGTAGAGAAGGAAGAGTAGCCTTGATGTTAAGCTACCTCCCTTATTTCAGTCAGTAACTCGGTTATTTCGAGCTTTCGAATAGTTGAGGATGCCCTCTGTCTCTTGGTAAACCACTTAACTTGACTACTCTTGTGATCCTCGTTCCACTTCTTCTTGATCCCAGAGAAGACACAATCCCTTACGTCGCGGATGATGAAGCTATTTGCTACTACTGCAATGTGGTCGTCGGGGAGCTTGTGAGCTGCCCAAATCGCTGACTGTGTTCCATCGGACATGACGTGAAAAACCCATGCTTCCTTCCCATCCCCAATCTGGAGACTCTCTCCCGCACCCGCCGGTCCAGCATCTTCGCCATAGAAGCCGTACTTCACCGCTAGAGAACCCATCAGGGCGATGGCGCATCTGGAAGAGATAGTCATTTGAAGCCATGGGCATGGGGTATTTGACATCTACTGCATCTGGTAGAGGACGTGACGTAGAACTAGAACTAGTCAGACTCTGATAAAGATATAATGTTTTTGTCGTGGCGGTGGCTGAGCAGTAGCAGTACAAGTAGTTTTGTCTCTACCACTATGAGATCTGGTACTTTATTTTGTCATTACTTTACATCTTCAGTACTTCTTCTTATTACCTCGCCGTCTCGCATCTCTCCAGGGCCACTTGAGTCATCGGTACCAGGCCCATAAATGGTCCTTTTTCACTTGCCGTCGTAAACAGGTTTCCGCCACAGGTGGACTCGCCGAATGTTAGCCCTTTCTCATTCATCAAGCCATAGGCACCGTCGTAGAAGCCGTAGGTTAGGTGCTCTGGATCTGCGGGAATGTGGCCTAGGATGCGAGTAGGTTTCTGCAACTGGGGATCGTCGTCGGGGTTGGGCTTGGGTTAGAAAGAATGAGGTTGGGGATGGAGTCGAGTAGGTTTCTGCAACTGGGGATCGTCGTCGGGGTTGGGCTTGGGTTAGAAAGAATGAGGTTGGGAATGGAGTCAGTTTGCAGGGAGGAAGGAACTCAGGTTGGAGTCAGTTTGCAGCTGAGGTTGGAGGTGGGACGAGAGGGACTTGGACGAGAAAGGTGAAATATTTCTAGTTGTTGAATAAAAGTAAATGGTCTTATACTTACTTCGATCGAACCAGAAGTTCACGGAGCTCCTCCTTGTCCTTATATCAATCGTTTTTCTCCTGTGCTTAACTATAAGCCGGAGACGAATCGTTTGCTACTAACCGAGGATACGACATCACTTGAAACTGGATTGGCCGCTTGCCATCGGCATACTTGCGAGGAGCGATGTACCTGAAGAAGCCGATGCCATTGCTTTTGCTCCTGGATCCAAAGCTAATTCATTTCCGAAGATAGTACATGAGTCAACAGCTAGTTGTAAACAGACTAGAAGTAGTACTGACTACTTGTGTTTCATCTTGTGGTGAGAGGATACTTCTTGACACGAAGCCAATGCGCAAAGATCGATCAACACAGAGGCCGCTACTGTAAGATCAGTACGTCACTCTTGTATCACAGTTGAGGCAGTCAACTGTGTGGGAAACCATGGTGTTGCCCAACTCGGTCGCTCCAGGCCCAATAGCGATCGACGTACACGCATCGGCCACATGAGGTGCGAGAGCAAGCAAGAGGACAAGTCCTCCTAGGACACCCAATAGAGGGAGATGAAGATCACGAGGACGTTTGATGTCTGCTGTCATTCTGATCATAACTATGAACCACGAAGGTTGGGAGCTTGAAAATGTTGGGAGGTGACGACTCCTCGGAAGATGTTGAGTACTAGGGGTTCTTGTGCGCTCGCTCCTCTAATTTTGTGATGGACACCAGTAGATGCGCACTTTTTTCCACACTGATACGACAACGACCTTGTGGACTCAGCGAAAAATGCAGTTCTGGACCGAAAAGAGAGACAGATGTATGAGAGGGAAACATGTATGAGAGGGAAACCTCCATCGTCGAAGCATATGCGGCTCCATCTGCTTTCGGTCTTACAACTTCCTCTGTTGAATGATCATAACTTAAACTTTTCATCTTGCGAGGATATTAATACTCTGTAGGAAGGCGGGGCATGGCGTACGGGTATCATCATAATTATGAGGACATCAAATCTGAAGATTTTTCATATGCTATGAATTCTTCAACATCTTACTTTCTTTGTCAAATAAGTTTTCAGGATTCATTCATTGTACAAGATTATAACAAGAAAGATGATACTGACCACTCGATACTGTTACTGATTCAACGTCAACACGAAGATCAATAGGTATCAGGTGTTTCTTTTTCTCGATAAGAATAACGCTGTGCTGACGAAGGGGAACTAGAACAACTCAATGAAGTACGTATTCGCTTCAATATCGAACAATACAAGAACAGGCTCTGTTGACATTCGGCACTAACAATATACCTAGAATTTGTAGTAACAAAACTACAACAATCATAACATAGGTGTTCATCTTGGGGAAAGTAAACCACACCTAGTAGGCTACCAAAGTTGAATAAGTTATAGCTTTTTTCAACGAGTAATCATTGCGACGTTCTTCGAACAACAACCATCCAATATAGGACCTTCCCTTAGTTGGACTTAACAACTGGAACTGGTGGTGCGAGTACAAATATTAATAAATAGTAGGTACGTATCTAAAGATATATGAGGGGTGTTATTATCTGATATGAATGATTATGATGAAGATCACAGATGTACAAGAAGACCATAAATCTAATCCTATTTTGTATGATCGAAGTAGATTTTGTTCTCCGGCGTTTCGACAGACAACGACAAAATTCTTGTGTTGAATATGCTGTATGTAAGTCCTGACTATCATGTTGTTGACATGCATAAAGATGGCAACTCTCTTAATAAACATAAGTTCTTCCATAAGTTCTAGTTCATCTCGTTAAAGATGACTATAAGTAGACCCCTCAACGAGCAGATGAAGTTACAAATCTGCTCTTCCGTCTCCAGCATCATCTCCTTCTTCTCCTGCTGTCTCAGAAGCATCTCCTTATTAGGGGTTGAGAGTTGGCATCTCTAGCCCGCATATCTATGGCTTTCCTACTTGGAGAAACCATAGAGATGCTCTTAGATGATAGGTCAACTTTCAAGCCTTAACCTTCAGCGGTGACGACAATCGGGCAATCGTATCGCATCGCCATTCGGTCTCCAAACTGTTCCGGATCCTTCTTCTTTTTCCAGCCGTCATACGTGTCACCCCATCCTTGTGACTTTTTGCGCATGGGTTAGAAGGGGAAATGAGCAGAAAGACTTCTTGGCGCCCCTCTTTGCTTCTCTTTGAGAAGCGGAAATGAGGAGAAAGACTTCTTGGCGCCCCTCTTTGCTTCTCTTTGAGAAACAACCAAGGCTAGCCCCAAGAACCCCTAGAAGATCATTGTTGTGCTAAGTTGAGGTTATCTGCTTGTATTTTCAATTTCTATTTCAGAAAAAGATGATCAAAATCGCTAAAAAGAACAAGATCATTGCTTCTAAAAAACCACCATGACCATTCATAATCAAACGGATCGCCAAACGGATGGAAACCGTGCTTTTCCGGAAAGTAGTTCTTATCGACTTCCTCTTTCAAAGTGTCCTTTCTATGCCCATTCTCATCCTCCACGCGATGCTGTACATCCAGGTCATTCAGGTCTTCACCTTCGTCATAGGCAATGCGTTTGGAGCGGTCACTGAGCACTTCGTAGGCTTTGGCGATCTGTGATTCAAAGGGTCGTGGACGTGGATTACAGGGACGTGACGTTTTTAGTCGTGGATGATGAAGTTGAAGTTCTTGGTTAAGCCAAACTTAATAGAGGATATTAAGTCAAACTTATGCTCATCTATCCTTCTCACGTTGTGGTTGAAGGTCATGCTCCACCACGTTTTCATTCAAGTTCAACATAAAAATTAAGAGATACTCATGCGCTACCTACGCTCTTCTTCTAGTCGCTCTTACTTACTCTTTTGACAAACACCAAGAGCAAGACCAGTGGTACCTTCTGAAACAATTCTTTGTATTCGTTTCCATGTTTGTCAGGATGCGTGTGCTTACTCAGCTGGCGAAACTGTCTCTTCAACAAGTCTTCTTCGGCGGGTGACGCGAAATCCACTGGCACCTGCAACAGACGGTAGTAATTCGCATGTTCCCGCAAGTATTGTTGAGGATTATCGATCAATTTTTTCCTCTTCTTATTTTCGTCATGTTTTCCCCCAAAATTGGATTCTTCTGGGGCATCTTCCAGGAGACCGCCAAATTTCGGCTCCGGGAATTCGACTTGGGCTTCCCATTGGCGCTTGTCGTGGGTATGACCGATCAAGAGCCAGCCAGGAAGCTCAGGATACTTGCGCGAAGAACGAAGGATTTGCTCAAACAGATGCTGTAGTTTGTGATTGGAAGAAAACATATATTTACGGATGAAGATGCAGTTCTCCTTCTCGTTTCGAATGAAGTTGTGATACTCTCATTCTCTAGACTTAGAATTTCATTCTCTAGCACGCGGTGACTTAGAATTTCAGGCCTCTAGAGGACCTTCTAGAACAAGGAACTCCTGAGCACCATATTTTTTATAACATTATAATCAGATGAAAGTAGATGAACTTGAAGTTGAACATTACCTTCGCTTTTCCTGGTTCTCCTCTGTCTAAAAACACTAGAGCCTGTTCCTCCAAGCCTCCCATCCATCTCGGGAACATGGAGAGGGCCTCGGTGATTTTCTCCATAGCCTTCTCCAAGCTGCCAACACGACGTAAGAGATAGCTCTGTGCTTTCAAAACGTTGGCCTTGATCCACGCTAATCCCGCTCGCCACTGGGAAGGTGCCAATTGGTCTTGAGGGAGCTCAGATAAAACGTCGGAGGATAAAAACTCCTCAAGCTTCTCACTGGCTTCGGAGTACTGAGCGCCGTCACGGATAAGCACGCGGATATTGCTCACACTCTTGGCGAGAGCGTCGGCGATCTGGTGTTTCATTGTATGGATCGGAAGATGCACTTGCGATTCATTGGGTTAATATTATATCATGGAAAGTAACAATGTAAGTAAGAGTGTTGTCCGTCGATGTCCGCCCTAATCTTCTTGTAGTAGAAATAATTCAAGTTCATCTTGTATGACAAGAACTACATCATCTTTAACTTTATCCCTCCGCAATTAAGTATAACAAGAAGTACATCTTTATCCCTCTGCAATTTCGCATAAACGGCTTGGCTTTCCACTGCTTTCTCTCCCAGCATTCCACGCATCGAGAACCAAATGCTCAGGTGATCCGGTACATCCGACTCCAACGACACGAAAGCTCCTTGGTGCGATGGGTTCCCCAGGGCTGGCAAGTCACTGCCGGAAAGCGCACGCCGAACCGTGTGGTCATGATACCTCTTGTGGTATTTCAACCGATGCAGCATGTCTGGATCCATGACAGCGATCACCTGCCACGGAACCTCGTCTAGATCGACAAAATTATCCTCCTCGGTTGCGGGAGGATAGAGGAATTCTAGATCGTCGAAGATGTCGGCGCTGTCGTGGTTGTAAATTTGAATCTGCAATTTGACGATGGATTCTTAAACAACTACCAAAGTAGCCTATTATAACTGATGTGATGCACCATTGCGATTTCAAATTGAATTCTAGCAGCACCACTCGATGAAGAAAAGAAGAGTGTTGTACTTAGTGAACATAGAAACAGAAAAGTCATCACACAGTCACGCGCAGTGCGGAACGAACCCTACAGCACCTTTCAGTTGATGTATGCTAAGGCTCACCTAAAATAATTCAGTAGTACAATCCCCCCTTCGATTTCTTGCGTTTTCCATCTGCTCCAATATGCGTCCAGCTCGTGCCACTCCCAGGCAATATTGTTTCTCCTTCGTGTCTAAAGCGGTCTTGCAATTTGTTGTCGATGAGAATCCACTCTGTTGCGGTTGCGACCTGAAGTTGTTTTGAAATTTAATGTAATTCTTGATGAGAATCCACAACTCTGGTGAAAGATTGCGATTGGATGTGGCCTTTAAATTTAATCTTCTGATGTAGTAGAGGTTGGGCTTTAGTTGAGGTTTAAAATTTGACTACTTGATGCAATTGAAAGGGAGTTAGAGTTTCCTAACTTCAACTTCTCAACGCCAAGTCCAGGCACGACACAAAAATGTCAATGTGTATAATGTTCCTTAGGCCACTAAAAAAAGTCACCCCGTCCACCAATCTTCTATCAATAGATACCTTCCTCTTCGCTCCTGACCCATCCTCATCTTCAGCGTATTCGTCATTCTGTGATGGCGGACTCGCGTCAACCAACGCCATATACCAGCCAGTGGCTTCACTGTGGTAAGTCAAACTCCCGTCCTTGTAGTGAATACCCGTATGCGCACAAGCCCTCGGCAAGCCAGAGACCCGTTCATAGACCCCGTTAAGTTCTGGAATGCTGGAGCCACCTAGGAAAAAGCCTTTGGCCGCATCGCGGACGACGCCATAGCTGACGCGCCTTCCGCCACCGCCAGCCCCATAAGGTACGACGCCACCGGGTCCGACCAGTTGGGCATTGGTTAGGGTTGGGTGGAGTAAAGTAGTTGCTCCTAAGACGAGTGTTCTTTTCAGAGAGAGGAAGGGGGAGAGCGAATGATCTGTTGTTGGTGAGAACATCTTCTTGATTTGAGTACTAGTCCGGCTGGAACAACTAGGGACGCAAAGCGGCGTGTTTCGGATTCGTTCGGTCCAGGTGAAAAAATCGAAGTTCTTGACACTTTAGGTGGAAAGCAAGCCAAAGCCTCCTGCACTAGTTGAGAGCCGTGCGCCAAGAAAATTGTCGAAACGAGAGGAAATCGTAGTTGTGAAGGTGTAGTTACTAAGCACTTCTCTGCCGCCAGTCATTTTTACCGTGTAGGACTAGTATTCACGTACTACCACTACTCAGGGGAATCTATCTCCGTCATTTGAAACACCATGAACATGAACGAAACGAACTAAAGGGCAAGTGGGATAATGTGGTCAGGAAAAGAAGGAGGGTACTTGACACTTGGTTTTGTTTGATGCAAGAAGAAACGGGAACGGGGAGAAAAACAGTAAAACTAAAACTGGTGTTTTCAACAATTAGAAGGTTATTGATTCATATTATAGAAGAAGAAATGCTTATGCTTCAACTTCATCAAAGTACACGTCCAAAATGGTAAAGCGTCACCAGAGAGATCCGCATTGATCATTCACGGTGTTAGTGTTCTTGTACCAGACCTACTTGTTGCTAAGTACATATCATTGTGGCTCTGGTGTTTGGCACCAGGTCATGCTGGTCTTGACATTGTACATCGATCTTCTGTACATCCTTCTGTACAACATCAATGCCATCTTCCCATCACCATAGAAACACTTGATCTTGATGTTTCTCTTTGTGATGTCCTGGTAATTCATTGAAGTAGATCCTGTCAACATCCTTCATCAATGTTGAACTTCGTGCGATAACTACAGGACTGTTCACTTCTACCAGAGTAAGGAACATCTGAGTATGCACATGAATATGCCCGTGCAGCGATAGAATCATGTGGCTCCTGCATTATTCATCTCTGTTGATCTTTTTGTCAAGATTCTCACGTTGCTTCATCTATGCAAAATCAAGGTGCGTCACCGTCTCTTTCTCAGTGTGTGCTTTCGAAAATTTCTTCAACAACCTTCAAAACGAAACAAGAACTCATCCCCACATTCACTTTGAGCTCGGCGGATATAATTACACAGAGAAACAATTTTAACATACAAAAAGGAGTCATTGACTTTTGCTACAACGACCCTAGGTAATTAGGCGTAGGCCTCCAAAAAAGAACCACCTAGTACAAAATGAAAAATAACGAGCAACAGATGCCTGTTTTCTAATTCTATTACCCCGCCTTTATCCTAATGAGCAGCTTCTTGGAACAAGAATTAGAATGCCATCGGCAACAGTAACTCTTCGTCGACGTCACATCAACATCCACCTGCCTTTTACTTACAGAAACAGAGCTTTACACTTAGCTTCCCACTTTGCCAGCATCATCGCGTTGAACTTTGAGAAGTCATACGTTTCCGAGTTTGGACAGGGTCCCTCATACTTGGCTGTCGGTTTGCATACGCGACCTGGCGGAGTGTGCTCGAAATGTCGCGGACAAGGCTGACTGTAATTGTGGAGATTAGAGGAGGGGCAGAAGGGAAGATTCATTGTGATGGGAGTACATCACATTGAGATTGATTGATTGATTGATTGATTTTAACTTTAAGTGTCGAGATGATTGAAGAACTTGTTACCAAAAGCTATTCTCAATTTATATTTATAGTGGTGGAGCCAACGACCTGTAAGTAGGAAAGCATGTAGTTTATCTTGACTTAAGAACCCCCACTTTACAGTGACAATCTCCGCCTTGCTTTTCCTTAGGATCTGCTCCGCTACCTTCTGGCTCTGGGTCTTTGATGAAGCTTTTTTCGAGGTTGTGCCGGATTCGATCACCTTCGAAATCGTCAGTCGGAGGATGCATCGTGGGTTGCACCATAAAACTACTGACTAAATACGAAGACCATTTGTTGCAGTTGGTGTTTCCTGCGACACTCGTCCAGCTCCATGCTCGTGCTGTGTGTGGCACACTTTCAGTGCAGGAAGAGAAAGCGATTGCGACGGGCGACGTTGAGGAGAGCATTTTCTTTCTTGACAATTACTCCAATTACAGATACAGTCCTTGGCGCTCTTTAGTTTGACGCAATTGCTTCAATTACAGATACAGTCCTTGGCGCTCTTTAGTTTGACTTATAACTGTGGGGTAGTACTAGAGAAGGCATATCGTTCTTGTTTGGTAACGCTGACTAATCAAAGCGAGTTTTTTCACTTGCTCATGGTGCTCACAAAAATATCTGTCGAGAGCCCGGACCAACCTGATCTGAAATCAGCCAGCTGCTTACACTGTGGAAAAAGACACCGCAATGTGATACAATCAATCTCGGCGCACAAAATTCAGTCGAGACTGCCGCAGGGCGTCATACTGTGTCGTCGCGATCATGATTGCTCACACCAAAAAATTTTCACGTTATGAACAATCTCAACTTTGCAATTATGTCTTTCCTTATACTGCGGGCTTTCTTGTTTCCAGAGAGCGCAGAAGAACAAGTGACACTGTGGTCCTCGTCAGGTTGTTCCCCAGGTCCAGTATTGTTCAAATTATCCTTCAATCTATTGATCCATTCTGCGTCAGTCTTGGTTCCCAGTCTGCGTCTCAAATCAGACCAACTCTTGAACTCCCGAACAAGTTGCTCCACCGCCTCTTCCCCACAGCCGTCGATATGTCGCAATTGTCTCCCAAAGAGCTGTCTCGTCGTCAAGTCGCAGGTCTTTTTGGCTTCCCTGGCGAAGGTTGGGTAGCTTATGTCATGACTGGACACGATCATCGATGAAGATGAAGATGTGGACGATGTCGCAGGCTGGTTTAGATTCACAGTGGCAGCATCTCCTAGTTGTTTCCGTTCTTTTTGGAGTGCTGTTGAATTTGACTGCTCCGAGATGAACTCGTTATTCTTACTCAACAGCAACGTTTCTGCCTTCTCTCGATCTTCCTTCGATTTGCGTAATCTCTCAAGCAGGCTGGAAGTAGTAGACGCAGATGTACTAGTGCTGGCACCACCTACCGCATTACTTGAAGCCGAAGATGCGCCAACTGGTGGTGCTTGTTGAGCTCCTGCAGTCTGGTTGTTCGGTTGAAGAACTGGCACTGCTGTGCCTTTTCCTGTACCACGACTAGACGCTGTTGCTCTTCCTCCTCCTCCATTTCTCTCCTGTTCTTCTTGACACCTAACGATCTCCATACTGATTGCCTCTAACAAGCTCTGGGTATGGCTTGGTGATTGTGTCCGGCATGTACGGATCCCACTCATGATTAGAGGTTACGGAATTTTTACACTCTTCAGCACATGATCCCTGGCCTCTTTTCTACTAGGAAAAGAGCCAGGGATGGTAGTGAGGAATGCAATTCGGAAACCCTTAATATGAACTGGGTATGCACTAATGCGGCGCAGATCGTCGTATGCGGAAGGCCTCGCTCAGCCAGGTTGCCGAAGCCAGGCTTCTGTCCCCAGCGAGGACCAGAGGTTGAAGAGGTGATGCCTTTAGCTTCCCAAAACGCCTTGCGTTGGCTCTCCACTAGATAGAACAGGGAAAGAAAACTTGTTAGAGATAGCCATAGTGTGCCTGAATTCTCAGATTCAGCCTCTCGGCGACCTGTCCTCAGGAGCTCATTTACGCCTCTTTTACTTCTCCCTACTTCTTGTTGTATTCTTTTCTCCAATTTAATAATGGGGAAAAGATGATATCGAGTTGTTCGAGAAGATGCTGAGTAGAGAGAACGAGATCGAGAAGATGAACAACAGCTGAACATTCTCATCATAAGTTTGGCAAGACTCGCATCAGCCGAAACTTCTGCTCGTAGTAACGGCCGTCGCGTATCGAGCTGTCTAAATCTGGAACCGACTTACGCTCCATTAAGAAGCCAGCTAGTAGCTCTTGATCATTGTTGATGTCCTCTCCTTGTACTTGTACTTGGAGTTGGTCCTCTTGAAGATCAAGGTCGTCTTGTAGTTCGGGCGACGACCACTGTTGTGGCTGATTTTGTTGTCCTTCTCCAACATTCTTCTTCCAAACCCAACAAAAGTCACCTAGTGGCAAACTTCGTGCCTCACTGTTGTTGAACAGAGACGTAGCGGAGAAAGCTCTCTGTTCTCTTGTATCGACAACTAAGACGAGGCTTCTGTCCTTGCTGGAAGATATAGGAAGAAAACGATCACGTACTAGGGCAGTTGTGGAAGAGGAAGTAGCGGATGATGAGGGAAATGTTGGTCGTGAAGATGTTGAAGGGACGAGAGCTGCTACTGCTGCTGGCATATTAGAAGGTGTCTTCATCTTGAGATTTTGTGCTGGTGGCGGAGGGTTGATGTTGTAGCTGGCGGCAGCACTTGCAAAGCCGAACCCAAAGCCAGAGATTGCACTGGAGGACGCTGATGACGATGTAGTTACTGCTTCAGCCATGACGGGCTGTGCAGCTATAGATATAGTCTGCTGGTGTGCCTTCCCATGATCAGATGCTGAAGCAACAGCTGGTGCTGGTGCTGTGTTAGGCGTTGCGAATGCAGGACTTGTTTTTTCGAAAGTACCGGCAAAGGTACCAGTAGGGCTTCTTCTTTTCTTTCTGGCATTGGTTATCGCGCTAATCAGGCCACTTGTGCTGGTGGACGGCGGGGGCAGCACCGTGTTCATCGTTGTAGGAATACTAGAAGCTGACGATGCGCCAAATCCAGTGCCAGTGGTCTGCTGGACCGCGAGGCTCCCAAAACTTGCTGCCGCCATTGATGAAAACTTGCTTGTTGACGCAGAGCTCGCGGTTGAAAATCCGAAACCGAATCCGGCAGTAGTTGTAGCAGCTCCTATGCAAGATGCGAATCCAGCTGTAGTTGAACTTGAGATAGTTCCTCCAAACCCAGTCGAAGACGATGCTCCACCAGTACCAAAGGAGCCCAGATTATTCGCCAATGCCGCTGATCCTGATCCGAAGCCAACATTAATATTTGAAGAGGCTTGCTGTTGCTGACCCACAGAGGATGATCCAAATGCAAAACCAGTACTAGAAAACGCACTTTCGGTGGTATCTACCTCTACGGGCATCATCATAGGCGCACCCGTTTCGACATCCATGCTCAGACTTCTCGCTTTCTTCTCCTCTCGTTTCTGCAGCATACGAGCTAGTAGAGCACTTGAAGAACAAGATGACGACGAAGTTTCGACTGCGGTTACGTTAGCAGCAGCAGGAGGGACAACATGATTTGCAGACACAACTAGAGATGGACTATCGATGTTCGCCTTTTCTTGCTTGTAGAGGCTTGTTGTGACTCGTCCACTCGTATCTTCTACTTCTGTTTCACCGTCACCTGCAGTCTTGAGTCTCTTCATTGCAGAGCCTGGTAAGGGGGATCTACTTTGCTCTTGGTCTTCTGCGTTAAGGAGTAGCTCTGTCGCAGGGACGCCAAGCGGCAACTTTTTACCAGGGGATTCAGCAACTCCAACTCCTGCTTCTGAATGTGATGATGAAGACCCATCATCCTCCTCCTCCGACGACGATGATGATTCACGTGCGTCTCCATGACCATGGTCTTCTAAGTCGTGGTCTTCCGCGACGTCTGAGTCGGGGAGCTCTTGCGTGTTGAAAGTGGAGAGCTGGCTAGAACTACTAGCAGGAGCGGCTGTGGTAGTGGGCCGATTATTTTTTGCTCGTGATGAAGATGATGAAGATGCCGCAGCGCCAACATTCTGATTTGGCTTCGCATTCGCTGCATTTGCACTTGATGTAGTTTCTGCTCTCGTAGAAGTTGTCTTGGTAAGGATAGAAGATCCTGCTGCACGTCCGGCACGACCTGCATTTGCTTTCTTGTTCTTTGCTGTTGATGTTGTAAAGTTGATTTCACCCGTCTCAACTTTTCGTGCGTATTCATCGCGAACTGTTTGAGGAATCAACTGGCGATCTTCTTTTACCAACTTGGCAAAGCGTTTTTGTAAGTGCTTTTTCCAGAGTGATAATTTCTCAGCTTCAATAGCTTCCTTGCTGTCCTCAAAACCAATCTCACCTCGCTTTTGTACCATTTCGAAATCTGCCGCCAAGTTTTTCCCGACACCTGCCAGCCATTGTGCTTGCACACTTGACTCTAAGGCCAGTGGGTATCGCTTCAGACTGCGAATGTTAGAGCAGCTCACCCTAGCCTAATCGAGCTTGATGGGATTCATCCCGGATCAGTTTCCCTCTTAAGACTGACACAGCTTCGAGATGCTTTGCCTCTTAAGAGAAACAATAATTAGGGGAAGCCTTAAGAATTACCGCATTGGCAGCTCGCACTGCGTGATCGTTGCCGTTCTCGTTTGCGATTTCCCATCTCGAAACGAAAGCATCCAAATACCGCTGATTTGACGGATGGCACAAAGGTTTCTCGACCTTGACCTTCGTAGCAGGCTTAGGCTTCTTCCTGTTCTGCGCACCAGCAGCAGCTTTTTTGGGGCCTCGTCCACCAGCAACTTTTTTTTCGTTTTTTCGTCTGGTGGACGAGGCCGCTGCGCCGTCGGGGTCACTGCATTCCATTTTTCTACTCAGATGAGATGACCTTTCTAGTTGCAACCCGGAGTGTTGTAAATTCTAGTATAATTATTATCCCAAGTCGAGGTAGACGATCATGCTGACGTTATCCATCTTTCCAATGTTTTTGTGCTTACATTCATTCCACTAATCAATGACTAAAGCAATGATGTACTTGACCGTGCACTGGGGTGGCTATGGCTAAACTAAAAAGTCATAATATCCTTAACATCTTTCTACTCATGCACCAACTTCAATCATTGTCAAAACCGTAGCGCTCGAGGCCAGCTCATTTTTTATTGTAAAACTACTCAAGAAGTAGACTCAATTTCTCAAACTCAGTTTTCTTCGTATCGCCTGCAGACATCAGGGTGCCTATTTCAAAATCGTGAACAACAATGTGCGGCAATCCAGGACGAGCTTGTCGTCTACGTTCTTTTGTTTGATTTTAGAGATCTCCGATCAGCACACATGAACAACCATGATGAGGAAGAAAACAAGGCGTGATTGATGTCGCGAAGATGGGGTATGCTTCGCGGTAGGATTTTGTGATCGTGAGCATGAATACCAATGCGCATTCAATACCGAAAGAAACGAAGAAGAACTTTACTTCATCGTCATCGACATGTCAAAGATATAGCTACTTACTTTCAAGTACTCTTTTTTAGACTTTTGGTTCCAAGACCTCATCCATATCTCATTCACACGTACTTCTAAGATCAGTGACTTTACTTTCATCATTACAAGAACAATACTGCTCACATCCTATTTCATCCACGTTGAGCCGAATTTCCATATGTAGAGCACAGCCGTCACCTGCAGCCCTAAACCCACTAGCAACCTCGTGGCTATCAGGCTATACCTCAACCCGCGCGAAAAATCATACCTCTTCACAGGTAGACATGGGCTTTGTCTTCCATTACTAGTTGTATTTTTGTAACGTGGCACTTGTAGTTGCTGTGGACAACCTGTCTCTACGGCTAGCACTTTCGCAACCATCGCTGCCAATTGGGGGTCGTAGTTCTCGTCGACTTGGTGTACTGGTTCAACAGAATCGCAGGAGTCCCTGTGTTGATGATCTTTCCACCTTGATTCTCCTAGTATGCCTTCATCTTTTACTAGCTGACGCTGACCTAGACCTTGTTCAACGTCTAGTGTCACTTTTTCTAAGACAACATCGCCCGCCAGGTCCGTCGGTGACAAACTACGCTGCTCTTCTTGTTCTTGGTATACCAGGTTTATTGAGCTATAATATACTGATGTTGATGAAGGGTCTACTACAACTATCTGGTCTCGGCTTAGCTCCAGGTCCAGACCAAAATCGCATGACGAGCTCAACTTCACTCGATACGAAATGACACACCCAACATGTAATGCTATTAAGACTCCCGTGCCCCATTCTTAGGGGTTGAAAGTTGGCATCTCTAGCTCGCATATCTGTGGCCTTCCTACTTGAAGAAGACATAGAGACGCGCATAGAGATGTCAACTCCCAAGCCTTAACATTCTGCTAAATTGTGACTTGCACTCGCGCCAGCGAAATAGTCTGGACTTTCCCGCATCCGCTTCGTGAAATTATATACGGGCTCGATCAAACTCGTTGATGCGACAAGTTCTAAGACGGCTAGAAGGAACATTTGGATGGTACTAGAGAGGTCGTCCTCGCTGGTGTCAAGAAGATACTCTGTTGTATTTCTCCTTGCCAATTTTTGGTGCTGATTATTAGAGCTCTTCCCTATTCATCCCTGTGGAAATCCCTCAAGCATATGCGTCAGTATCTCCCTTGTATTGGGGCGCATATGTTTGAGGGATGTCTACAGGGATGGATTAGGAGAAGCCTTAAGATTACTTCTTGAGTCGAGCAAAGCATCTACTTCTTCATCGTCATCATGTTCTTCTCGACCGTCCTTCATACGACCTTCGATGTTGTCCTTGTCTGCTACTTCAACAACAGCCCCAGATCTCGTTTCTGATGCTCCCCTTGTGCGGTACGAAAGTCGTGATGATAATGTGTCGCTCTTCCCTCTACCTGGCGCCCTTTGACAACAAGAACAGCAACTACTAACCGCCCTCAACACTCCTGCTCGAAAATGAGGAAAGTAGCATAGTACAAAGACTCCCCACAGTGTGTGCATCCATCCGGTGAAGAAGAAATATATTTCCGGAACATCTTCGGGACCGGGATAGGCGTAGCCAGGGGCATTGATTGCTATCCGTGGTATCCTCTGTGGTGTAATTATAGTTACTCCGGAGGAGGTACTGGCAGTTTTATGTCCATATTTCCAATCCCAGAAGTCGCCGCCAAATCGTTTGGCATCGCACAGCCGAATAAACAGCAGTAGACAGAGAAGAAAAGCGCCAATCGTGTAAAGCCATAGCGAGCTTGTCCAGAGAAAAGTGAAGAGAGATACTTTTCTTGATGCTGATGGTCCTTGTTGATGTAGTTTTTGTGCTTCTTCATCATGATGTCCACTAGCTCCTCCTCCTCCTACCTGTCTAGCTGCCTGTCCTGCTATAGAAGTTGTTGCACCTGCACATGTTCCGCCCAGTGGTGCCAGTCCATCCTTATCTCCTTCTTCTCCTGCAAGAACAACCCTCCGACGTCTCAGTCTCCACACGTAGTAGCAGCATAGCATTTGCAACACGGCGAAGAACAGATAGAACCCAAATGGAACCCATCTGTGCGCATTGGTGCGGGTTGCTACGTCGCCTTCGGCAAAAGCTACAGAGAGGATCCCCAGTAGCGTAAAAACAATGCTCAACACCAGATGTGTTACGAAAGAGCAGATGTAAGCTGGAGGCGCTTTCAAAGAGTAAGAGGACATTTTTCTTTGAAATACAGCCTAATTGTAACAAGCACAGACTAATAGCGTCGACCTGGAAGCAAGATCCTCCAAAAAAATGTTTGAAAACGAACCCCAAAAACTGACTGGTGGGTGTGCAAAGTGAAGCTGAAGTCCGGATTTTCAGATCCGAGGTAATGTCTTCTTCGCTCAGGAAACCTCCAGATAATATTTTATATATATTCTGACCTTGTGCTTGTTGAGGTGATCTCATATAGAGCTGATAGTTGTTTAGATCTAGGTGGTCTTTTGGACTGGTGCAACGTCGAACTCTTTGTTTCCCTAGCAATAAAATTCACGCGCATGATGAGCGCCTACGTCAAGATCTTGTTGAAAGCTGCCGCGGCATGGTAACTAGTACACTAGGCCTGAGGACGACTAGTACGCAGCATTAGCACGACGACACGACCTCCAGACATTTCTGTCGTACTGCAGGAGGATGCTACAAAAAGGAAGCGGTGAATTATATTGAGTAGTTTTATAAACGAAGTGTACATTTGGAGTTCCACTGGAGTTCTTTGCGACGGTCTAGAAACCTCCAACATATTTGGGGATCTACAAGTGTTAGTTGATTTGAAAATTTTGATTTTTCAATGAAGTTGTCTGTAGGTTTTCCAGTAACGTTCTTGGGAGGTGGTCGTCCTCGGTACTGGCATCGAACATATTATAGGAAGCCGTGATGGAAGATCTGGATGTGGCCAGAAGTACACCCAGTACACCTAGTACACCGAAGGCGGCCACCATCACTGCAACATCCCTGGCATCCCACCTCCATTCCCTATTTGACCACCGCCTGAAGCCGAATTCCTTGACGAAACTGTTTGCCATCGTCCGTCGGGCCCTTGTTGTTCCTCTGTTACTGACTCTTCTACCCTCCCGTCGCCATGCCGTATGCTTTTCCGTGTCGTCCGCACCGTCACGCCATTGACGGTCCTGGTCGAACTCGAAGTCGAGGAAGAAGTGCCGCCGAGGGATTAGATGACGAAGATGATAGTCGTGTGGATATATCATATATAGAGTGTGTTGTGGATATATCATATAGAAGATGATAGTCGTGTGGATATATCATATATAGAGTGTGTTGAGCTGATGTCCTCGCTGTGGTCCCAGATAGTGATCATAGTCATACTAGTGTTGATGTATTATAGAATCAGGAATTTTTTGGCCCGTCACGGGTTGAGTTTCTCGGGTTGCTCGGGTTGCTCGAGTTGCTCGCCGTAATTTTTTGCGCGGCGCCCTTCGGGCGCAGCTTTGTGAGACTCTGGGATACCTTAGCAGGAGCATACGACATTCAACGACATGCCTCCGCTCCCTGGTTTTCTTCTTAATTCGCACCAACGACGAGAGTGAGTGACCACCCTCAGCTCGGGAACTCCTCCCAGCCACTTGATCAAACACGCAAGGCATCCGCCACGTACTCTTCTCTACTTGCTTCCTCGGCTGAGTAGGCCGTTCTCCAAAGCAGGCGAGAACCAGAACTCGCTCCCAGTCCCAAAAGAGACGCACTGGCCACGAACACATCCGAAGAAAAGAGGGAGAGACTGGCACCGACCCAACGACAAGCCACAGCGACACTCTCTCCCCTCAAACAAAAACAACGAGGCGAAGCCGTCGGCCCCTTAGTGCCTGGCTGTGCTTCGAACGCGCGCCCACACGCAACAAGAAAAAAAGCCGGGGGGGCTCGCTGGGGAGCCCTTCACAACCGGCCGCCCCTCTCATGAGAGAGCAACAACAAAAGCAGCCACCTCTTCACTTCGCGCAGCCACAACCGTGCCCATACCGCCCTGCTGCGCCGCATCCCGGTGAAGCGGATGGCTTCCGGTAACTCGTGGCAACTCGTTCAAGAATTGAAACCCTTCGCTTCGGCAACTCGAGCAACTCGTTGCAACTCGAGTAACTCGAAACCCGATATTTTACTTACTCTAGCCTATTAATATATTGAATATCTGGAAGATGAATACTAGAAAGATAGTGTTGATTCTAGTAAGTATCTCCGTTCGTAAAATCCTCCACCACTTGAAGACGACATTGAAGAGAATACGGTACCGCCTCCAAAACCGTTTGACGAAAAGGACTGTGATGAAAAGCTTCCACCTCCGCCACCTGGTGTGAATGGTTTCGGTTGATATCCGGTCGCAGAATATGACTTTGTTAGCAAGCATATTACCCATAGCCTATGTTTAGCTTGAAAAATGACTTCAAAATCGAATTTCCTACAACTACTCAGCTGCATAAGTAGTACCTCCAAAAAAGCTATCGTTCCCTCCAAAGAAGCTTCCTCCAAACGGGTCCATTTGTTGGCCCATTCCTCCAAATCCTTGCTGTTGGAAGAAGGCTCGACCCTGCTGACTACCCCTACCAGCACCTCCTCCATGGAATCCTTGAAAAGCTCCAGAATTGTTGAAGAAGTTTGCGAATGGATCTTCATCCCCAAAAAAATCCCAGAAATTAGAAGAGCTACCGCACCATTGGCATCCTTGGGAGCATCCTTGGCGTCTTTTCGTATTATAGAAAAAGAGCCAAGAATGAGGTTGAGGATGCTTCAGTGGCAGCCTTAAGGAAGACACTAAACGCATCTGCTCTGCCAAAGGGGCTACTCGTTGGGCCAGCTCCGCCACCGAAACCGCCAAATGGGTCGTGACCTTGGCCATAGTGGAAACCGCCTTGTTGGGATTAGAGGAAGCTCCTTCTGTTCTTGACCTTTTTGTGCAATAAATTATGTCATAACTCTACAACGTCGCCTAGCTCTTATCAATGAGGCGAAAGCTGACCTAGGTAAAGGAACGTAATTAATTACTCAGTGGCGCTAGTAATTTTAGAGCATGGGGGCGCCAAATAAACTATTACGATCACCGGGGTAGAGAAGGGAGGGGGCCACACGCTAAGCCAAGAAATAGGCGATCACGATGATCACCATTTGCCTCCAGTATAGAAGAATTTCATCCATAACCTCCACCAGGCATTCCTCCTCCACTGCTCTGCATTCTTGGCCCATCCTTTCCAAATCTGTCGTACATTTGCCTTTTCTCCGCATTCCCTAGGGTTTCATAGGCTTCTGATACCCGTTTGAAGGCTTCTTCGGCAGCTGGATCATCTGCGAGTAGATTTCCTTTTGGGGATCAAATTACCAACGCACCACAAACATGCTGAGCAACATCAAGGGACAACTACATAGGTGGAGGGTCTGACATAAAAATTCATCTGATATCACTGTGTGCGTGTGAGTAGTGTGTGTCAGCACCAAGAAGAAACTAAGAATCAGAATGGAGCAGTCAAGTCGACTGCTCTACTTGAACAAGTCTTCAAAGTCAGTAATACTTGTTTTCCCTTAGGATCAAATTCAGGTTACCAAATTATACCAGAACCATTCATCAATTCAACTCTTCATACCTGGATTCTTATCCGGATGATATTTCAAAGCTAATTTTCGGTAAGCTTTTTTTATGTCGGATTCGCTGCATCCCCGCTGCACCTGGAGAACCTCGTAGTAGTCATCGCTTTGCCAATGCTGTGCCATTTTGGTCCTCTTTATTGGTATTGATTGTTGTTTCTGTTACTTTAATTAGACATAGACCGGGACTTTTCTCGTTGCAGCACAACCTTATTTTTTTTTGATTTTAACAAATCTAATTCGGGAATACTAGCTGAACTCTTTCTGTTACTTCTAACAAATCAAATGGGAATGGCTTTGGCTGGTAGTGACGTTTTATTGGGTTGTTTCGGATCCGAAGACTCCAATCCTGTCACAGTGTTGTAGTTCTAGTTGCTCATGACGGTAGTAAGAAGAGTGGGGTAGTAAGGAAAGGTAGTGGGAAAATAGAGGACGGATCATCAGTTGCTGCTAGGAACCCCAGAGTTTCGTTTCTTTGGGCTGTGCGATCGGTTGACCAGTAAGAAAATGATCAAGCACTCAAATCTGTTTCATAAAAACGAACACCGGCAAGCAGAATAATATCTTCAGAGTGTGGCGACATCGATGTCTGCTTTCCTTATGGTGCCTCCTTGGGCCACTTCACAGCGGTTGCGCGCGTATTTTCCAGTCTTTTTTTTGGATTTTGATTCTCGTTCTTCACGATATATCAGTGACAACTGGGTGATGTCATATTTCAGGAAAAGACAAATACGTACACCAAGAAATCATTGCTATTCTTCAAGTAGAAGAAGAGTCTATTTGTATTTGTACGTATATTAATTTTGATCGACAAAAATAGCATTTTTTTTGTCTATTTTTGCTGCAACTGTCAGCTTTTTACACAGGAAGATAGTCGATGCAACGAGAACGACATCTGTGAACTATAAAGAACAAACACTTACTAGAACCAACTAGAAGACTGAATACTACTATGCTATTTTTGCTACTCCTACTGCAAAATGAATCTGAATAAACGATACCTACAGTAGTTCTGTTTTCCCAACTGTTCATCTAGAAATCATCTTTCTACTTACTTACTACGGATTTGTACAACAATGACATCAAAAAGGAAAAGAAGAGAGATAGTTCTTAGTTTTACACGAGAAGCTGTAAAGCTAACCAACTTGATCTAAGAATATCCCGACGTGTCTCGCTAACATCCCTGCTGCACGTAAATCCGCGTCCGAAAAATAGCCGTTCTTTGAATTAACCAGTTGAACAACGGCGACTACTTCCCGACCACCTTGACTTTCCTCTTGCTCGTCATTCTCTGAAAACACTGGCACACACAGCACCGCCTTGGTTCTGAAACCGGTCGCTTTATCGTGCTCCCGATTGAACTTTGGATGCGTGTAGGCGTCTGGTACGTTAATAACGGCCTTGCGGAGTACTGAGGTTAGAGCTGCCAAGTAAGTAATTGTTGTATATGTGTCTTATCCTCGGTCGTTATCTATTTCTAAAAGAAAAAGAATAATAAATCCGAATCGACTAACATCATCAATAAGTTCGATTATAGTTGTTGCTAAAAATGACATGATGACACTTTCAGAGAAGAAACACTCAACGAGAACGACCCGAGCCATAATGCCTCACCCACCAATGACGCTTCCTTCGGCACTTTGATGATATCTTCGCCTTTCAATCCTGTTGCTGCTCGTGTCCAAAGAACTGAGTCTTCTACGACGAAGAGAGAACACCTATTGTAGATGGCGTTATTCAAGATCAAGGTCTTCTACGACGAAGAGAGAACACCTATTGTACTAGATGGCGTTAATATTCAAGATCTTCAAGCTGTTTTTTTGATTTTTAATTGAGTAATCTGTAGATTGAGGCGGGACTCAACTTACTTCTCCTTGTGATGTAGAATGGTAGTTACGACCTTTCCGCTCCCAACGCTTCTGACCCTTCCTTTACTACTGTCGCGAAAATGGTGTCGAGTTCTTGATTCTTCTTCGCACGCTCCGCAGCCTCCAGATCCATGAAGAGGAGACTTGTCATACCTAAGGTACATCCCACTATGACGCCACAGACAGCCCCAAAAGTACTCCATCGTTTGACGAGGGGCAAGGTCCGCTGAGCGCTGGTAAGCTGGGGAACCTGTTGGAGAAGTTGCGATTTAAAGAAATGGAAATGCATTTGACCACAGAACGAGCGAAGCATGTTGTACTTGGGAAGGAGAGTACTCCAAAGCCACCAACATCTACTGGGTAGAAGTTGTTGCAGTTGTACTAGCCGCGGTTCCAGACCCCGACTCGGAAAATTTTTGAAAACAAAACCCAGCGACAACAACACTTACCGGCAATCCCAGCTTCAAGCAAAACGCATCGACTACGCCGCCAAAGCAGACGCCAGACACATCGGAAAACACTTGACCACAAGCTGCGGCAGTGAGGGTTGCGAGACCGAACTTTACTCCTCCTGTTAGATTCCGACATGATTACATTCCCCAGAACATCGATCCGTGACTTCTTCTTTCGTTCTTCTACTGGAGAAAGGGAAAGAGTCAGGCATGTTGGTCTTAGTGAAAGAGACAAGGATCATGTTAGTCTTATTGAAGGATGTAAAAATGAACGAATCTTCCTTAATATTGTGTTATCGATCAAATCGCCTGCCTGGATCATCACCATGTTGTCCATGAAGCCGAACCCGACCATCGGTACTGCGGAAGCAAAAAACAGCTGTCTCAAGGTCTTAGAATCTGGTGGCTCTGCCGAAGGAGAGGAATTTTCAACATGCCGCCCATCGACTGCTGCGACAGCTTCCGGGGTGGAAGTACTGAATAATCTTGCACGGTGCCCATGATGTCGCTCTGAAGAGTGATGTGACGGTGACCAGGAGCAGAACTGACCTCGTGCTGGCACATTTGACGTACAAGAACAACTGGTCGTCCGGGAAGTCCGCGACGCCAAAGGGAAGAAGGTTTTCTTTTCCACAGATAGAGAAGAGGAGCTGGAAGATGTTGAGCTCGAAGAAATTCCTGTGCACAGCACATTCTCCACAACTCTATGCGAAGATATCAAAGTTCTCGTTGCAGAAGACCGCGTGGCCATGTGATGAGTGATCATCATCTTCGCGACGACTATGCAGAAGGCTATTGGATCTGATGGGGATTGAGGACCGACGAGGACCGCTTCCTTTCAGTTTCACAGAATACATCAAACAAAACCCTTAGCCTTACTATCTGCATTTTTTTTCAATTTTTTCAACGTCTTCGGCCAAAGGGCCAGCGCACCAGCTGGGGTGGGCGCAGAGAAGTCGTACACTTCACGGACAATGCGCCGACCCGGCATATACCCGAGACGGTCTACTCTTTCTCTTCCGTTTGTTTTTGTAGGTAGAACTTGACTCACCTCGTAGAATCTCGTAGAACATGGCTCACCTCCAACCAGCACAACACGCGACCAGAGGGATCTTCTCGACTTTGTCTGTCGCATCTACAACATATCAAACAGAGTAAGTCTATGAGTTTGAGAAGATGATATCCTACTTTCAGAAATAAGAGGCATAGAGATAGACGAGTCTCATCTGCGTCCATCACGATCAATCTCTTAGTCTTTCATATTTCAAGAGAGTGCACGACACGCACACACATACACAACCAACCTTTGGATTTGGGCAGGCACCAACCAAATCCTCTGAGAGACAGTTTCTTGGTGGTAGGTGCAAAGTGTGGAAGATTCTTGCTCATGATAAACATTTTTCATGCTCGTGGTCGCGATGTTGAAGATGAATCATTATTATATGTTGAAGTAGTAACAGAAGTTCATGCCGGTGGAAATAGCGAGTCCCTGCTCAACACTGTGGTGTAATAGCATCAATTCATAACATTTCAGTCTACATATGTGCAATGTTGTTGAACTAGAGCTACTGCCAGTAACTACACGTCGAAAGATGAACGTAAGGATAAGGAAAATTAGCATGAATATACAAAGATGAGCCTGCTCTTCATCTAGACTTAGGCGATAACGCCTCAAGGATTATTTGATTCCTCGAGGAGACGAATCGAGGGGACACTTGTGAGCCGTCGTGTGCAGCTGCTTCTGCTGGGCCCTTCCTTCTGAATCTGTTGCTCCGTGGCGAAAGCCAGCCAGCTGGAAAAATATCATCTTGTTTGTATGATCATCTTCATCCATGTTCTACGAGTACAACTGCAATACAAAATCAATCTATGCATCCGTATAAGTCTAAGTGTTTCCTTGTCTTTGTGCGTTCTTCTTTGTCGTGTTTTCCTTCAAATGTAGTTGTCTTTCCGCTCATCTAGTTGTATACATTAAACGATCCATTATGGTGTTGTTCGATCTTCTGAAAATATGCTGTACAATCTCCAAATACGGAGGTTAAAAAATTTACAATGAAACGATCTTGAACTTGAATAAATTGAAGTGACAAATTGAAGTGATGATGACAATAAGTAGTAAAAAAGTTTGATGTTCTGATGGTGCATGAGGACGTCGTCTATCTCGTCTAACGTCGTCTATCGAATTGTGAGTAATTGTATGCAGCAAAAAATGTCATATGACCTCAGAAATGCTCTTGATGTAGATCATCATGTTGTCAATTTCTATCAAGTATTCTACTCTTTCTGATCTAGTAGAAAAATTCCAATTATATGACCACAGCTAAGCCTTCTGTTTCTGCAAAATCCAAATATGGCACATGCTATGGCCACGATGCGGCAGTTCCATTTCGGTCGATGGCGTTACGGACAACACGTCAAATCCTTCTTTGGCGCATTCGGGGAGTTAGAGGTATGACAGACTTATCATTCAACAAGTCCAATTTCGTTACTAGAGTAGTTGAAGATGTAGTACAACAAGTAGAATTTCTTAGTACTAGTAGTTCATCTTCTTCACGACCTACGTCCAGACGTTGAAGTTGTACTAGTTAGTTCTTCTCGTCGTCCAGCTAGTCCTAAGTAGTTCACTGTAAGTACTATTGCTAATAACACAAGGGCTGCCAAGAAGTTGCTCGTCCGCGCCTACAGACATCACAAGACACTAGCTAGAAGGACCACATCTTCGCCATAAGCTTGGATATCCGCATACAGATTCTGCGACCTGTTCACGTGCGCAAGAACAGCCTTCATCCCAGGCGTGGTCACCTTAGCTAGACCCTTGAAGAACTTGTCAACGAGCAGACGGTGGGAGATTAGAGGTAAGAGGATGTTGATGACTGCCTAAAGATGAACAAAACAGCTCTCTGAAAATGTTGAAGAGGATGTTGAAGAAGATGTTGAAGAGGATGTTGAAGAAGATGTTGAAGAAGATGTTGAAGAAGATGCTGAAGAAGATGTTGAAGAAGATGCTGAAGAAGATGCTGAAGAAGATGTTGAAGAAGATGTCGAAGAAGATGATGATCACTCAGAAAAATCGGCACATGAACTGAAGATGATCACTCAGAATCGTCACATGAACTACGATGAAACTCGGTTAGACTCTCAGCATCGTCACATGAACTACGATGAAACTCGGTTAAACTCAAAAACCCAGCTAAGATCAAGAAAGCCATAACCACAAGACGTCCGAGGCCATCACGAAGTCCCAGGGGAAGGTGTTTTCAGCAGACACTGTCCAAGGACATTCACCTTCCCAGTCGAAGACCTATGTAAATGTACGATGATCAAGGATAACGAAGTACTTTCAGGCACTGCCTCAGGAACATGCAGACGACGCTAATATACCTGTAAGTATTTTCTTCCCGTCCTTATCCATATGAGATTTTTCTTTCAAGCACACTGGTGCACGTATTCTCCAACAACTGATGTTATTCTCTAACAACTAACTCTGACATGTTATTCTCTAACAACTAACTCTGAGCAGTAGCACTTCTAGAAGCTCTACTAGCACTTGTAGTAAATACTACCTTGGTAAAGACGCGATCCTGAAGTTCGTTCATCTGGACATTCATCCCTGCTTGTTGGATGATTTTTTCGACGTCTGTGAGATAAACCTGCGTTTCTGGACATCCGATGGCTCGGCAGATTCCAGCAAAACCCGTACCAGAACCGAGTTCCAGACAGTTGCCAGGATACAACTCCTTGTAGAAAGTGATGTACCTGAGGCAGTAGGTGGAGGTGGAAGTTGTTCAAAGTGGTGGTCGCAGGTCGCGGCTGACGCTGAGGTTGTTGAGTTATAATAGCAGGTATAATATTTAAATTTATACGTAGCTAGCTGCATCGAGAAGCAAAAATGGAAGATGTGATGTCTCTTGTTCCTTCTAGAAGTGGTCGCGAATATCAAAAATAGGGAGAAACTCATTCCCAAATAGGTCGGCAATCAAGAACAAAGGAACTACTCAAAACATCAAGTTCAAGTCGCATATAGTACTGTCCCAACACCACTCCTGCATCCCAGAGTGAAGTTCCGTCATCAATGGACTCGTAGCGGTCGATGAAAACCGGTTTATCTTCGATACGGAAATCGCCGTTGAAGTCAAATTCGACAAGGAGAGAATCAGAGTTGACACTGGTGTGCTTCACTAGTCCCTGGTCATGCATCATCGAAAAAGCAGGAGGTAGCTTCAGGAAACCGCGGGTGATGAAAGGAGGCGGAGGCCAGAGGGTGAGGGGGAATTAATTAATGTAAAACTTTGTTGAACTTTATGGTGTTTTTGTCATTTCAATTGAGAAGGAATATTTTTAGCTCAACAACAGCGACGACCCATAATATTCGCCGCAGTGCCCCGAGCGCTTCCAACCGGCAACTGCGTGCCCATCAGGTTCGTAGCCGCTAGCAATTGCGAGGCTGGGATCTGGATGGGAGCAGCGACTTCAGCTTGAGGAAACGGCGAAGCTGTCACAGGAGCAGAGGGGGCCGCAGGTTGTTCAGCCGCAGCAACCGGCGCAGCTCCTTCACTTCCACCTTCTTTGGGGGTCAAGACTGCTTGTTGGACAGTCTGATTGTTCACGCCAGCGTTTACGTTGGTGATTAGAAGGATAGTGGAGAAATGGAGTGGAGGCAACCTGCTCCAACATTGGTGATTAGAAGGATAGTGGAGAAATGGAGTGGAGGTAACCTGCTCAAGAATTTCTCAAGCCCTGCTGCATAAAGATGATGAACTAATCATTAACGCACAGAGGGGAAGAGGGGAAGAGGATTATAACGACTACGACCATGATGGGTAAGAAACTCAAACATTCATTCACTATGATCACTTCCCAATCCGAAAAATACCGTCATAAGTACATCAATTTTTGAAAATCGAGGTTGACTTTGTTCACGGTCTGACGGATTTGGAAGTTGGCTTGGGCAGCGGTTTCAGCAGTTCGACGGTGTTGGGTCTGGGCCGCCGTCTCAGCACCACGATGGCAGAGACCGGGAACTAGCTGGTATCCCATACCGATTTTGGGTCGGACTACAAAAGCTGCCATACTAAGATTAGAAGATGAAGAACTTTGATTTCTAGCTGGAGGTCATGAATATCTTCTCGCCCAGCTCTACAATAAGGTCAGGCCCACAAGAAAGACCAAGGCCAAGGCCAACAGACCAAAGACCAAGGCCAACAGCCTTGAACCCCTGACCAATAAGGACCGAAACCATCACGACTAAAACGTGAAAAAGTAGAAGTGCCATATCTTGTCCTCCACCCGGGCCAGTCTTAGCAGCGGGAGCGGGTATGATCGCCGGCACAGCTGGAAGAGGTTGCAGGGTCGCCGGCTTGAAGGTGACCCCTTGCCTTTGCTCCAAAAAAGCCTTGCCTAAGGGCTCTTTGCTAAGCAGCTCCAAAGCCGGTGCACGACCCTGATGGAAGAATGCATAAGGCATTTGATCAGGATCATGAGTCATGAAAACAGGTGAAGAAAGATCGATTGATATCTACTCTACAATAGGATGAAGACATGCGCATACAACTGTTGTGTGTGTGTGTGTGTGTGTACTAGATCGAATTCGAAGAACTGGTGCCACTGGATTTGTAATTGGTGCCATTAGTAGAGTAAGCAGATGCAGATAAAGTAGCAAGAAAAAACACCACTTCCGGCACTTCCATTTTGGTGATTTTGAAGTTTCCCAACATCTCTGGGACGCTTTCTTTCTTAGCAGCTACTTCTCCAGAAGGTTCTTCTTCGCTCGCAGCCGCCAGACCAGTCGGCGCGGCCAACGACACTCCTGGTAAGACCTCCATACTCACAAAGCCCAGAGGCTTGTATTTCAACCGGGCAGCAGGAGCAGGGACTTTGTTTTCCGGATTAGAAGTAGGCCAAGAAGGGACCACGATGAATCTTCAGATAAAGTTCTTTCACTTTGAGTACAACAAATGAAGATCTTCAAATTTCCAGATCAGGGGCACTCAGTCAGAGTGCTTCTAAGGTTGTAATGTTTATACTCCAGTTTACGATAATAGATCATAACAACGGCAGTCGGCTTTAGGAAGTCCGGCAGCAAGATTTTGCCCAATTTCTCAGATACAGATGGAAGGCGTGGCTGAGTCGGCTCAGCTGCTAGCGCAGCCTCTGTGGCTTCTCCCTCAACATCAAGAGGAGCATCGTCCTGTAGTCCTTAGAGGAGCTCGAAACAATTCAGTTCTTCAGCTCCTTTCTTCAGATTCACAAGAAGCAGACTGACAGAAGAAAATGAGATGAATGACCCATTGAAGTGAGTCAATGAATTACATGAGAGGAGATGAGAGTGAATCCATTACGCTGCGCCTTAATGTTCCGGGTTGACCTCCAGCTCAGGAGTTTTATCCTCAGCAACAACCTCCTCAGCAACAACCTCCTCAGCAACAACCTCACCAGCAACAACCTCACCAGCAACAACCTCACCAGGGACATTATCCAAAACCTCCTCTATGACTTCCTCAGCTGCCTTCTCGACAGCAGTGGCCAGACTATCAGAGACCGGCTCTCCTTCCACAGTGGTCTCTGGTTGCTTTCCTTCCATAGTCGCGGTCGGGGCTGCAGCTTCTCCTTCGTCTTCTGGAGCAGCAGTTGAATTAGAGAATTAGTTTGACTTGCAGTTCTTGTGTTGATTGTGAACGAGAATATTGCTTAGAAATATATTAGGATGATGATGATGATGACGGATCTGCCTTCCTTTTCACCAGGAATTGTAGGTCTAGATGCTATATCAAGCCAGTTAACTTAACTGTTTCTTCAATGGCCTTTTCCAACAACTTCGGAGAGGCTTCTCCCTCTTTTAGCAGTGGCGCAGCTTCCGGAGCGACCGGTGACAGAGCTGGGCTCGCCTGCTTATCCTCCTGTAGAAAGTTGGGGAGTGAGAGTGAGAAGTCTTCTGTTGACACGAAAAACCTTGATCCAGCAAGAACAATTCTAGCAGAGTAACCTACAAGGTTTGCCAGCTCGCATGGCATGGAGCTGAATGGAGCTAAAGGGCGCGCTTCTTGCGTCCCTTAGAGGTCTGCGCTCCATGCACTCCATGCTACTCCATGCACCATGCGTGCTATAAACTGCTCGGTTCTAGTAAGTATTGGTGTTGGTCTCTTCCACACATCGAAGGTCGTGTACATTAACTTGATGGTGATAAATCATCAAATGATTCATTTCATTGAAGTGAAAGTCAGCATATGAGTACCTGAACGACCGGCATCTTTGCTTTACGAAATTTCGTCGGGGTCGGAAACGGAATTGAGCGCCTAAGAATAAACACACAAAACCCTTCACTTTACACAACTCGAAGTTCCTAGTTGTTTTGGGAGATGGCAGTCCTTGTAGGAGTTGTGATTACGATTCGAAGTACACTAGAATATGTAATTGTTATGCCTGTCGTGGATAGATTGATTCCCTCGTTCTTCTCCTTGTCGTACTTATTTCTGAATATATTAAAAATGGATCAGAAAGACCATGAAAGCACGACTAGTTGAATGATTGAAGCATAAAAGCAGAAAAACCCACAACAGAATTGTGGAAGGCATCATGGAGGTTGCAGATTGATTAAATTTGTGACTACGGCAACGACTGCACAGAAAAAAAAACCTCAGAAAGAAAACACAGGAGAAGGGGAGAAAAAAAGGGACAAAATCTCAAAAAGGAGGGATAGGGGCGGGACTTCTAGAGTTACTCTCGTTATTCTTGCCCGCGACTCTCATGCTCTTTTCGCTCTGGTTCTTCCTGCAGCATTTCTATTTCCAATCCTCCCGACTAGGCTTCTTATCCTTTCACGACCGATGTAAAGCAACAAAGATTCCGAAAATACCGTATCTTAGCCCATTGCTTGCCCGAAGCAGAACATCATGCCCATGTCCTCATACCTATCTATGAGGGACAGAACAAGGCTGAAGGAGGTCCCTGAATCGCAGAGTCAGAAGGTCACTTCACTTCATCCGGACTTTCCTGTTCTTTTTTGTTTTCAGAGTGTTTGAACTCTACACACATCAAACATCACTGGCCGCTCTATTTCGCCTTTGTTCCTGTTCTCATATGCTTGACATAACGTACGCTTTGATTATTTCATCGAAATTTCAAAAGCTCAAATTGACATTTTGCAATGCGAATCATGAATGGACTTCTAGGATTGTTACTAGTTTTACCACATCATATGATCTTCTGTACTAGTTGAAATAAATGTATTCTCATATTTAGTGATAGTGAAGAACTTGTGATAAATTTATTGACAGCTCCTACGCATTACAAATTTGAAATTTGCAAACCAATTAAAAAAGAGCGCCAAAAATACAAATGAAGTGGTCCCACCACTCGTGCTAGATCTCGAAACCGTAACACATATTTTTAACAGAACAAGAGGACTCCCGGACCCACTTCTTTTTATCAAGTAGTAGTAGAATCCTTACCAAATAATATGACGATGGAATTACGGCATGCCAAGCTGATGAATTCTGGAAGATCCTGCTCCAGTTCTAGTTGCCATCGGAGGTGTAGACAAGGCAGGGAAAACAAACCCAGAAGGCTGAAAAGGTTGCGCTAACGAATTCAATGGTGTCCGTAGTTGAGAAGAAGCTGCCGGAGAGAATACTGGAGCATCGGCACGTAGTCTTGAGCGTGGTTCTTCCTGTTTCTTGTGAAGAGGGTCTTCATCATCTTCTCCTTCTCCATCACAATCGTACATAGCAACATCTTTTTCGATGACGTTAGAAGTAGAAGTAGTCCCCACTTTAATAGACGAGGTGGATGTAGTGGATGTGGAATCACGATGAAGACCAACATTGCTACGACCACGACCTAGTAAAGGAGCTCTACGTCTAGTAATGCTGTCGCTGTCCGTGTCCTCTTGCTCTCGTTCTTGAAGAATTTCTACTCCTGCTTCACGTCGAGCAGTTGTATTCTTGTCATCCAACATAGTTTTTTTTTTAGAAGAGCCTCTTCGAGACTGCCTTAGAAGATGAGTCGTCGAGGACTCCTTAGAAGCTGTTCTTGACGCCTTAGTGTTAGTCGACGTGCCTGGAACGAGAAGTGGATGCTCATCAGGTTCAAACACTAAACGCAGTTAGAGGCTCCGACGTTCTTGCAACATCCTTCAGTGTGAGCATCCTTCACGACCTATTTGTTAGTTCCAACTTGAAAAAAGGCCAAGGATTTTTTAATTGAGGATGTAATGATAATGTGGAAACCTGCCTTAACGCAATTGTGATACACGCGAGACGCCTCCGCTCGAACCGAGTCCGCTGTTAAAGGAGTCGTTGACAGAAGAGGAAGAACTATGCAATCCCGCCGGTAATGAAAGGCCAGGTGGAGGTGGTGATACTCTACCTTCAAGAGGACGAATGCCTGCTTCTACAAGGTCACTGTTAATATTGTTGACATGTTGTTCATCTTCAGCTCCTTCAGCTTCACGCACGACTTGATGTTCTACACCTAATGCTGTGCGATGTAGTTTTCCTCGTGTTGATGCAGAACCTTGATTTAATAAAGAGCAGGATGCTAGCTGTTGTTTCTCTACTTTCTGGTGCCTCGCACCATAAGGATCAACGCGGCCAGTCGTGGCAGAAATCTGCTCTATCTCAATGGATGCAGCGAGTGCGGATGAATATGCTGTGCTAGCCGTCGATAAGGATAAGTTGTTTTCTCGACGTTGTCTTGTCTTTTTTGCTTTGATGTTTGAGTTTGTGCTTGAGCCTAACAATGAGGTGGACAGACTGCTTGAGCCTAATAAAACACTCTTTGGAGAAGAAGATGGAGTTGTACCACTATAAAAATCTTCTCGTTCATCTCCTACTTCTACTGTAGTAAAAAGCGAAATCGTTGAGTACATTGCTTCTGTAACTTGTTGCTCATCCATGCCTAAGTGGTCCTGCATGTAGGTAACTCCCTTTCTATTGTGGTCTTTCGAGGTGGATCGCCTAGTTGTAGAAGCAGAACTGGGAGCACAAGCACCTTCTTTTGTGTTAGTCCTCATGCCCGCACTTGTTTTCGTGGTATTTTGGAATCTTTGTGGAGAATCTTCGACATCTTCCATCTCCATGTTGGTACATAGGCCATCGAGGTCCACCAGATCTACAGCACCTGCTTTAGCTTTCCAAGTATTGCTACTATTTTTAGAACAGCTAAGTAAGAGAAATTATCTACCTTCGGACTTCCCGTTTTCCTTTCAAAAACGGGACCAAGATTGAAAATTGGGGGAAGATACAGAATTTCTTGTACCCTTAATATTACTGGTTGCCTTTTTTTGTGCTCCGCTACTTAGAATGTAGGTGGCTAGTCGGTGTCCGTGTTCACTGTCCGCGTCCCCTTCAGAATCAACGTCATAGCATGGCGATTCAACAAGAAACTAATAATGATACAAAGCAAACCGCTCCCAAAAACCGACTAGAAACCGACTGGCGTCCAGGTCTTTAGAAAGGCTTCCGAGCACACAGATCCGCACGGTTCTAGAGCAGCCGGCACCTCTTTCAGACTCCCAGAACCCAAGAGCCACGAGCAAGAAACCCGGAGGATTCCCTTACAAGGTCGCCAAGCCGTGCCGGGCTGTCCAATTTTGGACAGGACTAGAAACAACCCACACGGACCAAAGCAAGCTGGACAGACAAAGCAAGTTGGACAAAGCAAGTTGGACAAAGCAAGTTGGACAAAGCAAGTCGGACAAAGCAAGTTGGACAAAGCAAGTCGGACAAAGCAAGTTGGACAAAGCAAGTTGGACGAAGCAAGTTGGACAAAGCAAGTTGGACGAAGCGACGAAGCAAGTTGGACGAAACGAGTGGGACTGACAGAGCAAGCGAGCGCAGCAAGCTGGACAAAGCAAGTTGGACCAAGCAAGCTGAACAAAGCAAGCAAGACAAAGCTGTGGGGCGAAGGAAATGAGACTACCAAAGGCCGAAGCAATGCAAGTGGGACAAAGCAAGTTGGACGCGCACAAAGCAACTTGGACAAAGGCGAAGCAAGTTGGACGCGGACAGAGCAAGTCGGGCGCAGACAAGGAAACTTGGACCGAGCAAGTTGGACAAGGCAAGGTGAACGAAGCGAGTTGGGCGAAGCAACTCAGTGGCACGAAGCTGGTTCGTTGGGCGAAGTAGCTCTAGCTAGTCAGATTCACGCAGAGTAAGTTGGACAAAACAAGTTGGACAAAACTAGCCAGGCGAAGCAAGGAAGCTGGACAACACAAAGCAAGTCAGACAAAGCATGGGCGCTGGAGACGGAAAGACAAAGCAAGCGGGACAAAGCAAGTCAGACCACAAGGAAGGGGGCAAGTTTGGCGCACAGACGAAAGGCGTGGGACAGAGCAAGCGGGACAAGAATAAAGCAACAGCAAGCGGGGCAAAGCCAGCCTTCCCTACAACCAACACCAAGACCAGCAAGCCGCGCTAAGCTGTCCAATTTTGGACAACGCTAGAAGCAACCCACACCAAGACAAAGCGAAAGAGCCAATTAGCTAAGTGAAAAAAGCTAGGCGAAGCAAGTTGGGCGAAGCAAATTAAGCAAAGCAAGCCCTTCAGACAAAGCAAGACAAACGACAAAAAAAGCGGCGCGACAGCGAGCACAGCCTCGAGGGCGAGGCGGAGCAGGCGCTGTGCCTCAAAGTCAGTCAGCTTGGCCAGATCGCAGCCAAGGTGAAGCGACTACTAGACAGAACCAAACACAGAACCGAGGCCGCGAGCCTCTGCCCCCTCTCTCCCTCTGCCTCCAGCGCGTCAGCCTGGTTAATTTTTTCTACGAGCCCGGCCCCAACACGAAGACACGCGCAGAAACAAGCACCAAAGCCCGCCAGCGCCCTTCGTGTGGGCGCGGGTGAGGGAAAGTGAGTGCCACGCAGTCACCAGCGCGCAGGGGCCAGGGCATCAAGCTGAAACCACAAGCACAAGCACAACCCACACCCCGCAACCGGCTGACAGAAAACCACACCCATGCAGCGAGACCCTCCGCGAACTCCAGCCCAACAGCGCCAGCTCCCCCCAAGCTGACCAACGACCAACCAAGCGAATGCGAAACACAAAGGGGGCACACGCTGGCGGCGGCGCTGGGCTGTGGTCTTCTTGCTCCCCCTGCTCCAAGCCCCGCCAGGTCTGGAAGACGAACCACAGACAGCGGCAAAACCATCACGCGAAATCTTGCTGGAAGGAGTGAGTCCAGCCACCTCCTGACTCACTGACGCCGAGGCGAGCTTGTTACCCCAGCAAAATCCCACAAGCAGGCGGCACCCTCCTGGAACACTCAAAACGAGAAGAACAAGAACAGAAGAAACGAGCAGCCGGCCGAACCCATTCACGACGCCTTTTGCCGTGGACCATATCACGTTCCAAACGGCCGCTCGAACTATGCAGCTCCGGCCTGCGGTCGGTGTCCTTTCGGGGTGTCCCTGTCTCAAGCTCCATCTTGTTCCCCATTGTCTCGAGCCTTCCCGAGGTGGGAGGCTTCTCAAGTTGCACGACTTCACACACATCAGACACAGCAAGCAAACACACTCAACACACACCAAGCCCCACACTTGCCAGAAAGGTGGTCTCCCAACAACAGAGAAGAGAAGAGGAGCAGACGCAACGCAACAATCAAACCGCCGAAGCTCAGCAGCCAGCAGCAGCCCCCCAGCCAGGCCACCCACCTCCACCGCCATCCCCACTCTGCGGCCAAACGACACACACGAGCTGGAGCGGCCCCGAAACTGTACTGACGTCCCCAAACCCGGCGGCTTTTTGTCTGTTCTCCCCCCAAAGTGCTTGCACCGCGCACAGGCGGCCCTCCTCTTGTACCGCTTTGCCGCTGCTTCCAACCGTGGCAGGCGTCACCGCTTCAAGAATGCCAGCAGATGACTGACCTACCACACAAAAAGAGCACAGCCCGCGCCCCACCCAGTGAATTAATACCGAAAAGAACACACCCAAGCCGCGAATCCAAGTGCGCCACCCCTTGCTTACTTTAACGCACCCACTCGCAACGCAAGCACTACCCAAACCACCAGGCAGCGAACACATCACAACACGACACACACCACTCACACCCGACGGCATGCGCTACGAATGTGGGAAACACCCCGCCCGCCGAGCAGCGCCCAGCGAGCTGGCTCGCCAGCTGCTTGGCCATGGTTGACTTCACACGCGGAGCGACACGCCCACCACCGAGAAAGAACACGACACCAAACGCAAGCAGAGGCGAAGACAGCCGCGAAGCTGCTGGCCTGGCGCTGTGTGTGTGTGTTTCTCTCTTTGGTTGGTTTTCGTCTTGGGTTGGGGCACACTTATGCCCAGCCCCAGCGGGCCGGTTTTGCGCTTTTGTCTAATGAATGCGATGGACTTCCCTTGGGGCTCACTCTCTGTCCCAGAACGAAGACGGCCTTGACCACAAAAACGAAAAGCCGGCGGGCCATTAGAGTGCTAGCCTAAATTCCCTCCACATTCTTGCAGGGGGCGGGAGGATACACAAGGGCAAACCCACTCGCAGAGCCCCTTAGCTATGTGCTAGCCCTCTTGTCTTCGTTCACTACTCAAGAGAGCCACGAGCACAAGTGCACCCGCCATACCTTTGCCCAATGCCGCCACTGAAGCCGAAGCCGATGGATGGCGCCCGGATCTCAGCAGCGGCAGAAGCGAGCCCACTTACTTGCAAACTGACTGGGTTACACAATTCAAGCACGCGCCATGACTGAAACAAAGACCAGCCAGCAAATGCATGCGACTGAGTGAAGCGCCAGCCCCTGGCGATGGTGCACGCCCATGCCTTCTAGATCACGACAGCAACAGAACGGGCGCCGCCCGTCTCTTCAGAAAAAAGCTATGGGCTGAGAGGCATGGAGGTGCCCAGCCTGTCCAATATTGGACAGCACGGATTTCACGCAACAAGCCCCCCTTTGCCTCTGCCCTTGTTCCAATAGTTACTGGCCCGACGCTTCTCGAAAACTCACCCGGGGCCCCCCTTGCTTTGCCTAATGATGAAGCCCCTCAGCGAGTGAGCCTGGCGCTTAATTGGGAAGCGTGGGCGCTGGCTGGTGGATGGGTGAGCTCGCGCGGGGGCTGGCTGAGTCCGAGTGACTGAGTGCCTTGGGAATCATCAAGACAAGGAAAAACGTGGGCCGGCTTCGAAAGTTCTTGGCAATTCTAAAACAAGACGAACGGCCTCGAGGTGATAGGGAGCGTCGCGCAGTGAGAGGCCCACCGGCTGCCCCTGGCGAGCCCATGCCCTTTGGCCACCGAGTAAGAAGCTCAGGCGCTACCAATTCCAAAGGCTGAAGGCCAACCGCTTCAGAGGCTTCAATAAGGGAAAAAGGCGGCGCTTCTTATCAAATACCCATGCTGTCGCGTCGATTCTTAAGGGGACGCGGACACCTGACAAGGACACCGACTCCGCACCTACATAGAAGAATGTCGTTGGCACCAGTTGTCAAACTTGATATTAATTGGGAAGCGCCAGCGCATAATAGCCCTGACCCTTGAGCCAGGGCATTGCCTTTTTCTCCTGTAGCGCGTTCCCTAGCTCCTGCTCCTCCTCTAGCTGCGCGTTCTCTGTAGTGAGACATATTAGATGAAGCTTTGATCCATCTTCCTCTCCTCATCTTGACCCCTTTCGCCTTGTATTTCATGAGAAAACAGGGGAAAATGGTACCAAGAAGATGCCGAGAAAGATGAATGTTGAACAACAGTAGATCTCCTAGATGTCCTTTTACTTCTTTTGGACGATGGACGCCCATCAAGCAGTAGGTCTGGCGCTGACGCTGCTGAGACAAGCATTGGGTCAGAAGAAGTTGCTTCTTTAGAACCACCACGGTTGGAAGAGCTCGTCTCTTTCGACCCATACAACCGCGAGCCAGGCATAATACTACAATTACTTCCGACTTTGTTGTTGTAGGACGATGAAGATTCCTTGTAGGACGAAGATTTCGAGCCTTCACGTGAAGGTATATAATTAACAGACTGCTGCTGCCCTGCAGGATTGAAGAAGTTACTCCCTGATGCAACCAGTAAATTTGGAGAACTTCGAGACCCAGCAACAAGTGGTCCTCCATAGTTCTTGTTGGCATTTTTGATAGCGTCATCCTCATCTACTCGATGTCGATTCGTGATTCCATTTCCAGGCATCGATGATGAAGTCGGCCAATTTGTCTTCGCCTCAGTGACATGAACGTCTTGATTTCCACCGAGAGCTGGCCAATTCGTTGTGGTCGATAAGAACCAGTCTGTGCCCGACTCGTGGTCTTGCATTTTTGTCTTCCTTCTATACGGCGAGTCTTGAACAGCGTGTTGCACTGCACCTCCGGGACTACAACCCGATGAAGCGCCAAACGAGTCACTCATAGACGCCCATCGCTTTCGTGTCCCGTCATCCCTATGCCACGGTCCCTGGAGGCGTAACGGCGTGGTGCTCGTAAGGTTTGTTCCATCCTTGTGCTGCAAGCGTTGGATCTCGTCTCCCTTTCGACCCCGTGTACTAGGTGGTACTATAGTGCTGGATGTACATGATGTAACATCGTCTTGAGCAACAATCGGACTCGCATCAGCCATCTGCTCACAGACCTGAGTGGCCATCTTTTCCTCGCAGATGTCCCTCCATGGGGTAGCATTATTTCCGAAGGGTGGATCCGTAGGTTCTTGGTCTGGTTTCTTGTGTTGTAGAGCTGCGAGTTTCTCTTTCCTTAGCGTTACAGGATCATCCAAACTGAAGATTTGTTTCTTAAACTCCTTGTTCAACTTTATTAATGCGTCCACGGCTACCAAATCATCACTCTCTGTTCCGTGAATGGCAGACGATGAAGGTGGCCATGATTCTTTTCTTACTGCTTCAGGTTCTTGAGCTCCTGCTACTGTGCTACTCTTTGGTGCCTGTCCCCGTCCCTGCACGTCTCCTTCGTGCCCCTGCTGTCCTCCGTGGTCCCCACTGTGACCAGTTGCTGCTGACTCGCCCGTCACCTTTCTCAAAAAACTGTCAATCTCACCACGGCTCCCAATCGACTGGGACGGATTGGATGCCTCATCGAAGAGTGGTGTCTCATCAGATGGATCATCGGAACACGGAGAATGAATGTTGGCGGAAACATAAAGTCTTTCATGTTCATCATGCAGCAGTCACTGTAGGTGTAAATAGCTTGAATACGTGAACAAGAAGATAATAAGAAAAAATCAAAGAAGTACTACTAGAGATCAAGAAGAACAGCATAATGTCTCGGGAAAGTATCGCTGCTTTCTTCTGCGTCTTTCTGTCCTGTATGTGGGAGATGGTGGTCCTTTGAGTTTATCCCAGTTTGATCCCTGCACCAAAATCCAGGTCGCACTACGCCTGGTGTTTTCACCCATTTCGATTGATAGGCATTCCTGGGTGCTGAGCCCGCGACGCCTCTAGAAGTGCAACTCTGGTGTTGATTTTTGTAAGCACTTCTAGAAGATGATGTAGCCTGATAGCGTGACATCAAAGAACTGAAAGGAGAGCTACGAGCTGCGGCAAAACCGGAAAAGGATTAGAGGTGGTGGTGGTGGTGGTGGTGGTGATAACAACATGACGGATATACTAGTCCCCCGTTGTATTGAATTCTCAAAAATGATGCAAACGCCACATCGACATCTTGAATCAACATCATCTTGAAGGTGAAGCTGTATCGAAAAATTGAAAACCTACCACGCCTTCTGCTCACTATTACTTGCCTACTCCAACTCCAGTTCCAAAGTCTACATAAGATACACTCGCACCCGTTGGCGTCGATGGGGGTGGCGTTGGCATCATCGGAGATGAAAGTCTAACTTGCTCAAGATGTTGACCTGCTACACTTGCGCTTCCTCTCGAAGAAGTACTACTAGAAGATGTTCCTTTTTTACTATAATTGCTCCCAGATGAAGATGCAGATTGACCATGTCTCGTCCATGGCGGTCTGTCACGGCGTTCGGAAGTATCTGGTCGTCCATGATCCTGCTCTTCCTCTTCATCTAGAAACGTCATTGGGCTTCCAGATCCAAGTCGTGCAGCAGCTACAGGAGTAGCACCAGCGTCATTTGTGTAAAAAGAGCCCGAAAAGGCTGTCCCGCCTCCAGCTTGATGTTGTAGGGGTAATGGTGCAAGATGATTATGTTCTCCGCGTTTTTGTTGCCCTCGTTCGTGTTCTCTAGAATAATTTGCATGTTCTTCGTGTCCCTGTCCAAAATCATCCCCGTCAATGTCTTCGTCTTCATACATGTTATAGGCTCCTTCTACGGAGTCTACACTGGAGTGGAAGTCTTGTTCTCCACGACCTCTCTTTCTATCCGTGCTAACCGCATGATCTTGTGGCAAAGGAAGGACGCCACGAGGTGACGTTGGTTCTAGCCTATGCCTGGTGTGCTCCCCACCTAGCAAAGCATCACGATAACTACGTCCTGTACCTGGCACGTTCGGTTCATCGTAAGCGAGAGTATGATCGATATCTCGTGCGATTTTTTGTTTGTAGTTAGAGGTACTACAACAGCTACAAACAACGCCAGGATCAGAAGACGCATCTTAATCAACGTCAAGAATGACTCTGAACGGAAGAGACCCCCTTCAAAGCTCTCCCCATTCGTCCCTTCGTTTATTTCCCCTGTTGGTTCTCTCAAGAAGGGGCCGGCTCTTCGATCTCAGTGACCGAACCCAATGACCATTGAAAGTTGGGCCTTACTATTAGGAAGGCGCAACTTTCAATGGTCTAACCATGTCTGCCAATGAACCTGGTAGGCCAACGCCTAACCTCACCTAACTTCTCTTGTCAAGAAAATAAAGTAGATCGAGAGAAGTTAAGTGAGCAGGTTAGGCGTTGTTGGTCTACCAGGTTCACTAGCAGACATGGTTGAATACTGAAGACGGATTATAACGGCATCTTCATACCTCTAGCATGCCTCGCTAGTGCCCGTTTACTGACACCAGGTATCAGTGGGAATTCGGCGTTGTTAAAAAGATGATCGATTGCATTCGATACAGCAGCGTTGACTTCTGGCGAGTGGTCGTGTGCTTGTCTAGGTCCTCTAGGTGATGAGGTGAAGCCTGTAGCCTCCAACCCGCTCCTCAAGGCGGATCCTCCAGTAAGTGGCGCACGGCCACCAGACACAGCAGCACGACTACCTGATGTCGTGCCATGCTGCAGTTCAGAACCTGCTCCGCGATTTCTCCGTGGTCTAGTACTTGATGAAGATGCGAATGTGAAAGCAACATTGCAGTTGACCACAATAAGCGCGAAGACGAGAGGACATAGCTTCATCATGAACATGATTGTCATTTTTGAGTTAACAAGTGTTTGCATAGAAGTACGTAGCTGCATATCTTTGTCTTAGCTGCAGATCTTTGTCTTTCGATGCACAGTCGTAGTATCTATGTGAACTGATTATGAGGTTTTGCATGAGACGTACAAGATTGCGTAAAATTTAAAACTCCACGCTGCATACAAAACCGATCGATGTTGAACTTCTCAGACGAAACGCTCAAAGTAAAGTCCATCCCTTTCTGCAACATTTTCTTCAACACAACAACCTATGACTAGACGTTGAGTACCTTATCAATCAGATTCAGAGAACAACTACACTTTGAGTAAGTAGAACCTCCAGCACAGGGACAACGCACACCAGGAGGCTGTGGCAGAGAAACGAAGTGTATAATCCAAGGTACTACCAAGTCGGGTAGGAGACGGAATCTATCATTATCAACGGTGAGGTTATGCGAAAACAGTGGCGACATTTGGTCCGCCTCCGGACGTTGCTCCATTTCAACATCATGATTCTCTAAATCTGTCTCTGACGATGTCGAAGGTGTGCTCTATCTCGGAATAGCTCAACCCTTCCTTGATATTCCCGTAGTGAACCACAGTGGGTTTTGCGTTCAAAAGCTTGCGACCCACGTTTGTGAGGTCCTCCGCAGTGACGTCATCAACCATGCGGGCGAAGTCGTGACCTGTGGCGATGATCTCTGTACAAAGAGAAAGACCTACAATATTAGGAATCAATCTTTGAGAAAAAAGGAACAACAACTAGTGCTTTGTATATTTTAGATACTTATATGAGTGAACCTGTAAAGGTATGAGGCTAAAAAAGTATCACGCTAAATTGCAATACCACTCGCAACCACTCCGCTCATGAGCAGTTGTCTAGCAAAGTCCTCCATCAAGACAGCGTTCGGTTCTAAGTTCATGAAAATTGAACTCTTCAGTTGGTTTTTGGCTCTCTGAACTTCTACAGGATGGAAGGCGCGAAGGTCGAGAGATGTTAGAGGATAGGCATGAGGAGGAGGAGGAGGAACAATTCCTTGGGGGGGCTCATATTCATACCAGCACCACGATGAACTTCTCGTTCATCTTCTTTTCTTCAAGATTCCTGTTCTTGAAGTGGGCGTGGTAGAACTGCAGATGCAAGAGCAAGTGCAACGACAACCAAGTAGTCATAAAAAAGTGTTCGCCACTATGGTAACAAAGTCTTTCGCGTGGTTCGGCTCGACGATGCCGTAAATGCCGAGGAGGCCTGTGTCACTATACTGATGCGAGAAAGCTGAGCATTGCTCTACCCATGGATACCGGTTCAAGACGCTAGTGCAGATTAGAAAACGAGACCGAGAGGGATTTCTTTCTTATAGACAAGGTTGAGGGAGGATTTGACCTTATAAATATGGGATCCGAATTTAAACATTGTGTGAAAAAACTCTCCCATCGAATGGTGTTGTTGTGAAAAAACTCTCGTCCCATCAAATGGTCGAGTTTGTCGATTGAAAATTAATATATATTTTCATCGAGTGGTGTCATCGTCATGTTGAAGCGAAAATCTAACTACTGAACCAGAAGTTTCGTTTCATCATAAAAACAATCTTGAATGCATGCCCTTCCCCGGTCCGCCGGTTGAAAAGGAGCCACCGCCACCAAGTAGGGTTTGCAAGACCGATGCTGCCAGTACGTCTTCGCCATTCCAACCGCCGTCTAGTAGACATTAGAGGTAGAAGTCATTGGCGGTGGCTCTTGGGATATGAGCCCCTGGCTGCTGTCTGTTCTGCATGGTTCTGGTATTTGGTAGCCTGAGTTTGATCCTAAGGGAAAACAAGAAGAGAACCCTTAGGATCAAACTCAGGTTACCAAATACCAGAACCATACATGTTCATCTTGACCTTGGGGTCGAGTCCCCTTGACGTTTGTATAAGACACATCGGGCAAAGTTAGTCCCCAAGAAGATGTTGACCTCAGGTAAGTACGAACCAGATCTTCACTTCTACAACAAGTAGCCTTAAAAGAAAGCAATCGCGACATGGGACAAAGGACATTGCTCTGGCCCCAAAGGTGAAGGTCGTGCCAAGAAACCCCCATAGTAGGGCTGTGGAAATGGAGGATGCTCTAGTTGTAGGGCTGAAGATGAATCCGTTGAGGTCGATGTCGATGAAGTTGTTGTAGAAGTTGTTGTAGATGCTTCGCTATCTTCTGTATTAAAGCTCGGCATTCATTGGTTACTAACTCTGAACGGGAGATACCCGCAGCTTCAAAGCTCTCCCCTTTCGTCCCTCCGTTTTCCCCTGTTGTCTCAAGGGGTCTGCTCCTCTTCCGTGTCAGTGACTCCAATCTAAATGATGACCAATGAAAGTTGAGCCTTAACTGTATGTGTCGACGAAGATTTGATACTTTCAACATCTTCTGATGGCGTTGTTGACGAAGAAGCGGTAGCCTCATTAAACTCGCTCGAAACAGCCTTGCATTCCTCGACGCAATCTTCCACCTCTCTTACGAACTCCTCGTGTGGCACGTTCACTGCACAAAACAGCATTTTTGAGCCATCAGATGCGAACCTATTGTGAAACGGCTGCAAATTTGATCGCATCTGCTCTACATCCTGCCCCAATAAAGGACTGCCCAGACCGGGGCCACTACTGTAGTTAGAGCAGCGACGGCGTATGGAAGTGGAAGATGATCACATCAAGTTCATCAAGTTCGGATCCGTGAAGAAGACCTCGTCCCTACTCTATACATAGGAATAGACTCTGAGTATACTAAATAACCCTGCATTAGCCCTGAATAATTCGCGTTACATCAGCCAGTCCCTCCAGTGAGACTGAAAGCAAAGTAGAAATACATCGATGATCAGACGGGAATGCGGCCGAAGAGTGAAAGAATTAATATAGGATGCATAGTATACGATACCGATAGAGCCTTAACATACGCCACCTCATGAATGAGTTCGTTTACGGCACCTTCCGGGTGTTGGTCAAGCAGCATTAGCTGCTTAGACTCCTCAATTTTGTGGAGTGCCTCTTCGACTTCCAAAGGCTGAAAGCTCGCAGCCAAGAAATTCGAACATAGTAAGGGGACAACAAGTCGAGTCACGTCGCGGAGTGCTTCTACCTGGTGGTTGATGTGAAGAACGTCGTGAAGATGACTCTGACTGAATGCTGATAAGATTTCATTCGGTGGAGATGAAGATCATGAAATAACAAAGGTTCCACACTTGTTCTAGTTGTAGCTCACTTTTACCCTATAAAGCAGCGTTTCCCTGGTCCCACCAGCGATACTGAAGTGGGCTCCTATGGATTCCAGTAGCTTTGCCATATTGTAGTTCGTAAAGTGCCTAGTTTCCCTCAGTGCCAACATCTCCAACAAATGCGTACAGCCTTAGGTTAGAAGAGGATGATCCTAGACGTCGAGTGCACGTGGAGAATTCTATCCTTGGAGAAGTACTCAAAGCCATATGATGTGCAGAAGAAATTACTGCTGGCAAAGACAAGGACAACGAACTACAACGTCAAGAACTACATTTTACAGTTAAAAAAGTTGCACAAGTAGTTAGAACTAGAAGAGGTTCTAATTCTATCCACCAACGGGCAACTGCTCCACTCGATCATAACTGTTCTTGCGAGTTCTCGAATCGTGACCCGATATGAACTGCCAGTCCCACATGAGCGCCCGCTCCACCTTTCTCTTAGAAATTCTTGTTTCCGAAAGCATAAAAATCAATGTGCTAGTTCAGTCAAGGAGTAGTAGCAAGGACATCAAGAAACAAACACTGTCACATCAAAGCTTCTCGATCAGTATCGATCGTCTTATCAGTATCATCTATCAAAAAGACTAAGTGTGGTCAGAAGTGCTGTATGAGTGAATGAATGAATTCGCCTAACTTGAGGTGATGCAGTGTCTATCACTGATGTGATTGTTAATTACTTAGGTCCTTCTTGTTGTTCTTTTCACTTTCATCTTCTTTTTATTTCGTACATCATTATGTCAAGTATAACTACAGAGTCCTCACATTTTTCTTGACTCGATTTTTTGTGAACTTGATTTCTAAAATCTAAATCAGACAACCACCACGCTCATAACTATCACACGAAACCACCTTCGCACCGTTGTCCAGTTGCGTAAATTGTAACGGTTCTGCATACAGAGATGACGAGGTTGACGGTGGGGAACCAGTTAGGATGGATGGAGAAGATGAACTTGAACTTGTTGTACCAGAGGTCGTAGAAGATGAATTTGTTGGACTAGTCGTAGAGGAAAAAGATTGGCTAAAGCTTGGTACGGGTTCCACATCTAGAGTCCGTCTATCGGCAAAAGGGTTTTTTATCCTCGTCTCGTAGGTCTGGAGGCTTTGCTGTTTTTGTTGTTCATGTTGTCCCTGTTTCAATCTTTAGAGTTTCTCCTCAGTCGTGATCATCGTGTAGTTGTAGCTTTGATGACTTTATTCTTCATCTACTAGGTCGCTTTTTTGATGTACAACTACTAGTATCTATGAGTGGAGATTCAAATGATCACTATCGCTATCTTCTGTTGAAAATGAAATCTAACTGTCTAGTACTTTTTGAAGTTTTCGGGAGAAGATGAAAATTTCATCGATCTCATCCTTCAGTCACCTGCTCTAGCTACGAGACTATAATACGGCATAATCAACAACTCCTTCTTAATGTAAAGACTCTCCCCCTTCATGATCTCCGCTTTCACCAGGGGTCGATGATGTTCCACCTCTTGCAGGTGCCGATTTGAATTCTGGCCGTTGCAATATATTTCCAATCGCACGGCTATTCGTTGAGAGATCTCGCCTTGCGCCAGAAGCGGAAGTAGACCACGTAGAACAACAAGTTTGCGCAGATGAAGTAGAAAAAGAAGAAGATGTTGAACTAGTACAACTGCTTTCACGTACACCCAGAAGTTGTTGAGGAAGAGCGCCTCGTCCTGTACCTATTTTCATCATATGGGACGAACGAGAAGTCAAAGTCGTACTACTTCTAGGCAAATGAGATGACAGTTGTCTTCTAGAAGCAGGAGCAGCAACACTCCTACTTGTTGAGGAAAAAGTGGATGAGGATGACGAGGAACCTCCCTTGGTACAAGTACCAAGTAGAAGTCGGCCAGTGCGTAGCGGTGGCGCGGCGGGTCGAAGCAACTTTGAGAAAACCGTCATCTTTATGGTCTTTTGCTCACAAACACAAACGCAATGGATGGTTATGCTTGCCTGTTGTGGAAGTACAAGTAGACCAACTACTTAATCTCTACACCTTCACCAAGAGCGAGAAGTAACGGAATCAGTTGTCGCGGACGAGTGCAATGTTGACGACCATCTACACAATCTTCATTTGATGTTATAAATGATCTACTACTTGCATTTATCTCGAACTCCTACTCCCACTAGCACTGCAACTTAGATCTTGTTCGACTACTTGAAGGTGATTTAAATGCACCAGTTCTCTGTCGTGATTCTTGAAATGGAAACCTATCCCACTTCTTGCGACAAAGAAGGAACTAATTATACAACAAATGAAAAAATCCAAATAATCAACTTGAACAGCATTAGTTGTGCGCCTCATTATCGTCCATCACCATGACCATTATTTGTCATGCTCACCTCTTCTAGAGGTATAATATTTTAAGAAGATCTATTCGGGAATCTGCCTAAGCTCTAGGTCCTTCTCAATCTCAAGATGAACACAGAAGTCGAAGCGGACCGCCTCGAAAAGCCCAACCACGTCAACATGGCAGCAGTGCTGGTAGTTTTTTTTTTCTGATTTCATATTATTATTTTCAATTTCAAGTTCTTTACAGTCATTTTCTTTCAACATCGATTTCGATGCGATGTTGAGTAAGAGTTTTAGTTCTTGTCGTGCAATCCAGTTCTTGTTCAACCCGGTTCAATCAAACATGAGTAGAAGACTCTTAAGCACCAAAACCTCCACAAGATTCAATCACCTTCTTGCAGAAGTTTCAGCCCTACAACACCTTCGACAGAATTATCTTCGATACATCAATTTTTAGAGCAGCTTAGACTTATAGTGTATATATGCATCTTGAAGTAGTGCATGTGCTTCCTTGGCGTGTTTTCCCTATTGGTTCTATTCTCCTGCGCATCCCTAATAGGCATATGACACCAGGATGAGTCGATGTTTATTTCCTCTTAGAAAAGGTAAACAAGGGTTCAACAAGCAAAAATGATTGTTCTTAAGATGAATTACTCCTGTCAGCCTTTATAACTCAGGTAGAATCTTCGATTTTATTACATATTTTTTTCCAAGTAGTACATAAATTCTATTAATTACAGATTTTCATATCGAATAAGATTTTTTTTCCAAACAAGTACTAGTATATTTGTTATTGTTCTTAGTAGCTGAATCAAGAATGACAATGAATTTATTACATTTATTACCTTTATATTCATACTATAGATCTGTTGAAGTATCAAGAGGACTTTCTGTATCCAAGAAATAATTATTAATATGGATGAACAACAACAAGAAGTACAATTTTTGTTACAGTTTTCATCGATCCCAATACAACACTATAGTAAGAATTGTAGTACATCAATTGTTTGTGTTCATGTTGATTCGACTTGGATATCTCGACTTGACTAACCCACTCAAGAACACTTGTTCTGATGATGAAAGTATAATACTTCTAGCTCCTCGTTGCCAGCACTTGCGCCAGCACAACTTGATGATCTTAGCGGATCCTTATCGGAGCTCATCCGTAGCACGCTTCGAGGTGACTCCTTCGGGTGAAGGGGTAGCTGCAGCCTTGGCACTATTGCAGGACTCATCATCGGCTGAACAGGTAGGCCTCTCCTGCTCGCGCGAACCTGAAGAAGAACTTGTACTTGTAGAAGCAGTACGACTTTTTGAATTAAAAATCACTACATTGTGTCAATCATAGGAACTAAGAAAAATAAAAATACCGAACAGATCATAGTAATAGTTGTAGAAGTACAACTTCTAGTATAGTAATAGTACCACCTAACTATTAATAGTTATTTTTTTAGTAGTATAATAGTAAGTGCAACCACCTCCTAAGACTAACTAGTATACATTTAGTCGTATGGAGGGAATGTTGCCCAGATCAGTATTCCGAAACTGTCGACGAGCCTATATAATACCAAGCTTCTCTTACTCTTCAAGCAAGTATTTAGTAGCAGGTAGTTCAAGAGTTAGTACCTCTCATATTACCTCGCATATTCTTCTTCGCCTCTTTCCCATTTTTAGACCAGGAGTTGAGGGCATCTTCCACCACTCCTTCTTTGTATCGTAAAAAGCTGCTTTTGATTGGACGCAAGTGACTCTTAGAACCGAGTATGCACTAATATAGGTAGTAGAGGGGACGATAGATAAAGTAACAGATATGGTGGATTATGCGCTAGTATCTCTTGAAGATGGTAGAGTATGCAGCACTACCTTTGTTATTTGAGAAAATAACTACTAGTATTTCTACATCAAGAAGTAGAGCCCAGGAGTAGAGTTTAAACGCTTCATATCTATGTGTCTTCTCTTGAATGGTGTTGGTATTTAGAAGTACCCTGATTTCGATCATAAGAGGATGCAAGGAGAGAAAGCAAGAGCAGAGCAACTTAGTGATTATTCTTTGCATGAAGGCGGGATCACAAACGTCGAAGGAAAGTAACTGCTTGATTTTCTTTAAGTACCTAAAGCGAGTCGCTGAGCAGGAGCTGAGTATCTAAATCTATTGTCTATAAAAGTATTTATGATCTTATCACCATAAGGGGTTTCTGATTGCTCATGCTCCTCTGGCGAAACGAGCTGCGACGAGGAGAGACAATGTGCGAGCCTTCCGGTTGTCCCAAAACGTGGTCCATGCTCGTAGAGGGATTAGAGAAGAAACTCAAACTCATCGTCCTCACTATAATATTATGTAAATAATTCTATCTTTATTAATGATCGGCAAAAGTCGAGGTCTGACGTCAGGGTTTTAAGGGCGAGCAAGGAGAACCACAAGGAGCACAAATCAACGAGTAGGATCATAATTTCCAAAATAATAAATAAAGGCGAACCCGTCTTTGAGTTTCTTCTCTAATCCCTCTACGAGCATGGACCACTATAGAGGGATTAGAGAAGAAACTCAAACTCATCGTCCTCACTATAATATTATGTAAATAATATGTAAATCTATTAAATGCATGCAACACCAACATGGGGAAAAGAATATTAATTGCATGGGGAAAAGGATTGCAAATAAAACTCAACAAAGACAGACGAGTCATTAAGAACATTCAACAATGAATTGATATTATAAACTCAAAGATTTAGTTAAAAAACTCAACGAGAGCAGCAGTATGGCCTTAAAGAAAGCTGCGAGAGCGACGATGGTTTTCTTCATCGTGTTCCGAGAAGCGGACATCTTGTTCCTCTTGAGGGTGGTGGATATTCTCCTAGAAGTACAGAAGTGGACTTGGAACAAGGATATTCTCCTCGTGCAGAAGGTACTACTTCTAGAACTAGAAGTTGTTACTTAGAATAGTTGTCGTATGTAGTTGGTAGAAGTCGTCGTCGTAGTGCGTTTCTTTCTAGGAACAAGATGATTAGTTGTTGTATGTCTCTAGGAAGAAGTTTTTTTTGATTTTTTTGTGATGAAGATGTTTGCTCTAGAACTAGAAGAACGAAGTAGTTGCTCTCTTCTACGAGACACATCAAAAATGTTGAATTCGCGTCTAGGTGTACAACAACTACGAACAACCAAGATGATTAAAAATAACCATCCGGTCTCCAATCAGGATGATGTGTACAACAACTAGACCTTCTACGGTTGTAATGCCATCTTCTAGAATATGCTTCTAGAGTAATGATGTCATGATCTAGACCTTGTACATGTTACTCTCATCTAGAATATACTTCTCGAGTAAAACAGCAGAGGCGGGTTGATTTCAAGAAGAAATTCCTGGCGTTGAAGATTGGAAAAGGCAATGATGAGGTGATGGTGAGCTGCTGACGCTCTTCTAGAACGAAGTAGAAGGAGATCACATCCTGCGCATATTGGTTCTCGATGATGTCGAAATCGATGATCACTGTCCTTTCCGGCGTGTTGTAACAACTAATACTGACAAAAATAAAAAATGCTGTTCTTGACGTCGATCTAGTAGTTCTACTACGTCGTGTACGTACTAGGGATAGGGAATCACATAAACTAAAAAGATCGACTAATAAACTCTCATCTCAGGGTGCACGAGAAACCACGACACAATTGGGACAGAAGATGAGGGTTCTATTTTCGAGACTCTCAACAGGGGGTCACATTGATTCGACGACGCGATAGGGACAGACAAGGGTAGTTCACTCTCCCTCTTGTAGTTCCGTTCAAGATCATGAATCTCAGCATGATCTTCTTGGCGCTTCATTTCACGTTAGAAACAAACACACATGAATTAACCAACTCCCCAAATTTGGTCAGATCATGCGAGAAATTTGGCAGGAAATGAAAAAAACACTAATAATCTACCTCATCAGAAAGTGAACTATAAACTTAAAAAGTTGAGTATGCTTATACACGAGGAAAAAGTGCGAAGCAGAAGGATGGTTTAATAGGTGCGAATTTCTGCAAACCAACCTATGGCTGGAGATCTCCCAAAACCAGCGCGAAAGTGGAACTTTGATGATCTTGTTGTCAGATCGCGAACGGTAATAATGATGGAACTTTTTAGATCTCTAAGTTTCACATTATAATTCAAAATCTGATGTTTGTTTTTCTGCCACTGAATACGCAAGAACAGAACTCCTGGATTCGCTTCGTACGGACCAGTATCCGCCCTGACTTTAGCAGGGCTCAACTAACCACCAAAAACACTCGATGGTGTAGTTTGGCGTTCCAACAAGTGGGATCAGTTCGTGTTCAACATCTGAAAGTCATAAAAGTGGGAGGGAAATCAGAAACTTGAGGGTGGAGAAATGTCTGAGAAGTGCGACAATGGAGGGGCAAGTCATGTGATATAAAAATATTCGCGGCATATCCATTTCCTTGGAGAGTATAAAAAGGTCGAGGGAGATTGTTGGCGTTTTGATTTTCGCGCACCTGTTTGCTAATATTTCGCGAAAGTGACTGAGAGTTCGCCTGCATCATCACGGTGCTATTACTCTTAAAAGAACCAGCTTGACGAGCTTGAGAGATCCAGACGCCTATACTCAGCTACATTTTCATATTGCGACAGCATGTAAATACTTAGTTTGAATTCCTCGCATTTTTCACAAAAAGAATGATTATCAGAGAGGTTATTGATATATGAAGAAAGGTGGTCGTAGGGCTATCTACTGCCTGGCGAAGACAGTAGAGGGAAGTAATTTGGTAAATCTATGACGCAAGTAGGACCACATCTTGCACAACATCACGAGAATAGTTCCTGAGTAGATAAGAACAGTAATATACTTTTTCATCATCAGCAGCACGATCATCGAGGAGCACAATTGGCTTACATACAAGATAGCTGCAACATACACAACAACACTACCCGTAAGAGCTTCGTCTTGAAATATTGCACGAAGGTAGCAAGAGATGGCACTGCGTCATTCCCATTCCATTCCATTACTTTGATTTGATTCATACAGCGACGCTTATTCATTTTCATCTCATATTTCGCAGCCACAATTCTTTTAGTTGATATCCATGCACGCAGTCACGTGCAAGACATTTTTTTTATACGTAGTGAAGGATCTGCTATTCTTCAATTGTCAGCACAGCCTCAGGTAGATCACATGGATCGGAAGTAGCCCCAACATCGAGGGCAAAGGGATTGTGAGTCTCTCTGCTTAAAAATAATGATCGAAGATGTAACAGGATGAGAGTTGATCTTTTCTTATGTCCATCGATTTACATCGTAGGAGTTGACGAGAGGCAATGCCAGTGATGTTTTGGCCAGCACATCGCCTTGACAACTATTCGATCATAGTGCTTTTGTTTTAGGGCTCAAAGTTGAACTTTCTTCCTGTATGGCGATCAAATCTATTTTCACGGATTTACTTTTCTTAGATATCAAAAACTTGATGGATCTTTCACCTACCAGAATTAATACAAGGAGACTATCCTCATCTTGGACGAGGTAAACTGAGTTTTCATGTAGAAGAAACACAATAAAACAAGAAGAAATGAGAAAAGCTTGCGACTACTGTGGTACTACTATACACACCGAAAAAAGAAAGCTCACATTACAAGACGAGTAGCGTCATCTTCACTGACAAGGTCAAAGTATTGCCTCTCATATAAATACCACTAACAATCGCTACTCTTAAATGATCGATGGACGAAAACGAGCGGAAGCGACGCAGGGGTGGGGTCTGACTTTGTACCATGACGCTGACAGTCGCACTTTTATGGTTATGGTGATGTTGTAGATGGCGATCTGTTCAGAAGAAAACGGCTACGGTCGTATTTAGATCTCGAGACGCTCGCGCGCCATCTCTCTAAGTGTCTCTAGCTCTACGAACAGCGAAAAGATGTCTTCAATTTTTGTTACTCACATAACAGAGCGGACTCTTGGAGCCTCCTCGTTGGTCTCGCTAGATCACGTTTTTTCATGTGTCAAGTCCTTTTGACAGACGACTCATCCCTCAGCTTCCATCAGTATCTATATCCTCAAGAAGTTGGGCAGAGCAGCAGGAAGACGCCAGACTCTCTTGTCATTCGCTAAAAACTGCTTATACATCAGAAGAGCATCATCATCATGGCGAAGAAGGGTCTAATACTACCTCTGCGATCTTGTCCTCCTGCATTATTTACAAGACATGTAACAAATAGAACATATAGCACGCCCTTCGCACCACGTAGAAGCACTTCGAGAAGTCCGCCAGTTCCCGTCCTTACTAGTAGTAGGCGAACGTTACTTCTATCAACATAATAGAGTGGGAGATAGTTATCCATCGCCGTCAAAGCTGGCGCTTATATTAATGCTCTTGCAATGATGTTCACAAGAACTGGCGAAAGAGGTGACGCTGACGAAACTTCCAAGTCATAGCATTATGGTAGATCGCCAGTGCCGTTTGAAAACATGAACTGTAGTACAGAAGTCATCTTGATGCTCTTCGCTGTACTATGAGCAGGCAAAGTGTGAACTTTTAGATATCTTCGAGGTCATCACGATGATCTAGTGCTAGCGATACTACGACAAATACATAGGTTAGCCTTTCTCTAAAATAACTGTGCAGACGAGAACGATGCCTCCCAGACTCAGTCGACAACGTGAAGATAATTTGTGGCGATCGTAGATGTGTTTGGTATTCTTCTTCTGATTAGTACGTAGTTTCACGAATGAATAAAAGGAAAGTAGCCTTACGCATTACTTGCTTTTCATCTACGTGCGAAGTCTTGGCGACTCGTTTGGCACACTAAATCCAGCTGCGATAGACGAAACATACCACGAACGATATGGAGTCGATGCCCCTACTTCTGTCAATTATTACATGGCGCCGTTAGTGATTACTGAGGACAAGCCTTCTTCGTAGTAGTCTTTCAGGAGCGGGAGCTAGTGCAGCGTGCTGCGCGGGCTCCACAACTCGTTTTCAGGCCTCTCTTACTAACAGTGACAACGAGGAGAGGACGACGAAGCGAACAGCAAGACAACTAGGTGAATAATGGTAGTCACATGATATCTAAAAAGCACACATTAGAGTGTGGGCGCTCATACGAAGACCATGCCACTCGATGCAGTGAGTTCTTGCTACGATTGACATTAGCGCAACTTCTTTGCTACTTAGTCGCAGTCTAGATATCCTTATGGAGACGCGTCACGGGTATAATTTTCAGCGAGGAGGCTAAAAAGTGCGCTTTTTTGCAAATGAGCAAAATTCAGTATGTCCTGGCTCAAAAAAAATGGTAGCAGGAGACGGACCTATGATCTTATTCAATCGAAGTAGTTCATTACGGAAGACCCTCACCTCAGGATGATATGTGAACTGCCTTTCATTCTTCTCCGTGTTTAGGATACCTTAATATACTTATAGCCGCACCACGTAGTTGCAATCTTTCAAATATGTACTTTTCTCTTTTAATATACTTGTTTCTTATTGTGTTCAAAGAATTATAGTACGACCTCTCATGAAAGTTTTCTTCTCATCATCACCCTATTGCTTGAGGTTCAGGGTGATCTTCTTTTTCCTCAGCTGCCCATACCGAAGAAGTCGGCCTCCGCTTCGTCGTCGCAAACAGCAGCATTTGCGCCAGCCGCGTTTCGTGTTAGAAGAAAAGTGACGCTTTATGCTCCTGAAGGAGAAAGACTTATTGCAAAGCTGATACTTCATTTACTTCGAAGGGTTTCTGTCTAGAACTGCGCATGATGGACCAGGCCCCCGGTGGTCGTAATCAAGATACCGATAATATTTATGAGCCCTGTTCTTGGATCACTAGCGATAGTTTATTTTTCATCGGACATAAATCATCTTCCTGCTCACCCTCAGATAGGATATCTTGCGCAGCTGCCGACTTTCCCAGCATGCCGGTGTTACAGGCGCGCTTGTTGTAGAAGTGTTTTTTGATCTTCGTTTTCAGGTTGTCATGGTTAGAGCAAACATAGCTGAGAAGATTGAAAGATGATTGCCTGACGTTGGTGCCGATGGTAGTTCAGACTAGGCCCTCAGGGTCCTACGAGGCATGAGAAACATCCTCACTAAGACCATTCGTACTTGATTGATGAAAGTAAGTAGTGCAGTATTCTGGTGGTGTAGCAACTTTTTATCTTCAATGTGGTAATTCATAACAAGGGCTCCGTCTTTAAAGACAGAAAAACGAGCCAGCTGATTCGCGGACAATGCAGCCATTGCATCAGATTCGGACTCAAATTCCTCCAACGCTTCCGCATCAAATACCTCCATGAGACGGACTTCGCAAGAGTTAGAGGAGGCCATGATGATTAACCAGCAACCTCAACATCAAGTTTATTGCAAGACACCAACGAGGCCTATAGTCTCGTCCCCATCTCAGTGCCATCGTGTTGGCCTGATAGACAAGACATGAACATAAACAACAACCCGAGGCCCTCCTAAGTGTAAATAACTCGTAACCTTCGACTCAGTAACCGGAAACGAACACTAACGCCTACTCTACACGAGGAAGATAGTATCCGGCCATAAAAAACTCCGTCCAAAACTTCATGGCAATGATTCGGAGTTTCGACCAGATCTCCATCGGCTCCTTCTTTCCCGCAAGCTTTTCGCGATTCATGTTGACGAAATCGTAAACCGTAGTATACGGATTGACGATTTTATTTTTCGACATCTGGAAAGAGAAAGTGAAGGATACACGTTTACGCAATTGCATCTACTAGCACGGAATATAATTAACAGGAGTCTCAACTATAAAAGACCTCGTGGCACTGTAGCCTGCCCTTCTAGAAACGAGAATTATCTTGAAAAATATAGTTTAATTCTTAAGAACGAGACTGCAGCACGAATAACAGGTAGAAGAAGAAATACTAACAAAATAATAGGACTGCTTACTTTATCGAGAGCGTACACCATCTTCGCGCGCAAGCGGTCGCCATAAGACTTGCCTTCGCGTTGTTCTTCAGTTTCTTCTTGCGTTTCTTTTATCATTCCTTAGGGCTATCAGAGGGATCATCTCAGGTAGGGCCTAACAAAAAAGGGTAGCCTCTGTCCAGCACCTGAGGCACTTGCTGATATTCAGCCTAGATCTAGGCTTTTATTGCGAGCGGTTTTTTTGAAACATGAAGTATCTAAAAACAATTTCAAAACCATGCTGCTACTAGAATACGAGTTTAGAAGTAGATTGTTGAAAGTGTGCAAGAAGCCATAAATATTGAAAAGAGCCTCGGTGAAGTGAGCAAAACCTGAGGCGTGTGGATATCCATGGTCTTGATGAATTACAACCAGCAAGGTGGTATATGGCAAAAGGATCATGATTACTAGTAGAACAACAACAACTACTACGGTGAAGAAAGTAACTCCATTAAGCAATAAGCAAGTAGTTCCTTCTGGTAAGAATGAAGCTGGAGGTGCATCACATATAGTGCCAGCAGCTGCCTTCGCACACTGGCAGAGCAATCGCGGCACATGATCCGCGTCCAAGATAAATGTTGCTCCATTCGCAGCTCCGTAAATCGTTTTGCATGCAACCACACCCAAAGAGGAAATTTTCGCGTCGTTCGTGTTGTCCAGCAAGTTTCTGCTTATCTGTGGCAGTGGTTGTAGTTGTTTGTTGACTGTGAGAGAAGTGACTATCTTCGTGTAGTATATTACAGCGAGACTTTTTCACGAAGGTAGGTGGCCCTACTCTACTCTTCAGTGGCAATCATACACAGGTGGAGTAACAGGTATCAGCTGCTAGAGCATGCGTGGTATATTAAGAGGGTAGAAGTACGAATCTCTCCAAGGATTGCAGCGCGCAGCCATAAGCGGTCAACGGTGTAGCAATCGCTCCCTTCGGAAGTACGCCCCAAGATTAGATGTAAACAAGAAGGCGAAGTAACTGGCATGAGTAACGCCTCTTATAGAAATGCGACACAATCTTTCTGGATGCGTTCTTTATTTGATTTAGTTGCATCGTGAAAACCTACCCGATCTTCGTAAGGAACGATCTGACTTTTCAATGATCATGTTAATCGATGAGGATAATGCAACGTGATAAGAAAAGGATAAGCCGTAGTTGAAGAATTTATGCTCCGCGATCGAATGGTATAAGCCGATGCCACCGGTCATGCCGCTTTGCTTGTTAGAATAAGAAGCAAGTTCGCAAGGGGCAGATGCGACTAATTGCTATGGTGGTCATTGTGATGGGTAGTTTACCTCCCAACGAGAATCACATAAAGTCACTGGCACCGTATCAGGTGCAACTAAGTCTACAGGGGGAGCCATCTTCTTAACTTGCGTCACTTTTCCTGCGACTTGTTGGACCTTCTCAGATCGTTGCGTCATCATTTCGCTGCACTGGATGGGGCCCAACCCATCAAAAAATTTCATTAAACGTTGCCCCTCGCAAGGCCTTAGAGATAGAGCTTTTTCATTAAATGCATGCCCATCTGACGAATGCACGAAGACAGTAATGCAAATACTTCCCAGCTAGTACTGCATGCTACAACATCTGTCCTTGATATACCCTACGCATAGTCAAGTTATGAGAGGGCGCGTGATGGGAAGCTGATGCGATGGGAATAAGGGCACACCATGGGCGGTTCGTTGCCATAACAGTTGCGCGACAATGTCCTTTCGGAATTGGTTTTAGAGTTTCAGGCGTCAAGAACTCACCCTGCAGGTGATCACGTGATTACTATATTCTTAGTCCTTGTTTTAAAACTATATCGTGATCCTGTAGGTGAGGGGTGGTTCTTCCTGAAAGAATTCTTAATCTTTAAACTCCTTCTCGTATTCGTTCATTAGAAAGAGCAAGAGTCTGCCTGCGCGAGCTTCTCGGTGTGTGGCGTATGCGACGGCAGTCGGGGAAAATGTGATAGGTTACACAAGTAGATAAGTAGCAACTTGTCGGGCAATGCTAGTAGCTTTCACATCTACACTTTAGAAAAGAGAGACAGATGATAAGTTGCGGAGAAGACTGCGCTGCTACATGTCTAGCAGCAGAAGGAGCGCGAGCTTCTTCATAAGTGTACGCCGGATTCTCGAAAGGTTTGGTTCCTGTCCTGCATGTCACAGATTCGCCTGGTTTTTTCGTCTCGGGCCATCATTCTCATTAGAGTGTCCGAGGGGAGTGAGCCTCCGGGGCTTCTTATAAAACAGCAGAAGTTCCACAGACATTGACAGATACTACAGAAGTTTACTTACTTGCATTAGTATCTTGTACACACTAGAAGTTTCATCCGAATACAATCCATAACAGAGCTTCGAAATCTGTATCGGAAAGCTCAATTGCGCCGCAGACGGTTAGTTCCGTGCACTGACTCGCCAAGTGAAGTGGTAGCGGCTCATTGGAGTTGGATGTTTTCGCGGTAAGACATTCCAGGTCAAATCGTTTCTCACACGTGTGCGTGTAACGGAAGTACTGTAATGATAAGAGTGCGTGAACTGAAGGTGGCACAGCAAAATTGCTTTTAAGTTTATCGGTATCGAAATGATGTAGAGTGGAACATCTTCACCTCATGATCTTCATGCGATTACGAATACGATTATGCCTCAGAAAAGAAATAAAGAAAGTCACTGCTCGCTAGTGCGGTTGATTATAATCAAACTTGACTAGTATAGTACCTCATCCGTGTACTCAAGGAAGATTGCAAAGTGCGTTTTCTTCATCTTCTGAAAAGCCACCCAAGTCATATTGGTGACCGGTTCCTGCGGTTTCATATCGAAACGATATCCACACTCCAGAACCGCAGGAGCCAACGCCGCGGAATGCTCTCCTTCGATCAGGTACATATAGGGAGGAGGCTCGATTTCCTCTTCATCTTCAGGCACAGCAGACGCATGATCTCCTTCCATAAAAATCAGCGTCACTGGCTCATCGAAGGGCCGGCCCACAGAATCACGCCAAGCACGCTCCAGGATCCCAGTGTGTTTTTCCTCTTCATCGATTTCCTTCTCGTCCTTATCGTTTTCATCAGACACAGGAGCGGCCTTATGATCTCCCTCCATAGCAACCAGCATGCTCTGCTCGATGGACCTGTTTGTAGTATGAAGATCACCAATTATAAGTTGCTCAGATGGTAAAGGTGCGAAGGAATCGTTTTGGATGAGAATGGAGGTGGTCGCGGTCCTCGTGAGAACGGTAGCCGATGTTAAGCGGATGCGGAAAGTGAGGATGTAATTTTTATTTATCATCATGGTGAGTACTAAATTTAAGTATACTCTTCATTGTTTTCCTTTTCCTGTTCTTCAACAGGACGCGGCGCTCTGTATGCTCCAGGCGTCGGAGCCTGTTCTTCGAGTGCAATGACAGGCGCCTTGTTCTCGCTAATGCCAACATTCGACGAGGATGATGAAGACGATGAAGTCAGACAAGACGAGACGCATGAGTCTGACGTGTATTGTGATTGATTTGCAGCAGGTGTTTGCGCCACAACCTGCGCAGAAGCAGGTGCGCTCGACGCGACAGATTGCGCGACAGCAGGCGTTTTCGATGCAGCCGCAGCCTCTGCGATAAGACCAGGTATGCTCGACTCGTTATGTTGCGGGGCGGCAGGTGTGGCCAGCATCGCCGCAGATTCAGAGACCGGACCACCAGGCGTACTAGCGTTCGATTTCGCCATAGCAAGATAGTACGCCTTTTTTCCTTTCAAAGCCCATTGCCCGCTGCTTTGATCATCACCTAGGCCTGCGCTATTCTTGGACAACATCTCTCCTTTAGGTAGCTGCTGGCCTCCCATGATCATGCCACCTTTTCCTTTAGAAGTAGCGAAGTGCTCACGAAAGGCATTCTCTTGTTTACCTTTCATCCAGGAAGTCGGGAAGCTGTTGCTGTTGTAGTAGCTTTGGCTCATGTAGTCCATGTTGTAGTTGTTTTGGTCGTTACTCCAGAGTTGATTTGCCATCGCGTTCTTTCCTTCGGCGAACCCTTGGAAAAGAGGCGCATGGCCTTGGCCGCTCTTGTCGCCTTGCTTACCTTTCCAGTACATGGCAGCGCTATAATCGTAGTTGTAGTTGTTGATGTGTTGCCCGAAGTTCATGGAGTTGAAGGCGTTCTGAGGACCAGCTTCAAAGTCCATGTCCAGCAGTACAGGCTTCAAACACGACGCATTGCCAAGATTCTCAGCTACAGAAGATGAGTTGATCGATCGTGCTCCATCAGGTCCGGAAATGCCAGATTTCTTAGAAGTAGCAAGGTGATGTGAACCTAGGAGAAAGATTGCACGATGTAGCATCTCATCGGTGGAGTCGCAAAAGACAGACGAAAGTATGGCGAACGTGATTCACATGAAGAAAACTAAACTAGTTGCATGAGACAGGAGCTTGGCCGTAATCCACTCTGTTGTGTTCCACTGAGAGTCGGGGCCGCTTTGGAGGAAAGCAGATGATTCGTTCTCGGAGGGTAAATAGTGATCCCGTGGCACTGCGTTTCTCAAAATCATACTGCTATCATCTGGAGCTGGCGAACTACGCGCGTCTTGGCTGATCATCAGTAAGATAAAAAGTGGAGTAATGTTACAGGTGCGCCGATAGTAAACATCATCAACGTACGAGCATGGTTACATAAGTAGAAGAAAGTAGCTGGTGTCTATGATCATAAAGAAAACTTTTAAAGTCTCGACGAACAAGATGCTTTGTCTCCATAAAAATAAGCAGTGTTTAGCACGTCAGTGAATCCTAAATCTAATGCCAGCGAACATAAAAATTAGTAGCACAACGGAACATACCAGGATCACACGATAGAACGAAGTCTAGAACATTAGCCACACTCTCATCAGTGAAGTTGTGAGATAGTAACGTCGCTTAAATTTAACAAACAATGGAGTAAGTACATTTTTGCAGCTGGTGACGGTTGCACCGAGCGCGGCCTTTTATTCGTGGCAGGCTCAGAAACCTGCTCAACCTTGATGTGAGTCTTGTTTTCTTCCACCACATGCTTACCATCGACAGAAGTAGTTGTTTGCTTGACCTCCGATCCCTGCTGCCCATGATGTAGAAACTCTTCAACAGTAGTTGTAGTAAGCCGAGTGGAGCCACGGTCATTCATTTCTTCATCACCTCCCATCTCCTCCACCTTGTCGATCTCTGCTTGTCCGGCTACTGCCAGGCGAGCCTCAACGTCATCAATGGGCTCCTCGTCATCATTCGGAATTTCGTCTAGTCGACCTTCTTTTACATGTTAGAAGAAACTTGCACGCAGTTTTTGTTGTTATTGTTAAATGTTTCTTATGGTGTGTGTCTCCTCGGTGTGTTCTCATTCAAGGAGCACGTGGAGGGTGACAGAATCAATACAAAGGGCAAAGACAACAACAAAAAAAGGAGGACGACCATATTCATAAACTTCCTTCAATGCAGCAAGTCGCTCGTTTTCTGCTGTTTCTGCATGTCTTAGAACAGGTCTTCTTCAAAGAAGTTATACTTCAATTCTTGAAAATAAAAGCTGCCTCAATACAAAAGACGACAATCTTTATAATAAATGAGTTACATGCGTGTGCCTTAAGTGTGGCGTTAGCCGGAATTGCTGGACGCGCAGCTGATCGGATGGCAACACACACAACATCTTCTCTCCACTAAGTTCAGTCCACAACAACGCGAGATCCCTTCGTTGTTGAACGCAACGCATCCAGGATCCAATCTTTTTTAGTGCTGGAGACAGTTGCAAAATGTCGCGCGCGCGTGTCATGATGATCTGTGAAAAAAAAGGGGGAGAAAAACAAGTTGTAGCAACTTCTTAGAATAACAAGTCGCATAGGGAATAAGGGTGCTTCCTGATATAAAAAAAATTTTACCCAGACGAAGCTAAACTCCTGCGCCCGTAGTAAACATCATGCCATGTGTAAAATTCAAAATTGAAAACGATGTAGAAAACTAAAAGTAAATACTCGCTTCATGATTCGCCATGGCTCCTCTGCGAGCGGGTTATCTTTGTGCGCGGAGATGCAAGTATTCAGACTCAGTTCAATGCCCAAAACCGTTACTGCGCTTCGGCCACACGTTAGATAAGCAAAGGGAATAAGATAATGAGGGACACTAGAACAGAAGAACTCAAAGTACGACAATGTCGCCTCTAGTTTACCGATCAGCAAGAAGCTTAGTTCCGAATGGATAGGAGAAAACTCGCCGAAAAACAACCATAAAAGAAAAGCTTGGAACCATCCTTCTCCGCATCCTCTGTTATCACTGACCATCCGCATGATTAGAGCAATGTAGGTGGGTTTGGGTTCGGGTTTATCATAATTCGCATTATGTTCAGTGCTATGAAAGTGCATGCGTGAGGGATGACTCAGAAGATGTTAGTGCGATCGCCGTAACATCAGTGCCCCGATGATCGCATTGACCGTGCTCATCGTCGAAACTTTTTGCAGCCGACTCTCTGCGTTGGGCTGATGTTGTAAGAATGTAGAAAATTTAGTCAATGACCTCGCGCAGCTATTAAAGCCATGCTGCACTACTAACCTTGATTTCCTTCATACAGCACTTAAAACAATTGCTACTCAGTACCACAAAGTTTAAGACTTGTTTTGTTTTTCATTCATTGCGAGGAACTTCTACGAGTCGCGTAGTACCCACAAGTCGCGGCATTCATCCTGCGTGATGTCAATTTTCTCGAAAGTTTTTGGCTTTCCCACCACTGGTCGCTTTTTCTCTGCAAGCCGTTTATAAAAATCATCGCAGGGGAGCATCATTCTGAAGAATGCCAGGGTCACTGGAAAGTAGATTGAGGAGGAGAAAGTGAAGAAGATAACTGGAAACAGCACAAAGATGATGATCTTGTAGTACTAGTTATGTTTGTAGCCAAAGTAAGAGATACGGCGCGAGTATCCCGATTAAGTCACTACGAGGTAAAGGCCGAGGCCTCCCAGATGCGAAAATACTACGTAGCTGAAGAGACGATAGTAGTCCCCGAATAAAATACAGTTGCTGTTCTTGAGTCGTGACCGGAAATGTGCCGCAACTTGACCCGCGCCGAAAATGCATGCTAAGTTAGATGATGCACGAAAGTGTGACTATGTATCTGACTTTCACCAGCATGCTTTCTCCGAATACGATTCAGAGGCTTACTACGAAATCAAACAAGCTACTCCAAGTAAGAACCTGCGTGACAACGAACTTCACAGACATACATATGCGGAGAGGTGATACAGCGGGCATCTCATCAGGGCCATAACAACACAAGTGTCAAAATGGCGACCATTCTGATGTAGGAGGCGGATTGGGATAAGAAGCCGAAAAATCGTCGGCAATCGCTAGGTAAAGAATATCTTCGTCATGGTCTTTGCTTTTGTCCTTGGATAACTTTGGTTACTAGTATCTTAAATCGATACGCTGAACCAAGATGATGCGAAATGGATTCCCTCTATAACAAGCGTAATACTCTCCTTTAATATGATCACTTACTTCCCCATGGCATCATGATCAAAAATAAACTTAAAATCATCATGAGGCGTCGCGAAGCACTAGAAAACAAAAGTTTATTGGAAAGGTCGAATACGTTTTCGGACAAGATTTGCTGCACCAAGGCATGATCCGAATCCCTGTAGTCCTCGAGACCGCAGCATTCATATATTAGAATGGGGATACTTCTGAGTAAAAGTTTGGCTACTACTTCATCCACACACTGATGTACAACACTAGCGGCTGAGCACGACGAGGCTCTCATCGTTCACCTTGAAAATTTTAAAAGTAAGCACCATAACACGAGGATGAGTCTCGCTTTCTCCTGACTCAGCTCGAGGAGCGGCTTGACGTTTTTGGGAGGCATCTTGCTGTTGCTTGTCGTAGTACTCCTGCAATGGTGATTCTATTGAGGGACTTTGAGACAATGAGATGCCTGCCTGTGATATTTTTCTTGCAGAACAAGTTGCCAGATGTATTTAATAAGTAGAGCGCTGCAGGAAGTTGAATTTTAATTATGTTGTGACTATGATAGATAAACAGATAAAACACTATTGGAGAGCAGCACCTAAGCCATCAAGAACAGAATACGAACTACAAGTACTAGACGATATTGAGTCGACATAATTCTAAAAACAAGTGGTCGCGAAAGAACAAAATAAGAACAATCAAAAGAACACGCGTTGATCAAGAAATAATACGTAGTCAGAATGCTATGAGCAGCACACTTCAAGAAGTTACTGATGCGATTAGTTAGCTTGTGTATATAAGTTTCTCGTAGTAGGACTCGATAAGTCTACTCGTCTCTCGGTCCTACTTTTCCTATGAAGGGTTTGATTGGGTGGAAAGATGATCAGCCTCTTCCTTGCGGCATGCTTTTACCATATCAGAAAAGACACTTCATGATCAAAGATCATCGCTCGCGTGATTCTTGATGTTCAACCGCCACAACAAACTAGAAGAACGACAAAACTAGATCTTCATGCTGAGAAAAGTAGACGAAGAAGGAATAAGCGACGACTCTTGTTCAAAAGAATATTGAAAAAAACCAAGAAGCAGCGTAGAGAGAAATACTAGTACTTACATCAGCAAACATAACATCTGTGGCACAACAGAAATAAGACACGCTGACCATAAAAAACTACTCGAAGAGCCAAGAGCTATACTTTAATCGAAAAACTGCATGGAATTCTGATAAGAACTTGCTGCGTGCGGATCAGAGCCCACGAACTCTTTACGAAGCAAAGAGCGCCGAGCTCCCTCGTCTGGAACGTGCGCCTTCTACTCGTCTCTCATACGCATGCGCAATTAACTTGAACGATAGTGTATAAATGTCAGGGCTCCTGTGGTGTGGTCACTTACTCTTCTGCTCTATCAGATAATCTTCCTCGTGGTATTTGATTTTTCACGATTTGCCAGTTCAGAAACGTCGAACAATTTGAGCGATCTCCTGTCCACGCTGAGCCTTCTGAATGAACACGAATACTTGCCGCAGCCTCGCTAGATGCTTTTTATGTATTAGCAACAGATAGTATATTTCAAGGTAGTGAGATATTGGTATACTCAGGGGGGGATATGTATTAGGTTTTTTGCCGATTCGTCTTCATGCTTCACAGTCTTTATTGATGAAAATACTCCTGACGATGTAAAAAGCGAAAAAGAGTCTTCATGATGTACTTCGTATCAATGGAGGAGGAGGAAGAAACGATTACTAGTAGGTGCTCGCGTAAGCTGATGGTGACGCGCAACAAATGTTGCATATCACGCAATCAATCTAGCATACAAAGCATCACGAAAAATAACAACGCGGCGAGGAAGAGGAAGTTCAATGTGAACAAGAGATATTCATCAGCCAAGAACAGAAGAACACCCATCAAATCAAAACAGACTAGCACTTCACCAAAGCATTCGCGTCACTGTGGCTAGTTGCTACCTAAATTATCAAAGACAGTTACGCTACATTCTCTGGGAGCCAGACGGCCTCCTAGCTCTTTAATATGTGTGAGGGATTAGTTCTTACACTAAAAACTATATATCCTGGCACTGTAGTTTACGTACTATCACTCGCCATAATTGTTATCCAACTAGTAGTATGAAAATACTAGCAACCTCTTTCACTACTTGCAGAAGAGGTGTTCTTTAGTAGACGACCACATCGGAGGAATTCTTGCAAAATGCTGCAGGAGCAGCTTATTCATAAAAAAACGCTTTATGAGAAGAGCGTGGCTGGCCCTGTGAGTACAGACAATAAACATATCTTATACAACAATATAACTATAATAGTTGAGCAAGGTGATGACGATGTAGGGCTGGGGCTGGCAAGATATAAGAGGTCTTCGACATCAAACTACTACGCATCACGTTACCACGCTGTAACACCTACCATTTTGATGCTGAGGATGTCACATAATCTTTGGCCAGCGAGGAGCTCAAAGACATCGGTAAGAATCTGCCTACTCTAGTTTCTACTTCACTCATTCAGTCACATACGCAGCTACTACGTAGGACACACCAGTATTCCATCAAAGAGAAAATTAGTCTACGTACTTAAAAGTATTACTGCTTCTTCATGCTTTTTTTCATCGTGCTCACCTGCTCTTTTTTCATATTTTTCCCTTTGTTCACTGCAGCCTTCATTGATGCAGCTGGCTTTTTCTCCGGAGCCTTAGAAGATGCGCTGTTCTTGTTGTTCTTAGACGATGTCGAACTAGAAGCGTTGCCTGAGCTGCCAGGGCCTCCTTCTTTCTTCATGCCCGTGGTGGTCGTAGAACTGCTACTGCTAGAAGAGGGCGCGCCCTTCTGGTTCACTGCTGTCTTCATGGATTTGCTTCCTTGATCGTCTTCGCCATCTTTCTTGCTTCTCTTCATGGTTGTCTTCTTCATGCCTGTTGTCTGCGTGTCGTCCTTTTTCATTACAGTCTTCATCTTCATTTTGGCGGCACCGGTTTGTTGTTCTTCACTTTCAACAGCAGCTTCTTCATCTTCAACTTCAGAGGCTTTTGCAGAGGACGGTGGAGATGCAGCAGGAATCCTCTTCGAGTCCTTGTTTGCAGTTTCTTCATTTTTCTTCTTATCTTCTTCGTCGACACTGTCCTCAGCTGGAGGAGTGGCATTCTCCTCGGCATCGATCACCTGTTTACCATGTTCGTTGCAGCTTCTTTTTTTGTTCACCAGCCTTTTGTACATTTTCCACAGCTTTGTAGTGAGTGGCTTGTGCGTCTGGCGAAGTTAGAGAGGCAATTATTTTAGTAAGAACCGAGGCGGTGAGGAAGATCTTCAATTACGTCAGCATGTATAATAGTGAAGGTTCTGGCGCCAGTTTTATTTACTTCGTTTCCTACTCGTAGGAGGTCTTGACGGTTGATGAAGATCACAAAAGGAGAGAGACCAAATAAAAGTAAGGTAGCTCTACGCTACCAGTACAACAGAGACGCACTTGCGAAAGACTCGCCTTAATAAAGCTCGTCTTTCTCGGCCTTGGCTGAATTCTTCTTCAGTTTATCCAGAGCTGCGTCGAGAGCCTCGGTGAGGCTCTTTCGCTGGTTGAGACAACGGTCAAGATCAGCAAGTCGCATGTTCTGCCTGGCATTACTAATCAGAAGCTTCTCCATTCCCACCAGCCATTCCTGGATCACGTTGCTCAAATCGCCAAGAGATAACGACGGCAAATTAGTCCTCGCGTATTTTTGGTAGTCAAATTGCTCGTTTCCGGTAGTTGCGTCATCATCTTGCAGCTCGCTCTTCTGTGAAAGGATAGTGTAAAAAAGGTAGAAGTGGCATGGAATTATCATGATCAACAAAGAAAATTTCTATCAAATGGATGAGAAGAAAACTAACGAGCACTATATTCTACTTGCTAACAACATTAATAACAATAAACTACTCACAAACAAATAAAGTTCGTTACCACGACAACACTGCTGTGGCTTGATATCTTCGCTTCGTCGCTTGTTGCTGGCGCACCACCAGAGGCATCAGGGACCTCAGTCTTGTTGTGATCTAGAGAAGAACGTCCTTCGCCAAACGTGAAACAACCAGGAAAGCCAAATGCGTTAGATTTGTCACGAGAGGTTACGAAGGTAGACGTTTCCACTGGATAATGGCTCTTCTTTCCTTGCTCATCATCCTTCTTCGTAAAATTTTTCCAATCGCCAGTCGGTCCTGACTGAACCTGAGGCGAATAAACAAGAAACCATAGGTGATCGTCTGAAAGAATATAATTAGTATTTTCTTGTAGTTATCATGTTTCGCAACTTAATACTGAGCGGCATCAAATCATTGTAAAAAAAGTAGATAAATTAACATACCAAAAAAGTGACGGTTTGATTTGGTGGTAGCAAGACGTCTGTTTGCGTCCCCACGGTAACCATTTTCTTTCCAGGTTCCTGGTTATCTTGATTCTGTTTCCCGTGAAGATCAGAAAAAATCTTCTGTGGCAAGCATGCTTTCGAAACTCCATGCCATGGCGACGAGCTGTTAGCTCTGGTTACCGGTCCAGGAAGAATGAACGATGTGGCTTTGGTCTTGTTCTCCTCCGAGCACCAGTATTCTGCTGACACTTCTTGCGGCATCGGAGGACTGACACATTAGAGATTGATAGAGACGTGAGTCATGAATTATATGAAGACACAAACGCGCACGATTATGCTGAGATACTACTAGTAACTTTTGCTTCCGTTCGCAAGTGTCAGAGTGATAATCTAATATGGTCTCCTTAAATGAGTGTCTGATTGCCTGCAGGTAGCCCATCCAATAAAGCAGGATTCTCCTGAGCCAGCAGGGACCTCTTCACTGGCCGCGTGACGACAAACTCGATAGGGGACACAAGGCGATACTTAGTAATAAACGCGCTCTCTCATCTTCTAGGTGAGTTTCATGATGATCTTGCGACTGCAACATCAAAACTGCCGCAAGCGACGAGATGACTGACGGCGAAAGCAGCGGCCCCTTGACCCATCTTCAAGGAGCCCCTAGATGATGTTAAAAGATAAGCCGTAAAATGGTGATGAACCTCGTAAAGCATACCGCTGACAGATGTAGGCTGCATGATGTACCCGTATTCCGGCAGGATCATGCTGCCCCGAAATTAGAAAAGACTGGGAAAACCTTGCTCATGTATATTAATCAGTTGAAGGATTCGCTTGCTTGTATTATGAAGGAGGACATGATGTATTTTTGTGAGAACAACGAACTTCGGAAGGAAGGGAAAACCTGCAAAGAACTTTTTCTACTATGTTGAGCAGAGTGACTGATGAAGTTAGTTCGTACTAGTAGCACAAGCACAACTATTCTTCGAAGCGTTTCTTAATCAAATTTGTCGAAAGCTCGCCTGGCTAGTTTGATCTCTCCCGGTGCTCCGTGGTCTGCCCTCAAGTGACACGTAGGCTCTTGCTCCGCGAGAATATCTGCTCCTGTAACTGGAGTGTGCAGCCCAGACGCATCAATTTAGAAAAAGAAGAAATGATGTGGCTTGGTCTGTACTCCACAGGAAAGAAAGCAAAGCGAAGTAGTTTTTTGAAGATGATTAATGTGATTACTGACAAGATTAAGAAGCTCGAGTAGTGCAACATCCTTAAAAGGCGTTCGAGTCAGAACGTGCGGCGAGGCTCATGTAGCTTGCAACTGAGGACTGGCTCCCAGGAACTCCAAAAGGATCACCACGGCAATCTTCCTTCTGCAATTCCAAAGCTTTATTGTTCAAGTACCATCCTGGTAGTGTCAACGCTTTGCTTTTCGCCAAATCCTGCGGAATTAGATGCGCGAGCACTAGACAACTTCGTTTGAAAAGTTGAAGCTTTAGGCATCAGGAGTCTATTTATTGTGGTGATTGACGACCACACTATAACTTTATTTAGGACGATAGTCTTCTAGTAAGCAAATCACGAACGTCTTAAAATGATAAGATTGTGCGCGGTCTTTCCCAGGATTTTGGCTCCTCCGTTGACAATGAGCAAACAATCGGGGTCCGGTCCTAGACTTGATTTCTGTTTTCCATCTTTGCGACCCCACAACACAGTCTCCGTTGGCTTTGTCGTTGTAGCAGCGACCTGCACCGGCATGTACAGAGTCTCGGTTGGAAGAAGAAACGAGTTAGGATTTGCCAGCGTTCTCTTTGGAGCAGCACTCACTCCAAAGGCCTTGGTGCTGCTAATAAACTGCTGTCGAGAAGATGGAGACATCTGAGAAATTTCCTTTACCTTGGATTCAGTAAAAAGCTTTACTCCTCCAGTCGAATTCTTTTGATGTGTGTCTTCCACTGCAGCCGTATTGTGCTGCCCTTCGAGATGCAGCATCGGTTCTTGCTTGATGAGCCTAGTACTAGTAGATGAAGAAGGTCCAGGCGCTCCTACACGGCCATGTGGAAAAGCTCCCCTTTGATTAAAAGTGCGCCCTCCTGTGCCGCTCCCAGCGACATTACCGAGTCCACCACAAATAGCGTCACTCTCATCACTTGCATCTTCATCTTGTTCCTCCTTAATGGTTTGACGCAAGTCAAGTTCTTTCTTGATGTGAGTCATGTTCTGAAATGAGGTTGAAGTGAGGTGATCATTGGTAAACAAGGACGGAGGTGGAAACAACGACGAGGAATTCTGAAGGCCGCGATGAGTCGAGCCATGTCCTTTCTTGCCAGGTTGGTTGAATGGTCCTTGTCCTTTCAGCGGCGGGACCTGGGGACGATTGTTTGCACCAGACGAAGGAGCCTGATTTGTTTTACCGCTTCCGGCCAGCATTTTTTTGGTATATCTGTTGCAGGTAGGTCTACTGATGTTATCGCTTTCCACAAATTACTTTTCAGAGTGATGATTTACCGTTATACGGTGAACCTTTTAAGCGTATCTTGTTCAGATGAAAAAAAACACAAGTATTAGGATATAGGTGTAAAAAGAATACGAAATCACGAAGGAAGAAAAAGATATCCCGAGAACACTTCTACAGAAGGAGGACACCAGACACACTTTTGATCTTTCAATATGAAAAACACGATAGCAGTCGTTATTTGGTACAAGCAGTGGCAGTCTGTCTCGCCAAACAATGAATTTTCTGGCGCATGTCAGTAAGCTCGCAGAATACAAATTACTCATGTACTTTGTCCAGTAGAACTTCGCAGCCGGCATGGTTGTGGTTCTCGTTACGAGCGCACATTTAGCATCTGTTTGCATTTTCATCATTTCACCAGCTCAGAGAATATTGCTTGGTCTCTACATTTTTCATTACCTAAACACGACGAAAATGAGGCCCGTCTACTCGTAGTCGAAGTGAAGTGATCTGTATTTTTTCAGCGAGAGTATATGTGTGTTTCTCAAAAATTTCTACTCAGAGAACACCAGGAAGCGACATATGTGGGGAGTACTAATTAGTATCTAATCATGCTGCGTTGGCACGGTCTATCGTCTTCTTGTGCTTTCTTTCAGTCTCAGACTCAATATTACTGAACAACAATAAAGCTACTCTTTCGATGAGTGGCTCTTATCATACTAAATTAAAGACCAAGAGCCTCACAGTAGTAACTATCCTTGAGTAAATGTTTCTTTTTGGAAGCACATAAATTCAAAACGCAACAATAATGCAGCAGCTGAACAAACCAGGGCCACAGCTTTATTACCTAATAACTCTTTTTTCAACCAAAGACGGAAACAATCGACCACGTACTTTTGCGATATGATCAGCTACATCGAATGTCATTGAGCAAAGAAATAATAAACTAAATCCCATCCGTAACGTCCTCTCTTGCAATCTGGTATCCTTGCTTTTTCTAGTAGATCTGCTAACTATGAAAAGAAAAACTTTGCGACGAGCTGACCACATGCCCCCTAAAGCATCAGCTCGCCGCCACTGATGTGTGTTGAAAATATCCACCCCACCCGGCTCTGCCTGCAAGCAATGCAGACAGTGGCAAGCGAACGGGCGAAAACACGAGAGGGCACGCGCAAACCCTGCAGCACCAAAGGCCTCCGGTGAAGGGCTGCCAGGCGCCTGCTATCCTACTCACCTACTAACTTAAGACGCAGCAGCTCCATCGACCCCAGGAGACGCACGCCGAAGCTTCAGCAACGTAGAAAAACCTGCACCGCCTGACGCTACCCCGCCACCATGGGGCAACGATTGCCACAACACTCAACAGAAACAGACGACGGCAACCCAGTTTCCGTTCATTCTGTACGGATGCCACGGCGTTGGGCTCGGCGATGCTGCGAGGCGCCGAAGACATTCCAGATTGCTGGCAGGCCGAGCCTTGCGACTTCGAAGAACGCCGCGAGTCAGCTCCCCGCGCCCGTCCCCTCTGACTGTAACAGCGAGCAGCAGCCGCAGTCTCCTCCTCATCGCTAAAGTGTGGGCGCTGCGTCTCGTTCTTATCTTCAAGCTGCGCAGCACCAGACAACCGCCAAGCAGTTGACGGCCATCCATGGCGATACCCATCAGAAACGCCCCCCACGAAAGCAAAGCGACGCACCGCGTCAGAGGCGTGGCCCGCAGCTATCTCCCACACCTTCGCCAGCCTTGTGCCTGTGCGCGCCACTTGTTTGCATGCCAAGCATGTACACCGCGAGACCCAGTAGGGCCGAGCGTCGACGCCATTATCTTTCGCCAGCATTCCAGCCCTCGAGGAACAAGAGCCCGCGAAGCGCTTCGCATGTGCGCCGGGCGAGCTCCACCCATGTGCGAAGGGTGTGAGTGGCTCCCTATTCCCAGGCGCAAGCTCCGCATGGAGCGACTCTCTTCGGTTCCGAGCGATGGCAAGAAAATAACGACCGGGAACCGCTTCGCCACGCCAGAGCTCCAGAACATGCCGGAAATGGATGCCCCTCACGGCGCAACCATCGGCATCACAAGCCGACGCAGGCACGCCCGCCAGTCTGTTCCGCCTTTGCTCTTCCTGATATTGTCACAACTCGAATCCACGCGCCGGCCTTCTCCCGCGGTTACGGACTTCCCCCTCCTACAACGCTCCCAAGCAGAACACGCGAGCACTATCGAACAGACACCAACAGACGCGGAAGGTTCGAACACGTCGGACATGCAATTACATAGGGCTCTCCTATCAATTCTCTCGCAGACAATCAAAAGAACACAAAAGATCAAGCAAAAACTGACACAAATCTCAAAGAGACACGGAACGAGATCGGCACGAAGATCGGCGGGGTTTTTTGCGTCTTCTCAAGCCAATGAAAAACGCAACAACGAAAAACCCTGAAGAAGAGTCGAGAAAACAGTCCGAGACAGGCCGAAGAACTCGCCTAAATCTCGCAGGGGTTTGCTCTGAGACTCAGACGAGACACACACACGAAACACAAGATACGCAAAAACCTTAGAAAATATACGAGAAAAATGAACGAGACACGACTAGAGACCCACGAACGAGACACGAGAGAAAAGGCTCCGAGACGCGCTGGCCGATCTCACTCCGAGACACACAAAAAAGCACGCCAAAAATCACGCAAGATTTAGAGCCTTTCGGGACCACTTTTTTGTCTCCAAATTATACGCGCATGACATCGCGATGGTTCCAAATTTTTGACGTTTTTATCTGTCTCCTTTTTCTCTTCGTTTTTCCAAATTTCTGCCAAATTCTTGCCAAATTTTTCTACCAATTTGCGAAGCCTTGCGACTCCGTTCGAGATGCATGGACGTGCTTCAGAGTAGTGCCTCCCTGTCTCTTTGAGATTCGTTGCCTTTTTTCTCGTGTTTTCTCAAATCTTTGACCATCAAAAAAGTGAACCGCCCGAGCCCGTTCGAGATTCATCCACGAGCCTCGGAGGACAGCCTCCCCGTCTCTTTGAGATTTGCCGCATTTGTTTCATGTTTTGGGGAACGTGGCAGCATGAAAAAAGACAGACGGGCGCGATCTCGTTCAAGACTGCCCGACACGTATGGAGTCAGTTCCCCCCTGTCTCTTTGAGATTCCTGCCGTTTTGCTGATGTTTTAACTAGAAAAAAATTATTCATATATCATTTCAGATCTTTAGCAGACTTCGAAAGAAGCTCGCCCCCTTGCCCTCTCTCATTTCGATTCACTCCCTCGATTGTCCTTCTGTCCGACCAAGAACCTTGAGCCAGACTTGCGCAGACAGTTAACTTCTGCCAAGCCTTTAGAATACCACTTAAGAGCGCTATTGTACCTGTTTGAACATGAAAGAATATAACTCGAATAAAGGCCCTAACCCTGTTACTGATATTTATCTAGACCCATGCTGCGCCATGGATTCCTAATATCTGTTTTATTGATATTGAGTCTCTTCATCTACTTCGTCCACCATGCTCAACGGATAGGTTGGCAACGCAGAAAGATACCAGGTCACTTCATCAGACAAAGTGGCCACAGTCTTTGCTGTTTCCAGATCTTTCCGACGCGTCTCCTGATCCTTATGCAGCGCAAAATCTGCGTCGCAAGCTGCGCGGTGCTCTTCATGCAAAACACCCACAAACGATCTGAATCGTTTCGCGATGGCCTGTTTCGTAGCCTCGTCTTTTTCGTTCGGATCTTCATCCCAGTGACTCAGGAGAAACCTCGCGCGCCGAATCCACAGCTCTTGATGTAGCCTGTGTTTTTGGATGGTCGGACTATTGACCTCACTGCCCTGGCACTGAGTGAGATGCTCACCCTAGATCAATCCGACTCATGGCGACACAGTAAGTTTGGTCATTTGAGCTCACGCCTGATGATTTGCGATCGAGCCAGAGCCCTCCCCTCGAGACTCTCGCCGACATTCCCGCCCATGATCTCAATCGATGCGCGTGGGTATGAGCTTCAGAACCCTCCCGATTTCAAGCGAGTGAGACAAGCGAGGCCACCGCTGAGATTGATTCTGAGGCAGAGCCTACCTAAGTCAGGCCATCAGTGACACGAAAGCGATCTATAACGATGAGGCCGCTGCTATCTCTTTGAGCTGAGACTGTTTAAGATTTGCGCACGAGATGGATGCGACTCGTTGGGGCTGGCACTGCCTGAGTTTGATCTTTTAGAATCCACAGCGGTGGCCCGAGATGATGCGTTTTCCGATGTTCAACATGGCACCGACACGCCACGTCTCACATAGTTTCAGACAGGCTTCATCTAAAAACTAAAGAGCAACACTCTTAACAGCATGATTGGCTATTCAAAACGATCCGACAAAACGCAAGCCAAAAGCTATCCATTACCTGCTTACTTCCGGCATTTCCACGCCGTTGTCTTGATTGATTCGCCTTTGATGCTCGCCTGTGCTAGGCTGACACAGAAACACGCTTCGACAAATTTCAGGCACTAGCGGGCAGTCGTCGCCGACTTTACCGCCTGCGAGACACCAGAAAAATCTGGCACCTTCCGGACTACTGCGCTGCTTGACCCCTGCACGAGTGCAGTCTGTTGATACTGCATACTGAACATGCGGCGCATGGTTGGGCCCCACTCGTGACGGAGCATCTCCACGCCTGTACCGTCGGATGCGCCACTCAGGGTGATTTGTTGACGCGAGTCGCTTGATGTTGTCTCCTGACATTCGCGAGAGAAGCTGCTGCCTCTGGTACTCGCTCAGGTCTCCTCCGTAGTGTCCTCTTCGGAAAATGTCGCTTTCGTCGAATATTCTCGAACCAGAATAAATAGGACCATCGAGCTCATCTGTTTGCATTTCGATCCCTTCGCCTACTAGAAGCTCCGACATGCGGTCTGCAGGGGTTAGAGGAACTTACAACAACAAAGACGCTGGCCAGAGTCGCGCCCTGCTGTGGGCCCTGCTGTATAAAAATAGCAACCAATAAATAAAATAAGAACCCACAAGATCAACGCCATTCTTCGGCGATGCCATTCATGCCAATGATTGCTCTACTCACTCTTCTCAGCACTGCCTGGATCTTTTTGCGGCGCGTGTGCTCTGCGACACTATAGTAACTACAGCAGTGGGATAATCTGATAGCCATAAGAATTGATAAACTTCATAGCTGCGCCCAGGTCGTTGTCTCCGACGGAATAAAAAATTCCTCCTATTGAAGGCACCCAGGTCCCTCTCCAGTGTGGAGAGAGCCTTTGGAGCTCGTTCCCGTCGTTTCGGCACAAGTGGCAAAAAGTTAGAAAAAACCACATAGAGCGCTCGCCCATCATCGCTCCGTAAATGCGCATCCTCGCGAACTGGCACATCGCGCCAAAATGTCAACCCAGGGCCAGACTCTTCGTCGTCGTTTATTCGCACGCGGCTGCGTACAAACCTTCTAAGGTCCCGCCTGGTGTCGTCTGTTTCTACATCGAAATCCGCAGAGAAGTAATATATTTCCTCAGGTTCTGCGTCCAGAAAATCGGCGTTCACATAACTGGTATCCCGCGTGAGGTGCTGGTCTAGTACTAGCTCTTTTTCCTTGACGTCGCCCGCAATGTCACGAATAAGTTGTAAACGACCCGCGACATCATGATGAAGCTCAGACGCGGGATCTGGTGTGTGGTTCCCAACCTGTTCTCGAAATGATTGAAGGAACCCCCCGGCAGCATCACGCAGGGGAAGAAGCGACGCTCTGTCGATGTTCAATTTGCTCCAGGTGACTAGGTACGCTGCTACCTCAACAGCACAACTGCGACTCTCCTGCTGAGCTTCCTGAGCTGATGACGATGCAGACGCAGTTGCCGCCGAAGTTGAGGCTGGCGCAGCTTTCCGCTTTTTTGCTGCAACCTTTTTGGCAGCTTTCTTTGAACTGCGCGTAGAAGATGACGCTGCCGCAGGAGTACTCTGCTCTTGTTTTGGTAGGTGTTCGCGTCCCTCTTCGAGCAACTTCTTCGCGATCACAACGATTAATTCTCGAGAAGGATCGGCGAGAGAAGCACTGGGGAAGCCCGCTGCATCTTTATCGCCGTCACCTGTGGCTTCACATGTCCCATCGCCAACGGTCGCCGCTTCTTTCTCTGCGCCAGCTTTTCTTTTCGATTTCGCTTTTGCCTTTCCTTTTGACTTAGCTTTCGCCTTCGCCTTTGGTTCCGGTAATGTGTGCACAGTTGCTGCATTCGTTGAAGCCACATCTGCAGACGCATGGACTTCGTCAAGCATAGACATGGGAACATCGTCACCCCCGCCAAGATCAGGCGCCTCACTTCCAGGAATTGGCTCGATGATTGCTCCTGAAACAGAAGACTCCAGACCAAGAGCACCCCGCGCTACTGCAATAGCCTTTTCTGTCTTCCGCTTCCTTATACGAGCTGCTTCTTCAGTTAAAAGCCCGATACCCTGCGCAACGAAACTCGCTCGCTTCACGAGATAGAACAAAGGTTAGAAGATGCATGGAGAAGCAATTTAGTATGTGCAGCTATTTCATGTTTGTTCCTCCTGGTGGAGGATGAAGCCACGCACCACAGGAGTAACCTCACGCAGCATAATTATACTGGGTAGCTGAAGAGCAGAAAGGAGCGCGCTTCCTGATTAATGAAAAATGCTGGCGAGCTTCGAAGCAAATACGGAGTAAGACAGATCACATTAGAAACTAATAAGAAGAACGAGCCAGAGCAGATTTAGAAAAGAGACCAAAACCACAAAAGCCGAGCCATAACAAAGCCGCTCGCAATCCTCATGGACATCGATAAACCGGGGCGGAAATACATAAAAAGCCAAAGGCGAAACAAGGAGACACATCGCGCAACGAAGTTGACGAGTCGCCGATAAGTATTTTTCCCCAACATCCGATCGCAGAAGGTGCTTTTGCAAATTTTGGAACTGTGTTAGACGTTCTAGCGCACGCTCATCTATCGCACGGAGTTCCGCTGTTTTTTCTGTGTAGTAGATTAGTCTCTCTTTGGTTTCACATTTCGGCGCAAACTCCGCCCTTCGCACCTCTGTCCTCATGCGTCTTCCGTACTCCGCTTGTTCTCTGTCACTCTTTGCATGCCATCCGCTGTAGTCTTGATCTTTTACATTCCAACCCGGTTGCTCTGATTTCCACAGATCCGCGCCGGCGTATCTCTTTCGCGTTTTCTCGAGTGATTTGATGTATTTGCGAGGCTCTTGCTTCAGTTGTTCCAACGCTGCACGAACGCCATTAAGCTCACGAGAGAAAGCAGTACTATGCGCCGACGCAGCAAGGTTATGGCACGTCTTCCAGTTGCCAGTGTGTAATCTCCTTTGGTTCCCCTTGACATTAGGAAAACTCAGCTCCACCTCGATCGTGGTACTTCGCCAACATTCTTGAAACTTGCCAAGTGTGTCCATCACGTACCGGCAACGTCGCAGGGCTTGTTTCTCAGTGCGAGACTCTGCGCGGATTCTGTGAAGTGTTTCCACAAGAACCATCGTGCTTATTGTTTCAGACTTATGCTCGGCAGAGACCAAGAAGCTGCGCACTGGATGCGTTTCTGCGTCGGCCTTCGATGAGATTTCTTCTACAGGGGCCCACGTCCAGACCCACTCGATCCAGCCTACAGCCCCGCGGGCAGATGTCGCAGCTTCTCGCTCGAAGTCTCCAACTAAATAATGAGTGCTGCCCCATTGCCGCGCGCGGAATGTAGTACCACCACCAACCGCCCAGAGGCCTTTCACTGTTGCTTTCATGTACTTCCTTATTGTTGCAGGGGACGCATCACATCCATCGTGGCAACTTAGCAAAACAAGATCGAAACCTCTGCGAAAATGGTTCCGAACATGCTGCGCCGCGTCTTGTAGCGCATCGGAGAACGCAGACAATGCGAACGCCGTTGTCGTTTTGCTTTGGTAGACTAGTCCCTGGATGACGGCTGATGGGTCTCCCCATATTCCACCGAGGTAAGCTTGGATTACAACCGCTGCTACATCTCCAGCCTGAAACGTACCGAACGCACCCCGACCAAGGTGATATCTCTGCCCACGAGTGAGAACTGCAACACCAAGGAACCCCATTGCAACAATCGCGCGCCAAGTATTTACAACTTGAATCCACCTCGAAAAACTTGGGGCATTCCAAGAAGAGCTCGCACCAAACAACGCGACCACAAAATGAACAAGCCACTCTTTGCAACTTGCTGCGTTTAGGCTGTCTTCTGCTTCCAAATGACCTGGAAGGTGGCGTTAAGAAAAATCGACATCACCATGCGCCCACTAGTCAGAAATACCATAACACCTGAGAAGAACTGTAGTAAAAAATGCGAAGAGGTAACGCATGTGCTTGAATATCTGTAAACATCCACGTATTCTATACTAGTCCCCAAATACCTGACGTCTCGAATCTTCGCTCCCCTCTGATTCCATTCGACATAGTCGCCACTATTGGCACGCACCCATTCGACCACGGAGTTCGAAAAAATGAATGGAAATGCCACTGCGCACGCATTGAGCCCAGAAATCTCTTCCAGCCATTGCCTGCATCCTCTGCGGGCGTTCTTGTGGTGATCCAACGCCGACGAGAAAAATAGCTGAGGCCCGTTTTCAAGCATTCTAACCTGATGAAATGAAAGAAATCACATTGGCACTCGGCTGAACCAATGGGAATGGAGTCGATGCATTGGGTGAAAGAGTTGCGCTGATTGCACACGCGCTGAAGATGTGCACTATATTAGAATCGCGAAGCATTTGAGACACGCCTATAACATTAACGCGATCCGAGCACCCTGCTGCGCTTGTCGTGCTAGTCTATACTATTCCCAGCACGCGCCTACTTCGAGATATGCTACTTAGCGCATACAAATAACAGACCTACATTCTCATGCGGATCGCGCCGGTCCACATCCGTAATGAATTTTCAACGTGCGCTATCCCACCCAGAAACAGCCCCGACAGTTCCAGGGCGCCTTCGGTTGCCTCCCGCAGTGCTGTAGCCTGCCCATGCATTCTGCACCAAACCACGGCGCAGGTCAGGTAAACAGGAGTCATCGTCAGTCCTAAGGTTTTGTTCTGGTCACGGATCCACATCGCTGCCATCGCAAGCGCTGCAAGCGTTTTGCGGTCTCCTGCTAAGTTATAATGAATGAACTTAGGCCTTTTCGCAGTTGCAGTCTCGCACGCGACACGAAGGATTTTCTCGCACTCTCCAATGACGCACTGTGCTACTTTGCAGCTTGGAGCTTCTTCGTCCTTCTTCTCATGATCAAGCAGGTCAGCGTCGAACAGCTTTTTGATGGGATGCGTTCTCCATCGTTCCTCAATACAAATAACGTCTCTGCTTTCTCGCCGAGCTTGCGCAAGTCCAAACCCAAACGATGTGGCTTCACTGGTTCCATTTCGAGGGCCATTCTTCGCTGATGGTGTCTGCTTCGTAGATCTATGACGAACGGAAGCACTCGAGCAAGCTCCTGGCCCGGCGGTGCTCGTTGTTCCAAAACTAGCGGGCCTCGACGATGTGCTCGAGGATGACGCTACTGCACCAAGACGACCTCAAATTTTTTGAAGAAGTATTATATAACATAAAGAGGACGCAAGCCACACAAGCACTCTAGCTAAAAAATCATCACTAGACGAATTTGCACTGACTCACCGCATGAAACTGAAGACGTGAATATCACGCATCATAGTACCAGCGTTTCTAGTATTGAACTGATTCTCGTCGATGAATGGCAAACCGTCCCGGGAGCCATCATTGACGGCCGCGCACTCCGTTGTCTCTTCCTCTGCCTGGGGAAAGTGGAACTCTCGCAGAGTGTTTCTGCCTTGAACGAAGAACCCAACTTCGTGCGCATGGCTTTCGCTTTCCTCTTCCTCGAGTACAGACGCAGTCGCTTCTCCCCTTCGCCGTGCTTCTACTTCACGAAAGTCAGTGTACATGTCTACGACGTCCTTTGGCTTTTCTAAGTCTGCGTCAACTGTTTCTACAAGCAGATCCCGCGAACTAGACGACCCTGCAATGATTGATACCTCTTCAATCTGTAACCCACTGCCACAGTTACCAGCAATTTTCCTAGGTGATCGCGAGCGGTCTACGGCGTGCGCATCTGCGGCGTTGCTGCGATTCAAAGCTCTGCGCCTCGCTGTTGTAATATTCTCGACGAGTGTCGCAGGAGCTGACTTTATTGAACTACTTGAAGATGTTGACGATGCAGCGCGATCCGTCGTCGTCGTTGTCCTTGTCATACGACGCAAGTTGGAGGATGTAGATGAAGAGGCTTGCGGCTCTGACCTGTTGGCGTTGCCTTTTGACCCTGCTCCAGCTGCTCGCTTTTTTGCTTGTTGTTTTTTCTTTCGTCGCTGTAAGCGTTGCTTCCATCTGATTTCCGGATCTTCGTCTGCAAGAAGATCATCCTCTTCATCAGAGAAAAAGAAGTCGCCATCATCATCGACAAGATCAGCAGAATCTCCTACAACTCGAGGAACTGCCTCCACACAATCATGAAAAGGGTCGTCTTCCATGATTATACCAAGGATAGAAGGACTCCTGGAACCTTGTTCACGTGGTCTGCATCCGCGAGAGGAAGAAGAAGACGAAGCTCCTCGCCCTCCCTTTGCGGCTGTGGCTGTGCTGGTTTTATCGTTCTTCGCTGGTGATCCCAGCATCTCCTTTTCAATCTCGTTGTCCGCAGATCATGAAAATCAAAGCTATTGTAGCTAGAACAACATAAAAAAGGGAGGAGCTAGTAGTAGTACTACTCGAAGTTCATAAAATAAGGGAGGCACAATGTTAATCGTGAATAATAATCACACAGGAGAATGAGCTACGTTTATCAAACATGTCCAACAACATCAAACAACAACTAAAGTCTTCTATAATCAACCATAAAAGCATTAGGTCTGCAGCTGGGTCCCCGTTTGCGAAATCAAAATCCACTCGAAGAGTATTCTCTTCCTCCTTCTGGCGCTTTTTGTTCAGTCTGTGTAGAGCAGACACAGCTCGCCCTCCAGCGGTGTCTCGTTTCCCCAGTTGCTTCTTTCTCTTCATGCCAGCTTTTGCCCAACGGCAACGCCTTTTCGGTGCAACAGCTTGCACTCTTCGGCTTAATGCACTAGCACACCCATCTTCCTCGCCATCACACACGTCAGCTGGGTCCTCATCTTGTTGCATACTTGAAGCCGCGAAGTTTCTGGACCCCGCGAGTTGTTTCTCATCAGCCTCGCAAGGAACATAGCGGACAACCGTTTTCTTTCCGAGAGTAAAAATTCCGCTAACGAGGCCCAGAAGACTATTTGACCGATGAACTACTTGCTGCCGCAAAATATCTCTCTCCTCTTCCTTATTCTTTCCAGCTCGCCTCGCACACCAAAGACCATTACGCTCGTCGTCCGCGCCACCTAAGAGTTATAATGTAGCTGAGGAGAAAGATAGGTAAAAAAACGAAGGTAGGTAAAGTATATTACACGCCACGTCTCCACCATTGGCTTCCTGAACAGCAAGTATGTAATTTTCCACCATGAAGGAGCTCACGGAGTTGAAGTGTAATTCTAAAGGAGTAAGTTACATTAATCGAGTACGTATATTTCCCGCATCATCGAAGTCCGGGTCTTCTTCTCCATCTAAGTTCCTGCCAGTTGCCGGCTGTTGACTTAGGTCTGCTGTTGCTGTTTCAACCACTCCCAGGTCGGTCTCGTCTGGTTCTGTTCGAAAACCGATGCATTGGTTTGCAGCTACGGCTTGCCGCTGCTCCTGGTCATACAAAAACGTTTGAATCAAGCTGCCACGAATTAAATCATCGCGAGCGGAATCCGTGCTCGGATACTTGCCTCGAACAAACCCCTCTAGCACAGATGAAGGAGGCAGGTACTCAGAAGAGCTCTCTTCGTTGATGTTTAAGTCAGTACTCTTACGATGGCCGCGAGATGATTCATGAGCCACCACTGCACTGCCATCGTCACCAAAGTCGTCTCCTACTTGTTCTACTTCAGAAGATATGCGGCTTTTCGCTAGTGCTTCCCTTGCTAATCGTGCAGCTAGCTGCAAGCGGTCATCCCGTTCCCGTAGAGTTTGCATTAGAAAAAACGCTGACGAACAAGCAGTATACTAATCATCAATGCTATTGGGTGATCATTCTAGAGCAAGACGCTCTATCATGAGCAAGGTGATGCATTTGATAATAAGTTACAAGGTAGGAAGTGACGCCATCGTGCGTCTTGTGCGTAAACTCCGTCGCCCGTACAGAAAGAATGTGAGTAAAAAGCACGAATATCATTAGGATACTAACAAAACAAAGCTTATTTTCCATAATAATGCCTGCAAGCTTTTCCCGCCGTTCTTTTTGTACCTGCGGTCCCTCTTTCGAGGCTCAGCTCCAAGATCTAATAGCCAGTCTTCGAACTTCTTCTCTAGTAGTTGAAGGTCTTGCGGATATGATGGCGCATGGATGTAATGGCAGCAACCACCACCATACTCATCGTCTGAGTCAGAGTCTTCGCGGAGGTCGTCCAAAAGGCGCTGCACGTCGTTGCTTCCACAATCTAAGATATGTTCGTGCAACCCTCCCCGGCGATCACTGCCGGCTAGTATCACAGAGTCTACCTGTTCGCCGCCTTCTCTTAGGCCTGGTCCTTCATGCGGATTAGAATCTGCTTCGGCAGGTGGCTGACGCAGCCCAAGATCTACTATTTGGTCTCCGTCGCTTTCTCCCTCGCTAAGCAAATCCGATATACAGGCCATCTTCTTGTAATGGTGCGTGCCTCGCGGATCGTGTAAAGATTACGCCATGCGCATACTTCATTCACATGATTTCATCATATTATGTTATCACGGCCGTAAGAGTAATCATTTTACAAAAACTAACGAAGAAGTTAATGAAACAACTTCGCGACTGCGGCCATCATATATTTCGTCAAGTCTACTAAGCCCTCAATTATCGTCCGCAACAAATTCATATCCTTAAGAAAAAGTCGTAGTAGTAGGTGAACTTGGTAGATCATCATCACAAGTAACAGCAGTTTTGTGCCGACCATGGTCTGACGTATGCTTGTGCCTATGTCATGCAGCAGCCCCGCATCAAGATTATCACCATGCATGTGCACATAAAATTTTTTCAGGTATGGTTTCCTCTTCAACTCCTTAGTCGCTTCGCGATCGATGTGGATAAGGAAAGTCGACGATTCACGCGCCGGCGACTGATTACGTGAAGAACCACACCAATTCGAAGGAACGACTCTGGAAGAAAACGCTTTCTCATAGTCACAAGTTGTCATTAATAATTGTCTCAAATGATCAATTTCATAACGTTCATGACCACCACAACACTTTTGCGACTAATATACTGCCGCCAATGCCTTGCAGCAGTTGCTCTAGTGGCTTCTGCTACTTTCGAACACAAAGTGCTAAATTCTAGCGAAGAACGCCGAGCGCCACCTCGTCGCAATTGATCTAAGTTGCAGAGTCTCGCTCGACACGATCGACTACGACACTCTGAAGGGCTCCTCTTCATCAAGAAAGTGAATGCTCCTGATCGTTTTCGTTGGTTCCATATCATCACGAACGAAGAGTATCCTCGGGGTAAGCACATCACAAGATCATAGGGGAATGTAAATAAGTAGGAGAATTCAATAGATGAGAGTCTCAGTATGCTCACTATGTGGAAAGAAAACAAACAATAGCGATACATTAAGTCATGACAATGAATCTTCATTAATGTTGATCAACAAGATAGTAAGAAATATGGAGAATATAAATACACGCTACTAGTCACGCACAGTAATCATCTACCTTCTCTGCGCTAGTCATCTGCAGATTAGTGTTGAAGTTCGTTGAATTATTAATCTCACTGTGTCAGTAGCACACAACGCGATACTAACTACCTTCGTGATGACACTGCTTGCGAATATGATTTATAAACACGAGAAAGATGAACAACTGTCTACAAGAATACAAGAACGAGAAACAATGAAAGGCTTTATTCGACTTAGATGCCTGTACATCACGACAGCAACACTATCGAATCGATATGGAAATCACATGCGCCATTGAGCAAACATTCACCACTTAGAAGAAAGCGAAGTCGTGGCAAAGGATGTGTGCGCCATTTCCTACAATTTAAACATGCTCCCGTGTATGTGACTGATATGCTGGCAGAATAATTATCGCGCTATATATCTCACTCGCGACTCAATAGTTTCTATGCATGAAAAGGTCGAGACTCTTCCGCAGCGACATGAGACCCGGACGCTGTGAGGACTTCTGACCAGTCTACTTATCAGTACTAGTTTCCCCATAGATGAAACATAGTTCCAGTATCTTACTCAATGTCTTTACATATAGTTACGTCTTCGAAATATCTATGACATTATGGCTTCCGATTCTGGCGCAAGAAGAACAAGGCCATCTTCCAACGTTTCGTCTGTGGGTGTTAACGTCCTTCCACCGTCTATGTCATATCGTTTACTGTCACTAATACAAGCGACTCGGTCGCGCGGTGTCATATAGAAACACTAAATACACTAGACGCGCGAAAACTGTAAACCATCTTCAGGATTCATCGCCCAGTTGTACTAGAAGATGAAGAAACGCAACATCATCAACAGAACTAGAAGACATTCATAGTTGTACTACTAATTGTAGTCATGGCGCGCAAGAGTAGAAAGTAGAAACTTAATCGAGCATCCTCCTGTGATGTTGTCTATCCAGGACTTATCGACTTCATCTGGCTCGACATCACTCGTCACCTGGTGCCCCCCCGCAGGATGATAGAACAAAAGTAAATGGCAGAGAACATCAACCAATGATGACGAAATAGTTAAACGAGGCTACTTCGTACTAACCCTCCGGGAACATGTTACAAGGAAAGAGGACAATGAATATTGACGTGATGAAGAACCCTAGACCTTAGCCGTCGAGTGAGTTTAATTATTCTCCGCCAACTACTAGATCGTGACGAGGGAGGGAAGCTGTAGCCCATCCTTATGCATCCTTGTTCTCCTAACATGTACACCTATAGTCGCCAACTTCAGTGCCTCGATACTTTTCCCGTTCAAGCTCGTACCCTCTTCCTTCTAGAAAAAAACATGCTTCTATGAGAACCTCCGAAGCAATGACTATTTTCTCTAATAGTGAAGAATAAACAAGCGAGGTAGCATAAGGAAAGAGGTAGCGGCAAGATGTAAGTCTTCCAATGAAACATGAGGAAAGCTATCAAATTGAAGAGAAACAGGCAGACTTTTACCTAGACGTGGTTCTTCGTCTTTCTTGCCCTTCTGCTTAATCATGTCACCAACTGATCCCGTGAAGCTTTGAAGCAAATTTGTATGACTAATTTCTATCCTCGTTACATCTTCGATCAAATATTGATGGCACAGGTGACGAAGATCCTTGTCGTGTATTGTTGCTGCGTCACCTCCCTTGCCCTTCTTCTTGTTCAACGTTAGATAATTACAATGGCTCGGAATAATTATTTTCATTTTCATCTATTTTTTGATAATTTTTGTGAATATAGAATAGAAATATTTAATTTTTAGTTGCGGTTGCACGTTACCAAAAAACATAAAAGAACGTAGCACGTCACCAATCCAATACGTAAATCATAAGCTTTAGCTGTATGTAGTGTCCAATATAAGAAATAATACGAAAGCTCTACAACTTCTGGTGCGAATCATACAAGTAAATGAGTGAGAAATGCTTGCCGTTCATCGTATAGACGCAAGACAAGAATTAGTATACTAATAGCCACCAAATAGTAGCCCACCACAGCATCGGACTCATGGGCACGAGTAGGAACACGTCGTGAACGCTGAACAAGAAAGCTACTAAGTTATAAACTACACAACTGCTCATCGACTTCGCTGGTGTTTATCACAAAGAGCAACAGAGTAAGGGTCTAATTTCTTCTAGCTTAGTCTCCCTCGTTCTTCATGATCTATCAGCAGGGTATCGCAGTACCCACTACAGATGATAGCTGTAGTTTGTTTTTCTCCCCGGGAGCTGTACTTCTACTACGCTGGTGGGCCGTGTCACTGCTCGATTAGAGGAAAAATAGCATATGGCTAAAGTGCAAGAAGAAATGAAAACAAATAAGTAACGCCACGTCAGACGTATTCACAACCATCGTTGAGTTTGTCATTGTCACTCTGCTAAGAAGAAAGTACTGCCAGCATAAGAATTCTTCACGCTCGATAATGAACTAAATTGATTGAATCTCTGCCACTACAGTAATCAGCTTTCTTCGTTCAACATGTAACTGCATGCCATAAAAAAAGGTCCACTGTGGTTCTCACCTTCATATGTTTCATCGATGCTGTGTAGGGAACCGCGACAGCGCTGCAGCTGACCTGAGTGCGACGAATTCGATAACGATGTCATGAATATTCGTGAACTGATTTCTTCGTAATGTATTCCCCTCTATATATAAAAAGCAAAGCCCTTAAAAACAAGGAGCAGCAGCCCGGTGCAACATCACCATCCAGCACTACCCATCAGAGCAAAGAACATGATCAGCAAACCACGCAGGTGCATAATAATGAAAAAAAATGACCAGAAAACCAAAGAGCTGCGACACCCTCACCCTTGTCAAGGTGCCTCCGCTACCTCATGCGAAACATGTAAGGAGAGCCAAAAGCCCTAGCCCTTCTCCCAGAAAAGCCCTCACACAAAGGCGAAGAGGCTCCCCAAGCCCAGCCAGATGGGCCCGGCAGCAAGGCCAACACCCCAGCGCACGGAAGCGGCCCTACCTTCTCCGAAACTATCCAGACGCACGCCGATCGCAGCGGCGTAAATGCGTCAACACGTTGGCAACGGCTTCCGACTCCGTTCCATGCCAATGCCTGCAGCCACCGCTTTCACTGGTTCCAGAAGCTGCAGCCTGCTCCTGCATAAGTAACGCCGCAAGCTTTGCCTCCATCGCGTCGGCGTCGTAAGTTACTACGCCGCGCCTTGCCGTGTCGTTCTTCATTAGATCGCAGCGCGTTAATCCTCCAGAAGTCCCGCGCTTTTTCCCTTGCCAGACAAGCGGGCTCTCCTTTTGCATCTTCTCACTCTTGGCGTGTCTCGACTGTTGCAGCAGCTGCGCCACCCACGTAGTACCAGACGACGGCGGCTCGCAAGCGCTCCCGGGCATCGGTGCGGTTCGCGGCCAAACTGTTGTCTTTGCGCCTAAAGCTTCAGCCTGCAGCCAGTCAAATAAGCGCACGGCCATCCCGAACATTCCACCCCGGCGGCTTGGCTGGATGCCTTTTTTGCAGCTCCTTCCACGACCAATCCTTCTCAGGTACGCGCTGACAGGCCGCGACTGGGTTCCTATTCCTCCTCCTGCTGACCTGGACGGCAGCGCGCTTTCTTGCTGGCTTGTTGGCTCCTTTTTTCGCCTTAGGTGTGGGCTCTGCCCGTCCTCTCCTGCAGCAACGTCAGCAGACCCAGCCGCTCCATCTGGGCTTCTCGCGTAGGTTTAGGCTAGCTTGTCACCCCACCCCCGCGCTGCTTTATCCGAAGCGCCTCTCCCTTTGCACCCACCGCAAGGCAGTCCGGCGCCCTTTCCCATAGTGACGCGACGCATGTCGCGGCCGAGGCAATTACTACGCAAACAACCCGCGACGCAGCTTGTTCCGCCCCTTGGTTGATAAACTCCTCCAACATCAGACGAAGGGGCCGCCGCAGTCTCCGACGTGCTCGCTACTGCTGCCAGAGAGGCCCTCCGCTCCTGCTGCCGGCCGCCAGCATCGTCCTCGCGAAATAAATAGAAGACAGCAAAGCTAACCATTCACGACGCGAAAAAATATGTAACCAAAATACCTCCCGTAAGTGATCAGCAGAAGAACCGAACCCAATCCGACAACAAGAGTCCTCATCCACCTCAGCGCCACCACGAAGCACTAGCTGAAGAAGACAGCTCACCATTTGCAAAATATATCAGCCGCAGCAACGCAATACCTTGGGTGAAGTTTATACATTAATGATCAGAAAACTATTACTACGCGTCAGAGGATAAGCAAACAAAAACCTTGCGCAACGCATGCGCGTCCCATCTAGAATCTTTCAGGCAAACATCTGAGACACGAACTCCGCGAAATACTTCACGCCACATCTTTCCACACCTCAGAGAGACGCAGCCAGTCATCTCTGAGATGTCCCAAACCAAACCCAACAAATCTCAAAGAGACAAGCAAAAACCTGAGAACTATCTCAAACAGGATCGCTTTTATCTCAGTGAGACAGGGGAAGCCTCAGAGATATCTCAAACGCATCGCATTCGTCTCAGAGAGACACGAGAAACCTGCTAGCCGTCTCAAAATGCATCGCTTCCGTCTCAGAGATATCTCAAACGACATCGCTCAAGTCTCAGAGACACACGAGAAACCTCGGAGACATCTCAAACAACGTCGCGAATTGTCTCAGAGAGACACGAGACGCCTGCGAGAGATCTCAAACGACAGCGCTCAAGTCTCAGAGACGCACGAGAAGCCTCAGAGAAGTCTCAAATGACAGCGCTCAAGTCTCAGAGAGACGCGAGAAGTCTCAGAGACATCTCGAACGGCGTCGCTCACAGTCTCAGAGAGACACGAGAGGCCTGCGAGAGATCTCAAACGACATCGCTCAAGTCTCAGAGAGACACGAGAAGTCGCGGAGATGTCTCAAATGACATCGCTCAAGTCTCAGAGAGACCCGAGAGATCTCAAACGACATCGCTCAAATCTCAGAGAGACACGAGAGGCCTGCGAGAGATCTCAAACGACATCGCTCAAGTCTCAGAGAGACCCGAGAAGCCAGCGAGAGGCATCGCCCATGTCTCTGAGGATCAAAGAAAACCCGGGAAGAAGTCTCAGAGAGACGCGAGGAGTCTGAGAGAAATCTCAGAAGACGTCGCCGACCGTCTCAGAGAGACACGAGGAGGCTGCGAGAGATCTCAAACGACATCGCTCAAGTCTCAGAGAAGCTCGAGAATGCTGAGAGAGATCTCAGCGAGTATCCTCCACTGTCTCAGAGAGACACGAGAAGCTTGCTAGAGATCTCAAACGACATCGCGCAAGTCTCAGAGAGACGCGGGAAGCCTGTGAGGGATCTCAAACGACATCGCGCAAGTCTCAGAGAGACACTGGAAGCGTGTGAGGGATCTCAAACGACATTGCTCAAGTCTCAGAGAGACACAAAGACCCTGAAAGAGATACCAGCGAGCCTCCCTCACTGTCTCAGAGAGACACGAGAAGCCTGAGAAAGATCCCAGCAGGCGTCGCGTTATGTCTCAGAGAGACAGCCAGAGATCTCAAACGACATCGCCAAAGTCTCAGAGAGACACAGGAAGCCTGTGAGACATCTCAAACGACATCGCTTAAGTCTCAGAGAGACAAAGGAAGCCTGCGAGAGATCTCAAACGACGTCGCTGAAGTCACAGACAGACACGAGGCACTTGCGGGAGTCTCAGAGAGACACGGGAAGCCCAGGCGAGAGCTTAAACGACATCGCCCAAGTCTCAGAGAGACACAAGGAGCGCGGGAGAGATCTCACCCGGCGTCCCTCACTGTCTCAGAGAGGCACTGAAGTCCGTAAGAGATCTCAAACGACATCGCTCAAGTCTCAAAGAGACACGAGGGGCCTGGGAGATATCTCAGCCGGCGCCCCTCACTGTCTCAGAGAGACACAGGACGCCTGTGCCAGATCTCAAACGACATCGGTCAAGTCTCAGAGAGACAGGAGGAGTCTGGGAGATGTCTCAAATGACATCGCTCAAGTCTCAGAGAGACCACGAGAAGACGGCGAGAAATAGAAACGCCGCTGGCCTCGTCTCTTTGAGACAGAAGAAGAACGAGAAAGATCTCAAACAAACTGCGCAGCCCTCTGTCTCAATAGTACCGATATAGTATGACAAAGTTCCAACACCACGGCGACGCCGCACCCAAAAGAAACCTAACGCAGAAAATCCGCGACAACGAAGGCCCCAAGCCTCGCACAACCCTACAGATCCCCCATAGAGACGCAGCCAAGCCAGCAACTTCTGCGGCGCTCGCTGCGATGTCTCAAAGAACGAGACGAACCCCCTGCCCATTGCTATGCATGGCTGACACACCCCCGAAGAGGGCGCGCAAACTGTCTGACGACAACACGCGCGGCGCCTCGTTCTTTCTGAAAGTTTCATGCGTTTGCTTTGTTCACAGCAGCAACGACATGGCAGCCGCCGCGTACGCATCCCGGGCGAGTAACCTCTACGACTGCAATCTTCGACAGTTCTCCGGCGACTAGGCTCGGCTCCTGCTGCACCTCCTGCCACTGTAGCCGCAGGCGTCCTTCTCCTTACTTCTTGCCCACCAGCTGGAGCGTCTTGACCGTTGCCACGCAGTGGCCTTGTTGCTGATAGCTTTCCCATTTGGCTGCCGCTGCAGATCTGAACTCCGTAAGGCCTCCCACCGTTTTCGTGTAACCAGACTTATTATGGTAACGACGTAGACGTAGGCGAAAGCACAAGCATCAGAGAACTTGGCGACTCTTTCCGAGTAGCGAGAACCATCCCGGCGCACGTCCCTGCTGCGGCAGAGCCCGCCTTCTTTTTGGCCGATTAGCGTCGTCGTCAACTTTCTGCACCACTCTGAGGCTTGCCGGAGGGCGGACTGTTCTCCGAGACTCGCGGACCCGTACGCTGCAGGCGTGCGCGACTGTCTTTGGAGGCTGCGCGCCTTCTCCCTTGCGAATGCCTCCCCAAGCGTTGGCGCCTCTCCAAGCCAAACTCTCCCCCAAAGCCTTCACCCGCGGCGTGCTCCTATCGCGTCGATGCTCGCCCTCACTCGAGGGCGCTGTAAATGATGAGGAGGGGCGACGGCGGCCGCCTCACCATCGCAGAAGGCTCACCTCTCCGCGGAGCAATCAACAAGAAAAACGCACTCGCCTCCCATCACCATCACACCGCTAGCCAGAGACAGCGACGCGCGCGCGACAAGGCGATGCGCCGCCTGCTAGATTGCGCCCCCCCTCGGTAATTGAACGGGCTCCGTTCACGAGTGAGCACCTCCCAACTTCATGCACGAGCGCTACTGCTCGCCGCTGTTTGAAACTTTTCAAAAAAGTAACAAAATACCTTACTGCGTAAAGAAGTATCCCGAAGCTGTTGCGTCACCACCAAAATAATTGCTTCGATTCATCTCCAAAGAACAAACTACAAGCAACAACTACCGGCCACCTGTGATAAAAATAAAAATTGATGTACATTAAAGATAACAATGTTGCTCAAGTTAGTAGGCCGCACAAGCATGCAGCTAGAGTTGTATGCTTGTCCTTGCTTGTGTCAAAATTTCTCAATTTCATGTGGAGCAGGTGACTCTGACCAAGAAGTAGTAGAGCAGAAGCACTAACGTGAGATCAGGACGATGTTGAATAAAGTAGGATTATATTAGAATTATGCTCCATCCACAAAAGTAAAAGCAAATACCTAAGGCCCCCGGGCTCCTCGCCCAGCCGAAACTACTTGCATTTCCCTTTGACATATATTGGCAAATTTGCCTGCGTCACTCGAAAAGGCTGCTCTCTGAGAACTGGCCTCGACAACACTTCATCCCCGAAAACAACTGCGCAATTTTCTGCGGTTGCCTCCACCTGGTATTTGTTTTTCAGTAGCACGATACTCATGGTCACCACCAGGGGTAGTAGAAAATGATCACCATCACCAGCAACATCATGACGCTGCCCTTTTCTTCAAGAACATAAGTAAAACTATGTTACTAAATGATATTACTACTTTTCTTGTCGCGTGCAACTGGTGCTACAACGAGTCCACGACCAAAGACAAACGAAAATCAGTAATAATATTAAAAATTACTGCTGCTCTTGGTGTTGGCTGTTCTAGCACCCGGTCTTCATCTATACGCGGCAGTCTGCTCGAGGAAGTTGCTGCTTGTGATGAAGAACCGCCGTTACTCTTACTACTCCTACTAGTTGCACTGCCGAGCGGCGTACTAGTACTGTGTGTCGGCGTTAATATAAAGGAGTTCGTCCGCCTCGAATATCCCAGGGACCAATTCGGCACTTTCTTCGTCGTGCCTCTTTTAGAAGAAAGAATAAGGGGAAAAAAGTAACTACTTCCTACTTCTTCGGAAGCCACGACTCATGCTGCACTGCAAAACTACATCAAACATATTTTTAAAGCTGTACTTCAGAAATGACTTGAGCTGTGAATTACTAACCACCTTAATTTTTCTGACTGTTGAATGGGCCTGCCTCTGTCGCGCGTCATCCTGTGCAACGGTCAGGGATCGTTTCACTCGAAGCAGGTGTATCCGCTCCTTTTCCCTTCTCTGCAACGCGCCAAACATCTTATCGCCGCTGCAGGTGTTTCCTACAACTGTACTACTCTACTTCTACTTTTTTCTTCTTCTACTCTCTTCCTACAGTCCTTTCTACAACTACGAGATGAATTATAAACAGTGTCAAATAGACTAAGCGCGCAAATCAGTGCACTTTTCTTCTATTATAACAAGCTGAACGGCGCGTCTGCTTAAAAAAAGTATGTTGATCATTCATGCCTGGTATGTAAATAAATTACTCATGAATTTGATACGGTTTGTTGTCGGGCTTACCGTATGGCGCAACCGGTGCTTGCTGCAAGAACAAATCAACAAGCCCAGTCCCGATGTCAACCCTGCCCTGGCAAAAACCCGTAGGGAAGGCCGCGCCTGGAACTTGTATTGCAGCCTTGTAACGAGGCTGCAATTACATTCCAGGCCCGCGCAGTGCTCCCATCTTGCGTCTTGGAGAGAGACCTCAGTGCGGAATCGGCTCTGATGCCTCACTCTACTAACAACTGAGCCTCTCTCGCACCTCCGCCTCCGACGCCCGGAAGCGTCAGAACCAGGCCAACAACTGGCAAAAGCGATCGCGGCCGCCACTTTCTTCTAGTAAGTAGTAACGAAATAAGATTAACTACTAGAGAGAAAAGCTACCTCTGAACCTATGTGAAAGTAACTACACGCTAAGCTTCCCAACATCATGTCTTATTCGCTAAACCACAAATAAAAAAAGCACATATCTTTATTTACAGATGAGGACGATGGTAGAAGTGCTTGCTCTAATTCACTTCTTGCTCGATGTTTTTCTTCATGGTCTTGCATGAACATTAGCGGCACGAACTTCTACTCAGAGTCTTTGTCTCCTTCTGCTCCTCCTCAATTAGACCAACACACTCCACGATAGAGACATCTCAGAAAAATTCCACCCAGTGCCATTTATTTGATGAGTAAGATCGTTCTTCCAGCGTGCTCAAGTTATATGATCGGACACTACACTGCCCGCATCAGCTTCAACAGCAATCAATAATTTTTCAAGATGTTGCTGATTCAGAGGAAGACTTTTTTTGAACGTGTTCGACGAGTTTGCTCTTTCACAAGCGGGCCACATCGTGCTTCGTTGTACTCCTTGTTTTTGAACCCAAACTTTTGCGTCACAATTCCACTTCCTAAAAGAGCTTTGCACTCATCTTTTGGGCTCACGATATGAAGCATCTTGCTCTCGTTCGTTTCTTTGGGAATAAATGTAAAACATGAAAGATCAAAAAGCTCATCAGAAATCATGTCTGCTGCAATGCACAAGGAGTAAATGACGAAGTAGAATGATATTTCTCTGGAAGTAATTAGAAATAAAAATGCGATAAAATAAAGACAATCGCTTGATGAATAGAAAGCCAACACATAGACCCAACGCCTCAAAAATTTTCCATCTTCCATCCATCTCCCCTAAAAGTCGCGCCGGTAGTCGTAAGTGACTACGCGTCCAACTCCACCAAGTGCGACACTCTCGTAGCTGCCCACCTGAAATAAAACTCGCTCACCACCTAGATGAGAAGAAGATGCACAGCCGAATTGAAGGAGAAAGGCGCACCAACTTGTGCAAGAAGATGAAAGGCTTGTCCTCGTCGTCGTCAGATTCGGCCAGCCGAACAAGGTAGAAGTAGAACAAATTAGAACAAAGAAAGGCCATGATGAAAAATGCAACAAGTAAGGAATAAGCCCCAGCAAGTAGATTCTGATCACGTCACTCGTGACCATTGTTTCCTGGTGTTGTTGCAGGACGACGAAGCGCTACTAGATCTTTACTTAGAACCTAAATCATTACTGTTCTGATAATTTACTTTGAGATACGGTTATTGACAGTCTTGTAGCACGCGCGTTTATAACCAATTCTTAACATCTCTTCCAGCACGCGTCTGCAATGCTGTAGACCATTTCCTCCCGCTTGTCGAGAAACTGCACCGAAACTGTTTTTAACTACTTATTAAAAACAAAAACATTTCCAACCGACCATCCTTTTCTATAACCGATAGCGCGTCTGAAAATTGGACATTCTCATGGGAAACAGACTGCTTGCGCGCTTGATTTATAAAACGTTAAATACCTACTTTAAAAAATTTAAAATTCTCCTTCCAAAAAACGGAAACCAAGTGCTTGCGTCGTTTCATCGTTCCTCGCCTTTGTCCTCGCAGCCTAGTCTTGTGGATGTTTCGAAACATTACTTAAAATCGTAACAATAAATGAAAAACTAAAAATACAAAAATGCTTACCTGTCTGAAGTCGTCAAATAGACTTCAGAAAATGTTTTTAACGATGAGATTATGAGTACTCAAATCATGACTTGAAAAACGAAAACTGCTTCTCGTAATCAATAGTCAAGTTTTATAAAATGAAGTTATAAATCCAGCATGAGAAATGAAAGTAAGATTTTAGTAGTTCTACCCTCATAAACAAGACCCAAAAATCTAGTAAATATTCGATTTTTCGCCAAATTTTCTGCATGATCTGACCAAATTTTGAACCTCCTGAGATTCATGTGTGTTTGTTCCTAATCACGTTACGTCTACTTGTTGCTCGTATAAACCACCTCCGTATCAAAAACATAATTTTATATATACTATGCAAATCAAGACGAGCATGTGATCGGAGAGGAGCTACGTACTTCCACTCATTCTCATGGTCAGGAACATTTTTATACTTAAACGACAAGACGAGGCACAAGAACTACATCTTCAAGCACATCATGCAAGGAGAAAGACAAGGAAGATGAAAGTGAAAGATAGATATAGAGCTTCGTCTACTAGTGCATTCGACGTTTCTTTCTTGTTTTAGATTTTCATGTGTGATCATGAACATGATCATGTGGCGATCTCCGGTAGCTTCTGATGCACAATGAATAACTGCCAACTGGTGGAAGATGAGTAAAACAACTTTTCTCATTCTCTCGTCCTCTGTTCAACATCATCTACTGAAAAATCTGATGCCCTTGCGCAAAACCAGACAGAACCTCTCTTGATGGATCTTTTTCCATGCGTTCACATTCGCTCTCTCGTCCTTTATTCTTGCATATATTTAGTGGTGCAGGTGCACGACGACAAGGGAAAGAAAATATTTCGATCCAACAAGTTTGCTCTTGTTGATGTCATCTAGTGCCATCATTCACATTCACTCAACGAGTAGGATCATAATTTCCAAAATAATAAATAAAGGCGAACCCGTCTTATGAACAAGCGTAACGGCTTTGGGCTTTTCACCAACCTTAGCACTCGCGGCTTTGGTCGGTCGTCTCCCTTTCCCTGGAATGAAGTTTCACTTGTAAGTGGCTCGTAATTTCTTCAGTTTTGTCTGACTATTGCAATCTATCAAGGAACTACATTAATGGGCAGGAGATCAGGCTGCGGACGAGGAGAATGCGCCGGGCCCAAATTTATGCACTACGGCAGACCCAGATGTGGGGGATCAAACGCCACACATCCCGCAAGCACTCCAATCGTAAGACCTATCGCGACGCGAGTCTTAAGACACTCCGTGACGCAGTGACTGAAAACCAAAGGAAAATAAACAAGATAGCTGCGCAATATATACTTAGCGAAGAGGAAGAGCTATTAACAAGAAAATGTATCAAGCGGAATCCCTTTCATGTTGATTTCCTAAGAAGATAGTCATGGTTGCTGTCAGTAGTCATTCTTGAGTACAACTAGTTGACGTCAGAAATCATCACCCCAAGAATCGCTCAAGGCACCAGGTGGGACCTCTTCTAAGTTTTTAGTTCTATTGTTCTTGTGTGTCTCTACTAAAACTAAAGTCCATACGGATTTAGATTTAGAGGGGTTCCCGCCTTACCCCTGCGCATGAAGTACCAGATCAGCAGAAGTTATGATTGAGTCTTATCAGATACGGAGAAGAGGTATAAGCAAACACGATAAGGACAAGCAAGTCTCTGAAAGAGAGACTTCTTCTTGTAGTGATTGAGATTACCTTTCCTCCCACCTGAGGCCGTTCAACATAACGCCACGACAAGAAAATATTTACATGAAGGGAAACCTACTTGTTCTTCAGTAAGGGGGCATCATTTTCGTTAGTAATATTGAAATGTTCACAGTCTGCTAGTTCTTCGTACATTCTTCGAAGGTTAATATGGGATAACAAGTGCAACATTTGAACTATTCAGGTTCAGCTCAGGTCATCATGACAAATATTGAATATGAAGGATGGGGAAAGGTAAGTGATTTCATCATGGACATACTTTGCAAGAAGGCAGACCACAGCTCAGTGAAGATATGACATCAACGTTGTAACATTTTCGTGGCAAACTGTAATGGATCTCTACAATTACTTTCGCTGTTCATCAGATCTAAGTTTCCTAATTAGGCTTCTTGTTGTTATTGTCAGTGAGAGCAAGCATGCATGGGGAAGAAGCAAGAGCTGCGTATGGGGAGGCGTAAGAAAATGCTTTGCCTCCTTTGTCTATGCTTTGCTGTGAATAATTCTATCTAATTATGGTCAGTGCTAGTCTGTCGTGAAGAGTACGCTGATAAAAATGATAACGATAACAAGTATGAAAACTATGACAAGTTCAAGTTGTGGGGATGAGGATGACAAATACAATCGTTTCAAGAGGGTCTGCGATTTGGTGTGGTTACGTAATTTTTGTTTCTCTACGTGCTCATTGATTCTTCTAATTACAGTTTTAATGAATGTAGTTGTGATGAATTGCGCAAGTCTTCTTGTGGGTTACTTAGCATCGAGGCAACAACATGCTGTGGTGATAGATTGAATTCTAATGGAATGCTGACGTGATGTTATGAGAATATTATAATGCAGTTGTTACGTTGAATGCTTCAGATAAACATAATTCAAAAAGTGCTCATTTCAGCAAGAATAGGTCTCTGTAAGAAGATGTAGTTGTAGAAAGAAGTAGCTCGTTCTTGTTGGTAGTTCTTGTAGTCGTAGTTGCAGGAAGTTGGTTCAGCCAGAAGAAATAGATTGAGACAGCAGGTATCGTCCAGGGACAAACATGCGCTGAAAGTACGAGTGCACCGCGGCTACTCCCTTGGTGCTCGCGCTAGGTTGCAGGCCACACTAGAGTTGCGAGTTCTACTAAACGAGTCCCCAAAGACTACTGCATGACAGGGATTTTTCCTCGTCGCAAGAACTCGTCACTGCCAGCAGCGCATTCACGAAGCCACCACTTGTTCTCATTTTTATGCGGAGTCCAAATCTTCCGACAAGAAACACCTGGATGAAAAAATGGGTTCCAAAAGCATCACGTTCATCGCGGGCATGGGCATCGAAGTATTGACTATAAAAATATTCGTTTGTGCGTCAGCATCCTTCTAGGACGAGACGAATCGTAATATTGTAGTTTAGTGGTCTCTCGGTGTTGTCTCTCATCAAGAAACCGCCTACAAGGTCAGTCCGGTGTATTCGTAGCAGCGGGCAGGAGAACAGAAACGGGCCGGATATTTTGTAACAGTAGAAAATTACTAGTGCAGGCTTTTTAGCTAAGCCAGTGCAGGTTTGACCGAAGTCGTTCAAGTTGTGACCGGAGTCGTTCAGGTTCGTACTTTTTCCCTGTCGGGTTGTTTTGGGTCTTGAGCGGGGAAAGTGTGAAAATCATGCAAGTAAAAATAGGCCAATATTTTATACCAGTAACACCATAGAAATCAGGAAATTCATCGAGATGCATCAATTCATTTTTTCACGATTTTAAACAGCACCAGGAACAAGAAAAAGCAAAGGAATCCAATATTTTTCGAAAGATTGCCGGGGCGTGATCATCGATTTTTTATTTGGATAGAAACACGAGCAGAAACCAGAAGCATGCAGATTTTTATTTTGAACATTAAAGCACCAGGGGCATGATCGTCATCATGATATTTTTGAACTTCTAACCTTTACCATAGTAGTACCATCATCGGGAGATTTTTAAGATTGTAATTTTTTAGAACTTAAGGCATTGAGAACGGGGAAGGATCGGATTGGAAGCGAGACAGGATTTAGATCGCAAGATTCTATTACGTGCCCCATGCCTGTCGAGCTTCCAACCACGACCACAACCCAAATAACTACTACAACGACCATAGATAAAAATAGGATGCATATGAAGGTAAAAATAAACAACGAGAAGACGAGAGCGATCGATTTATAAATATGCAAGAGAATGGCGCAAGTGTGTGAAACTAAGATATATCGAATAAAAGACGGAAGAACGGAGGTAAAAATAATTTGATGCATATAAATAGATATAGAACGAGAAATAAAGCGGATGTGTAATCTGATGCCCCTGGTGCTATAGAAAATGAACAAATTATATACCCCCAAAATCCAGGCCCTCCTGATCCTGGTATTCTGGCGGGATACTTTCTTCTTCTGCTGCTTCTTCCTCTTCTTGCTCTCCTCCTTGCGCCCCTCCTTGCTCGGCTGGTGGCGGTGGTGGTACTAGTGGCCCTTTTCCCGCCGGCTTCCCTTCGCCTTCCTTTCCTTTGCCTTTCTCTCCCTTTCCGCCTAGCTTACCCTTGTCGCCTTTGGCTGCGTCCTTGCCGCTGTCTCCTTTGGTTGCGTCCTTACCCTTGTCACCTTTGGCTTTGCTGTAGCTCTTGTCGCCTTTGCTGTTTTTCCTCTTGTCGTTCCCCTTCTTGACTCCCTTGGCGGTGCTGCTGCTGCTGCTGCTGCTGGAGGCTGGTTCCTGGTAAGGGTGCCAGCGTCTGTTTTGACCATAGAACGGACTAGGCGACAAGATGGCCGCGGTTTTGTTCTCCTCACGAGGCAAATCGCGCCCACCAGTTATCCGCAAGAGCATACGATGGAAGAACATGGCCCAGCCACCCTCTTTGTGGACGAGAGCCCCATAATCCCAGAATAACGTCTTCACGGTGCCAGCAGCTTTGTCGATTTCGCGGCGGTAGTGGTCAGATGCTGAATTGATATTCGCACCATACCAGGCTGTCCACACGGTTTCGACCTGAGCGACGTGACAGGCAATAGGGAGACCATAGGCCTGCGCAAATTGAGTGTCCGTCGTCACAGCCCTGAGGCATCGGATTTGCTGAGAGGCGATGTCGTTAAAGATTTCGGTCTTTACTGTTGCCGACTCTGGAAGGGTTGGATACGGAGGACGTACCGCAGAGCAGACAGATCCTCTTTTTGCGATGGCAGTCATCGACTGCACCCATTCGGGCCCACTTCTGTGAGTTTGGGCCGGAGGAGCCAGGGAACTACTAGAAGCCGGCATTTTGTTGAATGTCGTTTTTTGTATATTTATCCTAAGTATATATAATATACGTGACGTGGTAGAATAATTAGTGGCAATAGTGTGCAAAATATCCGGCGGGAGAGCACAAGTTTGAACACATGCAGATAGTCAGATAAAGAACACAGATTACTAGGGTAAAAAGGGAGGAAATGACACACAGAAACCTGTTGAAGACTTTGGAGAGAGACGAGCTCACACAAGCACCAGTGGCACCATATGCGCGCGACGGAAATCTAAGAAGAAATATAGCACAAAAGACTAGCAGGCCATCCTAAAAGAACTCAAGATCCAGAAGATAGCGTCGTCGGTATGGGGATTCGCATTCTCCTGAAGATCATCAGAACCACCTAGGAATGAAAAGAAACTGACTACCAAGATCAGATAAGTACTTACGAACAACGATACGAAAAGAGACCTTCAGAGACTCAAAGCTTGACACATGCAGATATGAGACGAAATGAAGCGACGTCGCCAAACCTAGTAGGTACCGCCCACCCATATAGAGTCTAAAGTGTCCGAGTATAGGCTTCTGATCCAGTCTAGGAATCGGACAACCGTCACGAGGGTGATTGAAATGGATGAACGATGGTAGGCCCTGCAGAACATTGATATCAGGTAGCTCTACCAGTTACTTACACGCAAACGAGTCAAATTGATTTCAGAGATAGCGATAATTGAACTTACTTTCAGAGCAGTTCTAATTCCCCTTCACATTCCAGAAGTCATCAGTTAAGAGTGCGTCAGTGGCACAAGGAAGACCACGAGCCTCATCGGCGGTGGCAGCCCGGAGTAGTTCTTTAAGAAACTGCGTACTGACCTCCGGACAACATCGCAGATTGTTCCATCGCGGATAAGCGATCTGCTGCCAGATTCCAGGCCAGACACTGACGCCAAGATATGCCCGAACAGGAACGAGAACGAGGTCTCCGGCTTTGATAGCGCACCATGTACCGAAGTCACGCGAGGTCGGTATGCTGGGAAAACATCGAGAGACATCCGAACTGCCGAACGCCTTGGCGCGAGGATCGCGAAGTAATCCGTGAAGTTCAGGTAGGAGCGAAGTAGGAACAGCGACATCAATTAGCATCTGGTTTAATCGTTGGAACCCCACGACACCACGCCC